GACAATCTTCTCTCTTTCAGGGATATCGAAATACTGAGGATGGTAATGAATGGGCCTTAGACAGGAGATTCGAAACCATCTCTATCCATAAGGATCGTGTCGTTTGCCTCAGCATATATACTTTAGTAAAAGTATATTCCCACTCGCACGGACGAGCTATATTTCGCACTTATATCATCGAATGTTCGCTCAATTTTGTCGAGTGTCAGTGCTGCTTGAAGCTTTGTTCCATTTCGTCGCCTGTTCCCTCTCTCCTGAGCTGATCCTCCATTGACATATCCGCGTCTTTCTCCTCATTAGGGTTAAAACTAGGCAAAGATGAGTCAAGTGATAGGAAAGCTGGCAATTGTTTCTAGGGGAAAATGATCGCAAAGCACTTTCACGTGTCAAGCTTCTTGCTAGAGTCTCCAGTACCCAGTCGAGCGTCTCCACAGCTAATATTGTGACTGGCGAGGATCATAAGAAGTCTCATAGCCACGCGATATCAAATCCGGCGTTGGTCTTCTCGATGGACCACCAAGTTGATCAGGATTGCTGCACTGAATGTTTTCAGGGGCAGGGATAAGAGACTACATATCTGACGTGGCTTGGAGAGGATACAAAAGTTGAGCAGGAAAGTTGTCCTTCTGTCATGAATACATCACCTGATCAAGGAGTCGTAAGAATTCTTTGAGATCAATTTCATGGGTTTTCGTCATTGTCGCGACGCAGCCGAGAGAAGTATGAGCTATGTCTCCGACTCTAGCAGCTGGGAGCGACAAGTATAAATCATCAACGACGTGGACAAGCTCCATACTTTGGGACTCCAGCAATAATGCGCTTTGACTGGCGTCGAACTCCTCTTGCAACCTTGCAATGGGGTCTCATGCTGTAGCCTCTCCCACGTCGCCATGCCTTCAGGCACCACATCACGCAGCACATGCGTCTAGAGCTGTAATGGAAGCTCATATTCTGACCTTCCGCGCTCCCGAGAATGGTGTAAGAGCCTTCGTCGCACACGGCGTAGATGTTATGATATATCTCGCCTTCTCTAGCGTAAGGTAGTAATTCGCCATCTGGAAACTGCGTTTGCATACCGACTAAGCGTACGAGACACGCACATCGATGGTACAAGTCAATGAATAAAACTTCGTGATTGAAGGGACATTTCGACGATACGCATGCCTTTTTCGCGTTCGTTCTTTTCGAGTTCTTGCGAGACAGGTACTTGCAGTATCTCAATTGCTTTGCTTGGTCGAGCGACAGCCACTGAAAGGGAGGGTATTGATGTTTGAAGTCGTTCGATAACGCCATAGGGGAACAAAGAAATTGTATTCAACTCTCTTATCGTCTTGCTCAAGCTTCAACTTTAATCTCGTCCCAGGCTCTGATCCTCCGTCCTTCTTTGTGAGACAGCTTGCTTTTTGGGAGACTTTCACTCATGGTGTTTTCCGCGCTTCAATGGCCTTCAAGACGCATTGTTCCTGTCCTCAGGAACGATCTAGTTGTCTCGTTCGGATCCGTCTTGTATTGCACGCAGAGACCCAGTCATCACGTCTTCGAAATTTGCTTTGGCTGGCTTGACTTGCCGAACCTGACAGAACAAAGTCTTAAATGACACCGGCAGTCAGTGCTGGCAGCATAATCGCTGTTCTTATCAATGTCCACGCAACACAAGGGTAGAAATATTGCATCGTTGTATCTCCCGACAACATATCTGACTAAAAAGTGCTGTTGAATGAGTGTTGTGGATATCTGTAGCAACTTTGCCCTCATGAATCGACAAGACCTATCACCGACATTTGACAAGGCAGACAGGATGTTTTAAAGTATAGTCTTTCCTAGGCCCATGTCGCCGGCCAAGATCCATGACTTCAGTAGTGAATTGTCCATGGTTATAATCCAGCTCACTGTGATTACTTCGCCCAAAAAGAACATGCGAGGATAACGACGTATGAAGACAGTATCCCGGTAGCGCTTGGCTGGGTGGCTGTGGGGAGATGATGACTACGGGAAAATCCAGGCAGCGAATGTCGATCGAGAGGTGTGAGATTTTGATAGACGTTTGCTGTCCAGGAACGGAGGACAAAATGCAAAACCTGTCCTCCTCAAATTCCCATAGGTCGCATGACAATCCATGCGACATTCGAAAGAGGAGGTGTGGCTAGGCGATTTTGATTGCAACGCTTGACTGGTCACCGTTTGCGGAGGGGTCGTTTTTCTCGATCGTGGGATCCCCATGCTCCTTGGAAACAGAAGCACATGTTTCTCCATGCTCCTTGAAAATAAAAGCACATATTTTCTCCCAATTGACACCAAAAGCCGTGTCTGTAGTAAGATCTCTAATTCATACTTGTGAGCTATATTATAATTCCCTGTTGAGGCGCGAGTCATAAAGTACTCTCCTTGGTTTGGACTTTTCTGCCTGTTCATTCATAACCTCATTGCTGATGGCAGCGACTTTTCTATAGTTCTCTCGTTGATAAGTAGAGTCTAGCTCCGAGGGTTGATTGACTGGATCCGGGGGTTTGACTACTGGCGGCGGCTCAACGGTCCCTGACTTCGCATTCATCTAGTGGTTTCTTCAGACCACTTTGTCCCATTACTAAGACAGGCGGCAGTCGATCAAGAAGTGGACAGCCGGTCAACAAATTCTCTTAGCAATCTCTGCATGTGTTTAGTCTGTTGTTCAATCGTGGTCGATGTGCCCAGATATTCCCCTGGCGTACGTCCGTTTTAGTTCGTGATCTGGCTCACTTGTACACGGTAAAGTCCGAGCTCTGAATAGTTACAGCAGACGCACGTAGATCTTTTGATCCCCACGACGAAGTTGTAGAGCCAGAATGTCGGCCATACCGCATAGAGGACGTCGGTCTTCGTTTTGAGGTGCTTCTACAAGCATTGATGATTTGTTGAAATCGATGCGAAGCTGCGGATAGTGACGGGCATGAAGAGACGTCCACATTCTTCGGTCTAGATAGTATTTGTGGACTTTAAGAATACCATGACAAGTCGTAACATTTCCTCCAGCTCTTCGCGTCTAGCGTTGGTGATAGGGGAACGGCTAGTGGTTGTGTCGATCGAGGTAGGTGCTTGGGGTGGGGGGTTTTGTGGCGGAGTAAAATGACATGTTTGGTGATCTGGGGACTGGTGGTGGGTGGTGCTTCAGGCTGAAGCATCTTCTTGGCCGATCGATAGGTTTATGGTCAGGTTGTCCTGGGTGTTGGTCAGTTCTGTGCTGCTTTCATCTACCGAAGGCGAGAGAGTAAAATGGCAGGCAGGCAGGGTCCGTAAGCAAACGCCCTTACAATCCACAATGCAAGCCCTGGAAATTGTAGAGGAGAAAATTCTCGAGTCGACGTGGCCAACCCGTCCACCTTTGCTGAAGTTTTGGAATGAGAAGTATGAGTGAAGAGAGTAATAGACGAGACTCAACACGGAAACGGCCATACCAAGGCACACATCTGTTTTTTGTGCGCCAACCTTCTCTTTAGGCGCCAAAGTCAGTACCCCACCGGGCTGTTATTGTAACGGTACTGTACACCAACTTGTATGGCCGTCAACCTGTGTCGGCGAGGAGAAATCAGCGACTCTGGTCATCTTTCACTTCTTCTCCTTCCCCTTGAAAAAGGACTCTTGACTGAGAAGAAAAGAGGCGGCAAGCTCATAGAAGGGTTGTAGAATTGTATTCCAGCCACGATGACGCGTAGCTAGAGCTACTTTCGCATCGTAAAGAAGAGTCCGTTGCTTCAGAACGTATGAATGGCAACAGGCTCTGAAGAGCAAAAGTAAGCCGTGTCTTGAGCCATGTGGAGATCCCAATGGAGAATGACTCCACAATGACCCATAAGAAGCTCCAGTATTGTGGAACCCGCAATTCGGGCGTGACCATTGGAGTAACAAACAACAGCCAAGCCAGCGTTGGGAATGATGTGTCCCAACCCATACTTCGGCAAGAAAGCCCCCATTAGCACAATGTAGTTCCAGAAGTTCTGCGCAGACAAGAAACCATGGCCCATCTTGCCATCCAGTAGAGTTTTGAAGTCCTACAATCATAACTCCTAACCATGGAGGAGAGGACGCAGGCGCCACACAGAGATTAGTATTTTTGGTAGGTGCTCTCCTGGAAAGTTATACATAAAAGACTGCACTCCAACCCATGAAAGGGGCGAAACATGCCATTCCCAAACAGAACAAGAGTTCGTTAAGTAGAGCCCCGTATCTCTCACTTCCGCCAAGGAGATATTTGGTTCCACCAACAAAGCCCCCGCCCCCCTCCACATAGGAAGCTTGTGGAAACAAGCAGTGTCCAGAGCCTGGAAGCGTCCTGAACAGGAGATATAGTCCTTTTACCTGCTGATAGATGATGAATTGACGTATCGTAGCACTCACATAACTCATGCGAAGTAGAAACAACGGTCACAGGCCATGCTGGGAATCATCGAAAGTTTCAACATCCGGACAATCCCTCGTCACGAGTTCTCTCCGTAGAGGGTGTATTCATCCTTGGCAAGCTAAGAGAAATCTCCACATAGAAGAGACGCTCACGAACGTAGCCCTTAAAAGGTATATATGTATATATATACAGAAGAGATCGAAGCAGAGGAAGAGGGAGGAGTGTAAGGAACGAAGGAAGAAAGAAAGAGGACTCGAGAGGAGGGAATGATTTAAATAGACAGCGCCCCCGCTAGCGACGTTCGTGAATGCCAGGAGGTAACGTGCTGTGAGACATCGCGTGCATGAATTAGTTGCCTCTCGCGAGGGGGGCTGGGGATTCGGTGCGTGAAGGGTAAGTGTGAATGTTGGGGCGATGCTCGGGAATTGGGTTGGGCGGCGAGGGGGGAAGGAACGGGGGAGGGGAATTGAAGCGAGGATGTGAAGGTGTGGTAGTCACTGAAATGGTGGCGGTTTGGGTCTTGTGTCTGTTTGTTTGTTTGCCACATGTGTGAGACACGGGGAGCTTGAGGGCTGGTGTCTTTCTAAATGGTAAGGGGCGAGTGGGTTGAGTGGTCATGTGCGTGCTATGCTGTGCTCTGGGTGTCCTTGAGGACTGCCACGATTCTGGAGTATGTCAGTAACCAGTTCTGCGATGAAAGCGCGTGTGTGACGTCGGAGAAAAGAAATAGAGTAGGGACTATGGACTAGAGTCAGAAATTGAACATACCTCTTGATCCCCTCCTCCACAGTCCTCTTATCTTGCGAGAAAATCAATCTATACCACCCGGGCTCTTCCGCAGACATAAACTTCCCATTCGTCACAAATACCTTCTTCGCAATCAACTTCTTCGTCAACTCGTCCTCGCCCGCAAATGGATCACTCCATTCCTCCCGGTCCACCTTCCCACACCACTTCCTCAGATCAATCCACAGAAAGAACCCCGCATTCGCACCAGGCAAATACCCAATGCCCTCCTTCCCCAACAGTTCTCTAGCCGCCAAATTTCTCTCCTGCAACCTCTTCCTGCTCAAATCCAAGAACGCATCCATCCACCCCTCATCCTCCAGCATACAAATGCCAATTTTCTCACTCGCGCTCCCGCTCCAATGGAACTGACTCACGCCCTGCACAGCCTTCATCAGCTCCTGATTCCTGGTATACAAACATCCCAAGCGCATCCCTCCTGCGGCCGTATCCTTACTCATGCCGTACAAATGATGCAAATACCTCTCATCAATATACTGATTAGTATCAAACTCCAGAATGGACTTGAAAGGCACGGCGTGCGGGTCGGGCACATCATAGACGCTTAGTGCGTAGATCTCGTCCACGATGAGATGGATGCGGAGACGATTGCACATCTTCATGAATCCGATCAGGGCGTCGGGGGTGTAGCATCGACCGAGCGGGTTGTGGGGATGGCAGAGAATCAGGGCACGGACGCGGGTACCGCGAGAGGCTGCAACTTCAATTGCTTGTTCGTATAAGGGGACTGCAGCGGCAGAGAATTGGTCGGTGCGGCCGAAGGAGACGAATTCGCATTTTACTCTAGTGGGTTTGAGTTGAATTGTGATACGGGAAGTTAAAAGGGGGAGATAGGGGAAGGGTGCAGAAGAGTGGGGAGGATTACTTCGCCTTTGTGCCGAAATCCATTTGGAAAGCTTGGTAGATGGGGCGGGAGAGCGATACGGCGTCGCCGGGGTCGAACATGGTGAAGCCGAGCATCTCGCAGATTGAGGTGACGCCGTTGGCGAAGGTGAGGTTGTCGGTTTCAATTGGTTTGTGGGGCTTGAAATGGCGATTGATATGGTTGGTCATGGCTTTCAAAAGCCTTGGGCTTCCCCATGGACCATCTCCGTAGCTGAAATCATGGGCATTGAGTTGGAACTGCAAAGATCAATACTGGGAAACGCTGGGTTTTAAGGCCTCGAGGACCTTCTGATTGCAGAATTTGGCACACTCCTCCAGCATTACATACTAATGGGGGTATCAGTCGAAAGAAAACAAGTACTGAAGGCACAATGATACATTCTCGGCAACTCCCATATTGACGAAGCCATCTGGATTGGTGTCAGGGTGGTATGGATTGCCTAGGATCTCTTTGAACAGATCAGCCTCTGCACTGCCGGCTAGAATTTCCGCCCCTCGGCGGGACAGCGTTGTTTCAATTAGCATGTTAGCGGTTCAATGGTGAGAATGCTAGAGTGGGCGAACGTGAGGCATTTCTATCGATGTCATTGATTTGCGTATCTCCGATTATGTCCGTCGGCTTTGAAATCAATTGGGAAGGAAGTGGAGAAGTGGAGTAAAGGGCCTCGAACGGCCCATTGGAAGACCGCAGATGGCAGTGCGATCAGTCGTGTGGGTCAATTGGGTTCAAAATATTGGGACAATGTCTGTCAGTGTCCTGCGATGGGGTAGCTCTGGTCTATTCCTCAAATCTACATGTGTATCCTCTCTCGTTGGATCGTTCCTCTACCATGATCACATATTGCTCAAAGACAGCTGTCCTGCATTCTAACAACATTTAGAACTTGTAGACCTGATCTTCCGTGTATCCCATTTCCTTCAATATGCCGGACAATTCACCCTGATCCTGAGGACTCTTCTTCATTCCACTCACAGCTTTGTACATGCCCGGAGGTCCGCATACGAAGATCTTTCCGTCCTTGTCCTTTGGCTCAAACGGCAAGATCGTCTTCAAGAGCTCCTGCGTCACGTGGCCGCTTCCCTGTTTCCAGCTGTCTGGTGGCTTATCGAGCAGGTAGAAGGCTCTGAATCGGTTAGGATAGGTGTTCTCGAGCTCTTGTAATTCGGATTTCAGGAGGATGTCTCCTTCGGTCTAAGGAGCGCTTGCGTTAGCAGGGAGCAAATTAGAGAAATGTGAATCGACTTACCACATTGGCGAAGACTAGGGTGACTTTCGTCTTGTCTTCCGGGTTTGAGAAGATGGCTCGCGCGACTTGATACATGCTGTTCTGTGGTCAGCGATCTAGCACCATGTCTCCGGCAATGTGTAAGCCTCACGGCGTAATCCCAGTTCCACCCGCAACCATGGCAATACTCGGATGCTTGTTTGGCTCCCAGGGGTATTTGGGAATCGGTCCCTTCAACTCCAGCCTCTGCCCAGGTGACATGTTGTGTAGATGGGTGCTCATTGCGCCACCTTCGTACTTCTTGATCACGAAATCAATATATCCTCTTGCATCTTCATCGCTCGTAGGCGTGTACGGCCTAATTACAGGCTTTTCATCCTGGGGACCCTTGTATTTGGTGATCAAGGCAGACGCGATATTGAGGCCGCTGACGTAATTGGCATCAGGCAGGGAGAAGCGAAACTTCTTGGTATTGTGATTGTAATTTTCAACCGAATCAAGCTTTAGGGATATGAAGCCCTGATCGCCGCCCGTGAAGGCTTTCGGGGCTGCGTCAGCTGTGATTGCTGCGGGAGCCGCACCCGTCTTCGTTGATGGGAAGTACTCCCTGAATAAGAGATATGCTAGTCCAACGGCTCCGGCAGTCGAGCCTGCATAGAAGTTCGAATTCGGTTTGTAATTCTTGAAGGCGGTCTTAGCTGAGGATTCGGAGGCGTAGCGGCGAACAGGCTGTCAAAGGATCAGCGATGTAATATGGTTACGACGATCATGTCAGAGGAGTAGCTGCATGTTTCCACATACCTGATTCAAGTTCTGAGCAGCCCGAAAGGCTGATCTTGCGAACATATTCAATTTGCGATCAATTGATGAGCATTCGGGCTGGTGAGATCAATTACGATGAACAGCGCTAACGCGGGAGATAAGCAGCGGAGATAAGATCGTCGTGCCTATTACACCACAAATATTTCATTTCGTAAATCTGGTGCATAAACAATTAAAAATAATTCTAACATTTGTTAAAAAGAAATCTAAAAAAGTATGATGAGAGTGGGATTCGAACCCACGCGGATTTCTCCACCAGGAAACGTAATGTTAAGGTATACCTTAACCTGACGCCATAACCAACTCGGCCATCTCACCGTACCAATCGTTTTCGTAAAAAGTAATATATACCTTTCACAAACACTCGGAGAAAGGTTTGGAGGTCACTTGACTAGTCTTCATCTCTCAAAGTCGCCCTGCGGTCCAAATTGGGACAGTATCCAGCCCAAACACAATCCTCCCAAAGAAAACAGAGAAAAGATCTCAACACCCTGAGATCTTGAGCGTAGAGCATTATGGAGACACCAACATGAGACTGCATGGGAGCAGCGCGCGTAGTTTAAGAGAGAAGTCTTGTTCTAGGTCTAGCTCGTCAATTTGCTGTCTTCAGACCTCCCTCCTTATAACTATCTTGACATTCCAGGCCGCCCTGATACCTCTCTATGAGCAACCCTCTGCGAGCAGTTTTCAGCGTAGCTCTATCCCTCAAAGAAGTCACTGATAGCCTTATTGACTTCATCTGCCTGCTCCACCATCATGAAGTGTCCAGAATCGATCGCCTGCACCTTTAAATCAGGTGCGAAAGAACGGAGTCCCTGCTCAGCGCGCTTCGGAGTGCCAATCGGGTCATTGGTGGCGGTGAGTAAGAGAACGGGCTTGGTGATGTTGGCTGCTGATGTTGGAATTACTACGTGGGGTATCAGTTTATGGGATCTCTTGGGTACTGGGGAAAGTCACCTTTTTCATCAACAGCGTTCAGGTCGCGGTACAGCGCCCGGTAGTGATTGAGTGTAGGTTCATATCCTCCTTTATCAGCAGCGAAGATGCGATCGTGGATTGCGTTGTCCTGCCAAAATCCCTCAGCGTGGACTATGATGCATTGGTATGACAAAGGGAGTGTACCTTTACGGAGACAAAACCTCCCGTTGGTGCCCTCTTATTTGCTTCAACAAATGCCTTCAAAGCACCCGTCGGTCCATAGACAGTCTTCCAGTAAGTCGGGTCGTCGTTTGTGTACATGACAGACCAGAACGAATCTTGCTACACAATATCTCATATCAGCCCGTCTTCATATGCAAATGTGAAGCGAGAGAGCTAAGAGACTTACGTGGTCGTTCAAAATCTTCCCAGCTCCTGTTTGATTAAAGAAAGCCCAATAGCCACTCGGCTCGTATCCTTCTGTAGCCAGCGTCTCTGCATTTAGCGCATCGATACCCTTCGCTGTGAGAAGCAGAGGTGGTGGTGAGTATCCGATATCTAGAAAAACATACTTGCTGGAGAGGTTGGGATAGTAAGTCACGACGCGAGAGAGAAGGATAGAGCCCCTAGTATCTGTGAGCTGTTTGTGGCTGCATGCCATGGATGCGAGTCATGAAACGTTGTGAAGAGGCAAACGTACAAATCATGCCCCACACTGACGACCCCGCCCTTTCCAATACCAGCACAATTCAGCAGTTCCACAACCTCATCAGTCTGCTTCTTCAACGTATACGCATTCGCGTCTTCTGGCTTGTCTGTACCCCCGTAGCCAAGAAGATCAGGGGCAAGCACGCCGTATCCGCGTGATGCGAAATGCTCAAATTGATATCGCCAATCATAAGACGACGATGGAAACCCGTGGAGGAAAAGGATTGTTGGCTTTTCGTTGCCGTGGCGATGAGGTTGAGGAGGGTGATGGATGTAGCGGTATGTATGGCCAGATGCCAGTTGCGCAGACTGGACATGAGAGGTGTATGTGGCTCCGTTCAGATCAGACTGTGGTTCTATGTCAGAATTATGAGGTCTCTAATGGCGAGATTGCCTTACGATATCTGAATGTCGGCTGATGCTGCAATTGGTATTTGTATGAGATGGGGACTCCCATGGCAAGCCGGTGACTACATGACTGCCCAAAGCACATAGAAGAGTGAGCACTGAGATGATGGAGGGAAGAATTCCACGAGTCATGTTGATCAGACTTTACAGTGACTGTCTTCGATTGTCTGAATGTCAATGTGGCAGCAGCTGAACTTTTATACTCATTGCTGTGAGTCAATTCGGAGAGGGCGGGTGGCTTCTTGAGTAAGCTCCCAATCCATGAATATGAGGCTGCGCATCCAATCGCCACCGCTTTGGTCGCGATGATGATCTTGACATGCATTCTGTATTCCGGGCGGTCAAGGCTTTAATCTCAAATTGGTAGGTAGAAGCATTTTGTAGGGCTCGTGCCACCTTCTCCTCGGGTGAGTAAGCTGAGCACAGCCTTGGCCTAGGCAGAAGCCTAGCCGACTTTACGTACTCAAAGACATTCAATGGACATTCAGTATGAGTTGTTGAGGTGCCAGTGCGACTGTAGCATTTTAAGTGACCCTGTCGTTGTTCAGGTGTGCAATTGAGCAGCTGAAAGGTACATGGCCTCATGCACGATCCATGGCTTGCAAAGAACACCCCCTAATGACCGTAGTGATAGAGTCGCAAAGAACGTCATTCAGTTCAAACGATTAGAAATACAATAAAATTTGAAAACTCATAACTTGAAGTGCGGGTGAAGGTTTTTCAGTGCGCAGAACCTAGAGGAGGAAAAATCTGGGGTTGAATTTGATTGCTACGACGGAAGAACACACCACTTACTGAGATCCAAGTCTAATCAGTGTCTTCTATTTGCATTTGCCGTATGTATACGCGCCCATGGAAGCTTGTGGTAGAGATGTAAAACTTGCATAGCAATGAAAATGTACCTACCATTGTGTTCAGGCGTTGATTCACGCACCACCGGACACATGGCCAAAAAATCGACTATCCGACCTGAAATAATTGTCCTCTTCATTCGTATTGCCCCCAAAGCTCGATGAGGAAGGTTTCCAACTCACCAACACAGGCATCGAATGCTTGAAGGTCATGAATGCCGGGTCAAAAGTCTATCAAGGGCCACATAATGAGACAATACCCAACTAATGCATAACTCAACATAGCCCACTTCAGAGAAACCTGGACTACCCGCGCACTTGCTTATGTCGACTGAGGACGAGGGTAAGGCAAAAATCCCAAAACCAATCACACAACTTCGCCCCCTTGAGTAACGCCAAGACCATGACGTCAACCATACAGATCCACAAAATAATAACAAACAATCCTCTACAATCCTCCACAACCCCTCCTCTTTCAACCTACCATTCCATCCTCATCAACTACAACTATCCTGCCCCTCTTATCTACGCAAAAATGTCAACTCCAATCCCCACCTCAACCTCCGTCCGCGAATCCGCCGTTATCCCCGCTCCCCTCTCGCACGTCTGGCACCTCATAAAGCTCCAATCCTTCCCCTCGTTCTGGACGTCGCTGAAGTCTGCTGAGGAGGTGAAAAGGTACGTTCCCTCCCCCTTATTTCCTCATTCCCCGCCTGCCCACCTCTTACCCTTTCCCCCCGCTGTCATCCAATCCCACATCTCTGCACTCCACCCGCTACCCCTCTCCCCCCACACCTTCCCCCGCCTCTCTCCTCTCAAAACCACCCCACTAACGCCCCCTCCCCCCCACCCAGGCGCCTCCCCCGAAACCGACATCATAAAGTGGACCTTCAGGGACGGAACGAGGCAGGAGATCAAGCAAGAAGAACACTCCGCCCTGGAGCACTTCATAACCTACTCTGTCATCACTTCCGAGCCTGCCTTGACATACACGAGTGTGATGAGCACGGTGCGGTGCTGGGAGGTCAGCTCAGGTGAACAGGAGGGGAGCACGTTTGTTGTGTGGACGGGGAGTTTTAGTGGCGACGCTGATGCTGGTATGTTATGCTGTCCGGTTATTTAGTGGGAGAAGGTACGCAGGCTAACGATGTGGTTGCAGGCGTGATCGAAGATGCGAGGTTCAAGCGGAAAGAGGCACTGGCGGATTTGGCAAAGGCTGTGGTGAAGAAGTGAGGGGAGAGGTACACAAGGGCTGGAAGAGTTGTAGATACTGGGTTGCAGTGGGAGAAACGAGACGGGGTATGGGATAGATCAGAGCAAAAGACGAGACATATCGGTGGTAAACATCCCGAATTCGGGAGGAAGAAGGCAGTTATCAGATTACAATCAGGGAAAACCAAGCTGCTATACAGGAAGCAGTCTTTGCAACAACCACATCCAACCGATTCCCCTTCTCCACCACCAACCAAATAAACACTTGAAAGTACGAGAGGCAGGCTGTAACTTCCTCCACCCACTAACCCATCCCCTTCATCCTACCCACTTCCTTCCCTCTACCAAGTATCCTGTACCTCAAAACCACAAAATGCCCCCTTCCACCCTTCCACTCCTCCACCCCTCCACCCTCCCCCTCCCTTCTTCTATAAACTCACGTCCCACTTCCCCCACGGCCCTCCCTTTCCCCCTCCACAACCCCCCTTACTATCTCAACAGCACCCAAACACCCCTCCCACGCGCCCTCCGCCTTGCGAACCGCCATCCTCGCCTCCTGCACCGCCTTCTCCGCGTCCCTCGCGCGTGTAACAACCTCAACCAACAACCCACCCATCTTCACCAACCACTCCTTCCTCCCAGTATCCTTCTCCCTCCGCGCCTCTTCCAGTAATTGCATCGCCAAGGTCGTCGTGCGCTCGACTTCCCCCTGCCCCTGCCCCTTCCCCTCCCCATTTCCTGCCTCCGCCAAAAGCCTCAACTCCACTCTCCCAGCGTCCGCCGCCGTGTCGACCCCACATTTCCCCTGCCCCGTCCCGTGCGCCCGCCGCGCGAAGTAGCTTTTCAGACTAAAGCGCGTCTTGGATCCCGAAGCGGGGATGGTGCTTGGCGGCGCGGATTTCGGCGCCGAGAGCGTGCGCGGGGCGAGTGGCTGCGAGGTGCTCGGGAGGGAAGGGGGCGAAGGGGGGAAGGGAGGGATAGTTGGGAGGAGCCGTTGCCGAGTGCTGCGCCTAGGTTGTTTTGACGGTGGGTGAAGGATTTGGGGGGTGTAGCGGAGTTAGGGGAGTGAGGGGGTAAGGTGGATAGGGGCGGGTTTGCTCGGCCGGTGGGGATGGATGAGGCATATTTAGACAGTGAGGTTTTGGTTGGTGTCGCTGGAGGGTTGCGAGCAGGTTGGGCAGGGGGCTTGGTGGTGCGAGTGCTGGTGCTTGCGTCGTATTTGAAGGGGTCGTATTCGCCGTTAGGGTTGATTGTTGGTGTTGTCGCGGCGCTGGTGTCATCGGGTTTCTTGAGGGGCGAGATCCATCCCTCGTCTTGAGCGATGGAGCCGCTAGTTTTGGTTCGTGGAGTGCTTTGCTCTGGTTGCTCTGGCGCATCGTAGAAGGGGTCGTTGACGGACGAGGCGTTGGTGATTAAGCTGGCTTTCTTTGACGAGCCTTGCGTAGGATGTTGGCTTGAGTTATTCAGGTCCATACTGCGAGTCGGTCTCTTATAATCGGTAGGCGCCACGTTCCATGGCTTCGGGCCTAGGCTAGATGAAGGTCGACTTAGACGTCGCTGGGTAGCAATAGAAATCTTCCCACTTAGCTCTGCCGCTTTCTCTAATGACTTGGAGCTCTTCGTGTCTTTGTTCGTCGAAGCGTCATTCTCTTTATCGCTTTCCCCGAGGATGTATCTGTCGGCACTGGGCGAGATGGAGAGCTTCGGTCCATAGCCAGGGCCTTTCGTAGATAATCGTCGAATAGTGTAGGCGTGTCGAGGCGATTCATCAATGCACTCAAGGCTCTTTGCCATGGCTACGTCAGGAACAGCTGCCTTAGGCCGGGGATGATCAATCGGCGTAGAAGCAGCCTGCACTGGCGTCGTCATAGCGCTAGCCTCAACAGCAGCGGCGTCAGGCCACTGCAGGCTGGTTGGAGTAGAGGTGGCTTGCATTAGCGGCGTCGTGGCATTGTCTTCGAATATGCCAAAGTCAGCGGCAGGAGATGGCAATTTCACACTTTCGTCTTTCGATGATTTCGATGGGGAAAGCGCGACTGGCAAAGGAATTGAACTGCGGTGACCTTTTTTCCGGGCCGCGTTTTTGTTATGGGCACCTAGAATATGGCTAGATTTGGTTGATGCATTTGGAACGGTGGAGGGGACTCCATCATGGGTACTGTCACGGCTACCAGGCCGACGAGGCTGGATAGAACGACGTTTTCCGCCGACGGATTTAGCTGGAGCATGGCGATCGAAAGATTCCTTGGTGCCTTCGGGGAGAAGTGCTCGTTCAGCTGAAGATCTACGAGAGTGCCTACTCTGACGCCAGCTGTTGTGGCGAAGCGGCTTTGTGGGTTCGATGTGGTCTTCATTCGACATGTCGAGGTCATTTAGCTCATCTGCAGCAGATAGTCGAGTGCGAACCGAAGAAGTACGAGTCTGGGGAATATTCGCGAGGTGATTTTTTGCTGTCTTCTCGATTGCGATGGCTTCGGTTGAGACGGCAGAGGGATGTCCTGTGCAATCATTTACCTTTTTATTCGCATCAACAGGATCTTGGAAGGGGTCGTGCAGGTCAGTAGCGGCAGTTGCAATGTCACTGATTGGCGGCTTCAGATGAAAGGATGAGGGCCCTTTCCGAGAACGCTGGTCCGGTGGGGAGTACCTTGAAATTGGAACATAGAGACCTCCGGTCTTACTAGAAATATTGTCGATACCGCTAAGCTTTGGGTAGCGATCTCCGATAGTAGACGCCTGCTTCCTCAGTTCATGGCCAGATTCACGCATGGCGTCCTGCAAGCTGCCAGATGGTACACGTTTTGGTTGCAATGCTGGCCACTTCTGCTCGTCAGCTTGACGGTTATTATTCACGTCAATTAGAGTCACGGTAGACTTGGCGGCAACTATGGCATCGAGATGTGCAACTGGTGGCGTTGGGAGCGGTTTGTCACGGGAAGAGCTCTGCGAATCGGATGAGTGTGGCGATTCATCGGGCGTCGTGTACGATGAATGGGCGAGCTGGAAGTGTTAGCCGTATCCCATACAAATGAATGGAGAAAGGAAAAGGTCACTTTGCTAGGGAAAGACGCGCGGTTGCTTCTAATTGACTGGAGTTCCTGCTTTGCTCGAGGTGTTCCAGTCATTCGTCGCAGTCCGATGCGCCTCAGAAAGTGATTGCCAGCACTTTTAGGCTTCGTATAGTCCGACGTAGGCGTTGCTGACTGTTTTGATGCATATGTTGGAGTCATGAAATGAGGACTCTTCGATCCGCCGACGTTCTCCTTTGCCTTGGGGCTTGAGATGGCGTGGTAGCCTTTGGACGCGCCACTTGAACGATTGCTGGCCTTTGTCGTGATGTCACTGAGTTTGCCCATTGTCAAAGCAGACAGCACTGCAAAGAAAGGTGGCTATACGGTTGAAGCGGATGACAGCAACAAGCCAGGATTATTGAATCGCCAGCCAGATAACGACGCCGGTGCGAGCAAAAATATTGAGTAGGGATACCTGCTCTTGGAGAGACTTCTGTGTTGACCTCGTATTCAGACGCGGCCTGACACGCTAACCTCATCACCACCGAGTAGTGGTGGTTTTTGGTGGCGAGAGTCGACACGCAATAAAATTCTGTAGGGGCTTTCAAATTCTTACATTGCTTATCCTCTCGCTCATCTCATAGCCCATGCCAATTCATGGTCACGTTTATTCATGTACGTGCTCCATCAAACCATCTACAGCTTACGTACTTCGCATCTCCGTATCCTCATCTTCCCCAGCCAGATCTCTGTGTTTCCTTTTGCTCGTTGTACTTCCAGTATCTTCCTCTTCCGCATCGGTCTCGACAACTTCCCACTCATAGCTTGTGGTCCCGTCGGTACTCGTCTGTCCCCCTCGCCTTCGCTTGACTCTACCAAGCTCACTTCCTGCAATCATCTCCTCGAACCATGGACTGCCGCGCAGCTCTCTTGTTTGCGCTTGCCTCGTTACCTCCCGTGAAGATGTTTCAGCCCGTTCTTCCTCCTCGTTCGTCTCGGGGTCTAGTAGCCCATGCTCTTGCAAACGTTCCAAGCTCTCAGTCTTAAGGCTTCCTAGGTTGACATTGACGTATTCAGCTTCGGTAGGAGGCTCTTCGGACCAATGACTCAGAGGCGTGCCACAGAAGCCACAGAAATGGCGTTTTGTATGAGGAGCATGGGCAGGGGTGAAGACGCGCCGAATATCTGTGTGATTTTCATCTGGGTAGAATGCTCGGGTCGTACTTTGGATTGTGGAGAGAGGAGCGCGGAGGGAAAGACCATGACCTGTGAGAAGTGAGCGCAAGCTCCAAAACCAACCACGATTGAATACCCGTACTGTTTTCCGAAGCGTCGTCAAGTAAGATTTGGAATGTTTGATTCGGATGTTTAGGCACAAGGATGAGGTAGTGATTGCGACCACACGAGCATGCGCCCTGCAGAGGTGGATATTCTGCCATTGTCATGAGGCTGTCAGAATGTCCAAATGGCTTTACGTGTGAAATTGGTTGGCAGGTTGTCCAAGTCGTATGGCAATGTCAAATTTCTTATATCCGCTAACCCCGAATTACCTCAATCTTCTGAAGCTTTCTTCCGCATTCCTCTTTGGGGTTCTGTCTCATGGGCAGAGTCAAAAAGCACTATAATCTCAACATAGTAAAGTCGCCGAATACTTTGTTGCCATCCACGCGAACGTTGTTCCATTACGAAACGCACAGCATGCTTCTAACGAGAAAAGATCTCTCATCGCCCTTGTTTGTCGAATAGCGCCTTGTGCATATGTCTTTTCAAAAAGCGATTTAATTTGAGATTGATTCCTCATAGTCATGGTCATGGTCATGATCATGACCCCATTTCGCTCCTGTTCGTGGGTGACAAGGCTACGCGTTCATTGGGGCTGTCTACGCAAGGCGAAGCCGCCTACGCAGCCCACCATCATGCTTTGCGCCTTCATCGACCGACTTTGGCTCACCGATGTTTGAATTGTACCTTTACAGAGGAGTAAAGTGGAGTTTTTCATTCCAGTGCCAGTTCTAAACTGCACAGAGCCGAATCCGCTTTTCTCTTGATTGTTGTCCCTATCGTCGGACGCATCCTGATGGATCGAAAATCTCTTCACCGCTTCAGATACGCTTTGACTCCTCGGGAGCATGCTTTTACTGCATTGATAGCAGAAGCTTGGACGACTTGGCTCACCTAGATACCGGACAGAGGTCGTTTAGACTACTTTCGGTGGCGTTTCTCTTTGTTACATTGCAGGTCCTTACATCAAAGACCAGCTTGGATCCTTATGATTGTGGTTGAGGTCTTGCAGAGTTGTTTTCTGCTAATATGCGGTCCAGGCTGAAGTGTCAATACATAATGACCATCTCCTCGAGCTTCTCAGAATTCTTTCCTCATATCTTCAGACCACTTCCCACTTCCACAAAGGAGTAACAAAACTCCAGAGATAGCAAAAAGCTGCATCGGAAAATCCAAATCCTTCTTGTTGCTTCGCAAGCGCGGCCCCCTTTCAAGCAGCCCTCAACAAACTTCAATCCCGATCTTCTCCTTCAGAAAGGCTCAAAGCAATGTGTACAGAAATTCCCAAGGTCTGGAAATGCGGCTGCACATCCGTGAGCAAGAACCCATGTGCCAAAGCCCGCCAAGGTTGCCTCAACATTACCCGCCCTAAAGAGCCATACAAGATGACGATCAAATGCGACAAATGCGTCTCAGAGGGGAAATAGCACGCTGTTATCAGAGGTGTAAGTGCAAGTTCCTTTAGATCCACAGCTTACTGTCACCAACTAAGGATGGACAGGTGGTTGGGATTCTATCGACCAAGCATTGGGTTGAAATGGAATCAAAAGGCTTGTGGTCTGACTTTGGCGAAGCAAGAAGGTCACGTGCACCAGGTTTATCATTCTGTATGACAAGCATCAGACGTCGAAAGACTATCGCAGATAGGCTCTACCGCAAACACAAAATTTCCAATCCCTAGAGCATCTGGCTTTGAAGGCGGAGATAAGATCTGAGAAACACGTTTGCACACGGCCCACTGAAATCCTCACACATTCTCTTCCCTGCTTCCGCTTTGTCTAAGCTGCTGGCTGCTGCATACTCAGCAGCCAATTTCCCCAACAAACAGCTCTCTCAGGCCACAACTCTCACCCCATCCCACCGCCATCCCTCTTTCCACGACTCAGATCCAGCAAAACTCCCAAATCACCCCATCCCAAATCGGTATATGTCTGAGATCCACGCTAATCTGCGCAGACAGACGCAAGGTGGTCACGGCATGCATGGGCCCGCCCCAACCCAATTTTATCCAATCCTAATCCCCTGCCTGCATTGCATAAGAATTCAGCGAGGAAGATTCCCGTCCTGTGCCCAGCGCACGCGGAGACCTGCATGTGGGTGGGGATGGGTGGGGATGGGTGGGGGTGTTTCAGATCCGATCCAGCTGCTGCAGCGGAATGCGTCTGACGTGCTTCCGTGAAGAAAAATGGTGCATGATACTTGCATATGGGACATTTTTGGAAGAGATGGGGAGGGAAAGGGCAAATCTCAGGGCAGGCGGTGTGCGGTGATGAATTTCTTGGTGTTTTCCAGTAGGTGTTTGATTATTGGCTGTTGCTGGATGGTGGATGGATGCGTGACCCGATGTCGGATGGTGTTTGTTGGAAGTGCGAGGCTCAACGGTGTCTGTGAGAGTCGTGGACTTACTTGGCTGGGACGTATTTTTCTCCTTGCTTTGGGTGTTCTGTGGGGGTGAGGAGGGGTGGGGTGGCGATGGTATCTGGCGCTGGACACGGGTACTGGCAGAAGGATGCAATTGTCTTTTTGAAGGTACTGTGATCTCTGTGGACTTGGTTTATGGCATTAACAGCTTTAATCGGACCTGAAGATCTGCGGTCGCTATATCCAAGGCTCTGAAGAATCAGTTTATGCCCTGAATCGAGAATCAAAAGAGTGGACATGAGTTAGACGAGAATCGGTGGCACTGGCTATGGCGCTGTATGAGACCTACGCGAACGAAGGAGAAAGGTCGGGGGAGAGTGGCATCTCACGAGCCGAGGACCTGAACTTTTCGAGATTGATATGTTCTTGTTGATGCCCTTTCATCTGAAGGTATGATTCCGCTGGAAAAAGAAAGCGGTCTTCCTGTTTGCGCAACGCAATGGTCTATACCTACATGTCTCCACTGGATCAGCGGTCTGGCCCGCGCATATGTTTCTATCAGACTCTACAGACATAGTTGGGGTCATTGCCCGCTCGATCTTCAAACCTGGCATGTAGAGTAGTCATATGATCTAAGACCTCCATTAGCTTATCATGTACAATCGAACCCCTAATTCTACAAACACTTCCGCCGCTCCGACCTATCACCATCCTACCTCCCACCTCCCATTCCCCCATATTTCGCCCTATCTTTGACCTGGCGGTAGAGGCTGCACCACCCCCGGCGGCGGCTGCGCATCATTACACTGATGAAAGCCACCGGGACTCGGATTCAGCAGCCCCCCCACCCATATCTGCTCCCCAGCCTCCGCATCCGAATTCGTCAAAACAGCGCAATAATTCGTCACCCAGCCCAACCCCGTCGCATCTCTTGGTCCATTCGGGTCCGGGGCTTGAAACAGCACAATGACCGTGGTGGCGTTCCCGCCCGGCGGTGGCCTGATCGTTGCGCTTATGAAACTCGCCGGCGCAGTGGCGCCGGGATAGGCGATCGGCGCGTAGAGAAGGTCTTGTTGGAGATCGCAGCCTGGGGCTGCGAGGATGCTGTACGGGTGTCCGTCGGCGTCGTTGCCGAGTTGGTCGGTGAGGTGGAAGTTCTTGGGCCAGCCGACGTAGTTTGGGAGGCCGGCTTCGCCTTCTTGGATGCCTAGTTGGTAGCTTGTGAGCGCTTGATTGATGGTTTGGGTGATGGATTCGGCGTCGAGGGTGTGGGCTGGTTCTATGCCTGTTTCGCAGGTGACGCCGAAGCCCCAGACCCCTTGAGTGGGGCTGCCGCCGCCGGTTGCTTTGGGCGAAGGGGGAGTGAGTATATACGTGAAGGCTCAGCTTTACGTTGTTGGAGCAGCGCTACGCCTGGAAGTGCGAGGATGAGAGTGACAAGGGAGGAGGCGAGAAGAAGGGTTGAGAGGAGGTACATTACGAGCTCTCGGACCCCTTCAAGAAGGTGAGGGTCGTCCTGCAGGAGAGAACCGAAACTTCATTGGAAACGCGTTTCGATGACCATGTCAAATGCGTGCCAGTGAGACAGTCGGAGTATTTGTATGCTTGTCCTGCATGTGTGAGGTCGATCCCGGCTGGGTCGCATGTCGCCAGGAACCTAGATCGAGGCTCGGCGTGGTGGTGAAACGTATGGACCAAATGTGCTGAATGCGACATGCGATGAGTTGTTGGGTCATATGAGGCAATGGCAATCTATTTGTCGAATCAATTTCAACGAGGCTGTGTCTTCCGAGCTGCTCTCGCTGCCATCGGTCTAGGATTTCAACCTCCAATATTCCTATTTGAGCCTCCAGACCCTGTGTTGGATCCTTTGAAATGAAAGCAAGGGCACTATGCCGTGCGAAGTACTATTTTGCGAGATACTTTCACGAGGTAGTGATTAAGAAGACTTGCAAAGCATCAAAGAGACCTTGCTTGCAACAGGAGGTCCATAGTTATTAAGTTTTGATGGCTGATTCAGCACACAATCATACAATGAAAAAACCACTCTGCATTGACAGTAAACACAAGCCAGCAAAGGCCAGGACGGTCTCTCTTCTTCACGTCTAAACAGCCGCGTGGCTGTCCCTGTCGATGATCACGTCTTCAAATTCATTCGACCCTCTCAAATTCTTCAAAGTTGGGGTAGGTGGACTTTGACCTACGCAATTTATCACCATATCTTTTTCATATTCCAGATTCAATGCTGTCACTGAATCACGCTACCCTGAACTGGATTCAGACTCTGGCTCCGAGTCTTGAAAAGATTTCCGATTCTGACTCGGTGGCTAGTCACAGTCCAGGTCTCGAATCAGCAAAGTCTTCGGATCATAGTCTGAATCTGGATAGTCTCCCGCGTATCCATCGATTTCAGGAAGGTTGAACCCTCCTTTCGGCAGCGCCTCACCGTCAACCATGCGCAATTTGACTGCTTTTCAGTTGCGTTTACGTTTGAGTGCCGGTTCTTCAGACAAAGTCGAAAGAGAGCCCAATTCTCGAACGGAATCGAATGCAGTCGCATTCGTTCAGTATGTCAAGAAGTTGCGCTACCAGCTCCTTGCAGGTGGTGGGCGCATGGTCTCGGAAACTGTATACGGTCAATGTCTCTATACTCTTTGGTATATTATCCAGTGAGCCTAACGGTTTGGTGTAATGCTGGCGGTTTAAGCAAACCAACTAGTTGGTTCTTTTTCATCTGGTCCAGTTTGGGGGTCAAATCAACTACTAGCGATCCGGTTTGAAGTTTTTGACCAACTGGTCCAACAGATAGTTAGGAAAATATAATTACGTAAGGTTGCTTCGTTAGGAGATAAGGCTCGGATATGAGATCTTGCCAAGCCCCCGTTCAAAGCTATATAGATTCAGTATACTTTAAAAAGGGGCAGGGGGGCTTGAAATCTTAGCAAACTAACAAATGAACCAATCCAACCGCTAGCGATCTAGTTTGACCTTTGAACCAAATGCTAAATTATTGGTTTTGCTCCTACCAGTCCAGTTGAGGCCTCAGACTGGACCCGTTCAGTCGTCCAGGAGGGCGCCTGGCTGGACATTCAGAGATTTGGATGTTTGTAAATCGTACAGAGACCTTATGTTCTCCCTTGTAAGACACAAGCGCGGAAAGTATCAAGAGATTTGATCGTATCCTGGTGTAGAATGAGTAGTTTCCTGAGCTCACTAACGCTCATTGCTGCATCCTTAAGTGGTGGCGATCGCAATAGATCGGCCGGAAAGTCTCTAAAACGCAGCGATATATTCATGTTGAAAGTGAAATCTACCTTAGCCGGAAACATGATGACTAGAGAAGAGAAAGGAGAGAGGGACGTTTCTTGTGAATACCGTCGCTTGGTGCAGATTTGTCTCTTCGACTAGCCCTATACAACCTTCTTTACATTCGGAAGGTAATAGGAAGGGCGGATCGAATGATGGCGGGTGCGATACTTGCTCTTCCATTATCTCCAACATCACTGGATTCTGCAAGCAGGTCACAAGAAGGGCAATAGAGCGTTCTCACTCACGGTATCTGAGCAATCTCTGTAATTTCCTGGGATAATTGGAAATTATTGGCTTACAACAAGGCATTGCTGATGAGTGCTTTCTCTGACCGTCATGATGATATTGTCTGGACTTCGTACTTGCCAGGACTTTGCCATCTACGGTTGTTTTGACCAGTGCCGCAAGACGGTCACTGTCAGGGATGGTTCGAAGAAAGGGCCAGAGGCAAGGAATTCGATGTCGATTCCCAACGATATTCCAGCGAGAGTATAGTCATGGGCAGTAAACTTATACATCTATATAAAATCTCTATAGCTAATCTACTTAACATTTACATCCCATAGACATCTTCTATTTTTCCAACTTTTGCTCTCATCTCACACCTAAACAAGGATATCGTGCAAATTCACCTCCTGCAAGCCTACGAGGAACACTCCTCCAAAGCGCCTTGCTCAAATAGCCGTCGGTCCGGGATTTTGCTCCTCCGTAAGCGACCACTCCACCTTGCGCATGATGTGTGTCTGGCTACTTTGACTTTCAACGTCACTGCCCTTGTATGCCGTAGTTTCGAACTGGCCAGCATTACCCTTGTACCCTTTTCCCATCCCACCTTTCCCGCCATTGCTCTCTTTCGCCCCGCTACGCAGGCTCTGCATCCGGAACACCTCACCATTTCCAATCTCTTTATGCGTCGCCAATTCCTCGCTGTCCGCCGGCGTCTCTGTAGAAGGGGCCTCAGTATTGCTGTTCGCAGGACCCTTGTGGAATTGCGAGCCCCGTGCTTTGAAGTAGCCGTTGGTCGAGCCGCCGCCCTTGCTAGCTCCCGTGCGCAGGTTGATTTGGGTCTTATTGAGGCCATCGGCGCGGACCATGCCCGTCTCCATGACATCAATGAGGAATTTGAGGAAGGGGAAGCAGGAGGCTATGATGGAGCAGGTGAGGACGACCTGGCCGAGTAGGATGGGTTTCCAGAGGTCGTATATCAGATCGGTGCCTTGATTGGAGGAGGGAAGGAGGGTATCGAGGTAGTATAGTTGAATAACCTGTACCGCGATGACACTGACAAGGACGTTTCCAGTTAGTAGTGGCGTTCAGATGGATACAAAGGGATGAGACCGGGGCGTTACTGGCGAGCGAACATGGTTGTACTTACAAGAGTCTTGTCGAGTAACAGCTGATAAAGACAGCTTTTCGACTCGAAGCTATTTGCAGCTTGAGGAGTATCGGCAGAATCAAGGCGATCAATGCCAGGTCTGTAAGAATATTGATCACACCATAGGATGTCCAGAAAGCCAGCAGATTGATGCATTTGTCAGGACCCTGAGAAAGAGTCCACGGATGCGGGAGCTTGCACTGGAACGCAATCACGAAGACTGAACCAATTGTCCACGCGGCGACGACACCTAACAGAGTTGTGCTGGCCAGGTGACTGGATCGAATCGGGGAGAGTCCGTGCACGTGGATACACATAGATATTTTCACGAGGCCGAAAGTAAGGACGTAAAGGAATTGACTGGCATACAAGGACTAGAAGAGTGAGTTCACGTCAGTGCTGAATTATGATTTGAGAACACGTTCCAGGTCTTGCGGCAACGTACCATATAGATACTTTCAATCTTGTTCGGATCAAGGGCATTTGCATGAGAACCCAGACCGTCGGTTGATGCAATGGTCACTGCGACGCATTGCCCAATGGATGCCACCTGTAGTCAACGCTCGTAAGGATGTACTTGCACGTCAGATGGTGAGGGTCCTACCGTGGCCACAAGAATGACCCAGTCATCCCATCGCAGCGTATGAATTGTTGCGTACCTGATCACTGTCCGGGCGGCGATTGCGAGCACGATGGCAACCATGCAGAACCAGGACACGACACTGACGGCTGGTCCATGGTGTGCGGGTGTATTCCACAATGGCGCATCTGCTGCTGTTATATTCGTCGATGTAATGACGCTGCCCATGGCCGTCGAACCGTCGGACACGCTGTTCTTCACCCCCGAGGTGGTGGATGTCGACAACAGTCGACAACAGAGGGTGCCATGGAAATAATTACATGTAAAGATTCCGTCGGCCAGATAGAGCACGAGACTTTCCAGGGGTTGGGCGGACAGGGGAACAAGTTCTTGAGGTGCCTATCACGACAAGGGTAGCTTGACTGCCGAGCCACGAGGTGTGATAGCCCAGCATAGTGTATTAGTGTAAGTCTTTTAGCGTGCGCCCAACTGCATTGGGAGTCCGGCCAGGGGATTCTCCTAACCTCAAGTATTGTTCAGCTCGAGGAACCAAGCCACCCAGCCTACCTATCGACTACCGTACTCGTCCCTCCACACGACCGCAAGCCACCCGAGTTGATCAAATGGCGTTGAGCGCAATTGTTATGACTCAATAATGGCCGGGTCCTGCCCGGGTCCCACATGGGATGCATCTAATCAGCAGCACGATAGGATGTGGTGCTGCTGGAGCAACTTGACCCAATCCTGCCGCAATAATGGGAAATGGCTAGTGCGCCCACGCTAAGACGATAGACTACTGACACCGGGCGCCCTCGGGTCAAGATGTCCATCCAGCCTGGTGGCCCGGAATTCCGGTGGCGCCGGCCCATCACCTCCGGAGCCCCCGGCGGACTACTAGTATCGCAATTGACTTTGAACGAGAAGATCATTTTCACGTTTCTGCCCACTTGGTGAACGGCTCCCCCTAGGTTCTCGACAATGAGATTGAGCAATCCGACGCATGGGCAAGACCAATTGACCAATGACCATAGCAGTCACGCAAGAAACCCCCGGAATGGGGCCCCGGCTCATGCAGCAATCAAGCCCCCACGGAAAACTTGATCTTGCATATACTACTACTGTTCGCGTCCCACGACGAACAGTAGTACAACTTCACACATGGGCTAGCCAGGCCCAGCTATAAGCTACTGAAATTATGGACAGCTAAGCTTGTTCCATCCTAGCCTTGGAGCTCCTCCTGCACGGTGGGATGTGCTCCTTCCTCGACCTCGTTCCTTGCTCTCCCCATCCTCCACCTTCCGCGACGAGGACCTCTTCTGTATCTACTGCTGCGCCCCTCCGCTCGCAGCTATGGGTGTACCTTCGATGGAGCTTCATTCAGTCAACGGCCATGTTGGGCAGGACCAGAAGTCGGCCTCGACAACGCAGGTGGAAGTGCGTGAGGCCAGCGAGCGCGATGCTGCGGCGTTGGCACGTTTGGGCAAGAAGCCCGTCCTCAAGGTACAATTCGTCCTGAGCTGGACGATACGTCCGTGTCAGTCATGGCAAAGCTGAACTCTCTATCCACAGCGGCGATTCTCATTCATGGCCATGCTGGGCTTCACGTGCACAGTTCTGGTGACGTGGGAGGTGATTCCCATGTAAGCCTCTCTCTCCGTGCAACGCGCACATGAAATGTCTATGAGGCGAGACACTGACATGGGTTGTTAGCATATACACCACCGGTCTCACCAAGTATGCCATTCTGCACGCCTCCTCACCCGTCGATCCTGTACACACTGACACGGATGGCGCGTCTCTAGCGGTGGTGCAGCCGGCTTCGCATATAGTTACCTGTTCGCCCTAGTGGGCAGCCTCTCGCTCTTCACCGTCATGGGTGAAATGGCTTCACTGTGAGGAACCCTCCCCGCCGCCCCCTCCCATCATCGGAACATGTACCCTTGACGGGGCGAATCTTCGTAGCAGCAGACGTGTTGATCAAGACAAAAGGGCTCCAACTTCGGGAGGACAGTACCACTGGACCTTCATGCTTGCGCCCAAATCCTGCCAGAAATTTTTCAGTTACATCATGGGTACGCCCCCCCCCTCACTTTCGCAGAAGAGAAAGTCAGAGAGACTCCATGCTGAAGACGGGACAAACAGGTTGGCTTGTTATATGCGGCTGGCAAGCCCTTGTCGCCAGCAGTGCCTATCTCTCCGGGAACTTGATCTTGACCCTCATCTCGATGAATCACCCCGACTACACCTGGACTCAATGGCAGAGTACCCTGCTCTACTGGGCGATCATGACCCTTGCCATACTCGTCAATATGTATTCCAGCACGCTCTTGCCAAAGTTGGAATTCTTCATCTTGGCCCTCCATGTCCTCGGCTTCTTTGCCTTCCTGATTCCAATGGTCTACGTGAGTTGACTCTGACATATTAGTGAAGCCTTGCACTCGCTGATGGCGCGTTAGATGGCGCCGAAAAAAGCTACCTCGAAGGAGGTGTGGACCGATTTCAATAACGGCGGTGGCTGGCCGACGCAAGCTCTCTCCGTTTTCGTTGGCCTGATTGGCAGCGTTTTTGCTAACAACGGTAACTAATACCCTTCTTGAGTATCTTTTTGCAATAGTCATTTGGCTTACGATGGTCTTCCCAGGTACCGACTGCGCTGTGCATGTGAATATACCAATATCCATCCTGTCCTTCCGCACTTTTTGACTGACTCGAATTTTTCCTTAGATGGCTGAAGAGATCACCGGTGCTGACTTTGCTGTACCTTGGTGCGTGGTTGCGACGTCAGTCCTGAATGGTGTTCTTGGCCTCGGTACCCTCCTTGCTATGCTTTACGTCACCGTCGACATTACCGCCGTTCTCGACAGCCCGACTGGTAAACTTGGATTCCCTTTCATGCAGGTGGTCCTAGACTCAGTGGGCTCTTATTCCGGCGCGACCGTTATGATAAGCATTGTCATTGCTATGTTTGTTTTTGCCGTCATCGCCTTCCTGGCAACAGCATCCCGCATCGTCTTCGCCTTTGGCCGAGACAAGGGCCTTCCCTACTGGAAACTCATGTCAACGGTGAGTTGCTTTGTTGATCTGTCCATCCTCTCTTCTTGTTCATGACAGTCTGGACCCGTCGGAAAATTGCTCCTAAGCGAACTGTGCTAATCTCATCGACAAACAGGTGCACTCCACGACCGCAATCCCGCTTTACGCTATCTATGTCATGGCTGGTGTCGCCTGCTTCGTCGGCATCATCAATCTAGGCTCCGCCACGGCATTCAACATTATCCTTTCTATCGGTATTTCCTCCCTCTATTCCTCCTACACCATTACAGAGGCTCTCCTGCTCTGGCGCCGTATCCGTGGCGATATTCGAAGACCCAGCGAGATGAGTGGTGAGGTCTGGAAAGCCAACGAGCTTGTATGGGGACCCTTCCATATCCCTGGAATCTGGGGCATTATGCTCAACGCTTGGGCGGTCTGTTACGGTACCATTGTTATCATCTTCTGCTTCTTTCCAGCAGAAGTGAATCCGGATCCGGCGCATATGAACTGGGCGTGCTTGATCACAGCTGCCGTCATCTTCTTTGCTGTTGCTTATTACCTGCTCTATGCTAAGAAGGTGTACAAAGGACCCGTGGTTGAAATCGCGCCCTTTCAGCTATCAACGACATAGTATTGGTTGGCAGCGACTTCTGCATTTCGGAGGAGGCTTTTCTAAAGTCAAGCAATCGTGTATGCTTTAAAATTGGTGCAGAGGCGGCATACAATGCGATAACCCTCGGCGGAGACCTTTGGTGTATCTATTCTATTTAAATAGAGAGTTTTAGATTGGGCGATTGTGGGTGTGATCTATGTAGATATGAGGGGTTGAAAATGTCAGTGATGTGTAGCTCCCACATAAACAAAAGCTTTTGCGTATTGCGAACGCATGTCTTGTGCTCTTGACGTCCTTAGAGAACTTTCATGTTTACATATAACGACAAGAGGTCCCTTTACATAATTTCAATAGGTTGCAAGCTCAGGGGCTTTTTGAATGATGCAAAAAATGAAGCCTTTTTGGGTTAGTCTTCTTCAATTTCTCCTTGGATTTCAACCACAACCATATTCCTGATTGCTCTTAAAACTTGGAAACTATTTGTCATCTATGTCAATAATAAGTCTTGGAAATCGTGCCTTATTGACTACAGCTTTGTAGCTGCAGACTAATTGTGGTGCTTTTCACCGGAATTATCGTTTTTATGCATCATTTAGAAAAGCCCTTAGATACGTATAAATTACAGGGATACCTCACTGCAGGCCCAACATGTAATGTCAATCGACATCAATTGGGAGACTCTCACCTCCGGCTCTCAAGGTGAAGACCTCGCTCACACAGTCCGCGACTTTATTCACGACCGCTTTCAGCAAGTCCAGCTCCCCCGCTTCATCCGCTCCGTCGAAATCCACAGCTTCTCTTTCGGCTCAGAATGCCCTTCCATCGACATAGTCGACATCACAGACCCCCACCCTGCCTTCTACGAAGATGATTCTAGCGACAGCTCCTCCTCACAAGAAGACGCCCACAGCGAAGAGCTTACCTCTCCCCGTCGAGCTCCCAACCACCAGCTTCCACCACTACAACCTCCGCACGCAAGAGCAACCCACTTCCCCAATCTCCAACCTCAGCTCCAGTCAGGCCAAACCTCCCCGCTCCGTTCAGGTACACCAGGGATACCAGGCGGCACCTCCAATCTCTCATACTTCCACCTACCTCTTCGACAAGGTCTAGGCAGCGGCACCGCAACGCCCACACCTTTCACCCCTACATTTCCATGGCCGCACAACGCAACCAGCGAGCAACCCTATCACCACCACAACCGGCCTCCCACACCTCCCCCGCCGCAAACACCATGGGCAGACCCAGTCTCGCCTCCGCGCACGACCTCACGACCACAAGTCAAGTCTCCAGACCCAGACGCGCAAGTCGACGGCTATTTCAATTCTCGTAATCCCAAGAAAACCCAAGGGAGAAGTGAAGAGAATGGAAACACGCCAAATCCGCTCGACCTACAGCTCACACTGCACATCTCGTATTCTGGCTCCCTCTCCCTCTCCCTAACGGCGGAGATTCTCCTCGACTACCCTATGCCCTCATTCGTATGCCTCCCCCTCCGACTCACGGTCACAAACGTGGAATTCGATGGTGTTGGCCTCTTGGCCTACCTAAACCCCACTCCCAACCCCAATCCCAGTCCCGCCAAAGACGCAAGAGACGGTGGTCGTAATGAGGTCGATGAGGGCGATGAAAGCGGGCGGAGGGTTATCTTCTCCTTCCTCCCTCCTGAGGAGGGGCGTCTTACTCTCGCCTCAACATCCACCGCCACCACCGCTACCTCCTCTCTCAATTCTGACGATGCTCCTTCTACGAATCAAGTTAGAGAACGAAAGAGTGGTGGAAGTGGATTGGGCGCGCTGATTAATGCCATACACGTGGAGAGCGAGATCGGGAAGCAAGGCGGAGAGCAGGGCGGGGCGGGCGGGGCGGGCGGGGCAGAGCAGAAACAGCCGCCGCTGAAGAACGTGGGGAAAGTGGAGCGGTTTGTGGTCGAGCAGGTGAGGAGGATTTTTGAGGGCGAGTTGGTGTGGCCTGGGTGGTGGACTTTCTTGGTTTGAGGGCTGGAGAGGGTGGAAAATGAGGTGGATGATAAGGGAGACGGCAGGAATATATTTGTCTGAGCAATGGTATTAGAGGACTGAGATTAGAGCTGCTGATAAACATGTCGGCGGTATTCCATACAAAGTCACTTTTCCTCTACCTTCCCAACAAGAGAAACCACCAAAACCCATACTTCTTTCTATACTAAACCAACCCGCCCCTCTCCTCTTAATAATATCTACCAGATCTCCAATACTTCAGGCATCCACCTCACCAGCGCCTCCATCTCCTCCCTCACCATCTCGCCCATCACCCCTTCCACCCCCCTTCCACCGACCCTTCCCCCTCCTTCTGCCCCTCTTCCACAACCCCCACTCTCTCCCCCGCCTCTTCCGCCCCTTCCGCCCAGCCCCAAACAGCCCACCAGCACCTGACCAAGAGCTGCCCTTCCGTATTCCACTCCTGCCAGTCCTCCACGCCTTCTTCCTCGCCTTGCTCGACCACCTCCAACCCCCGTAGTGTGAGTTCTTTGCGCAGGTCCCCGTGGTAGTCGCGGTCCATGGAGCGGAAGGGGAGGCATGTGAGGACTTTTGCTTTGCTTGGTATTACGGCGCTGGTCGTGGGTGTGGGGGTGGTGGAAGGAGGAGGAGGAGGAGGAAGGCGCAGGTACGCGACGATGGTGTTTGCGAGCATCCCCGGGTGTTCGGGCGCGTAGAGCGAGTCTGCGGCTAGTATTATGTCGTATCTTTCGCTATCCTTCAGAGGGGGCTTGACTAGTTTTCTGAGATGAGGGGGGATGGCGCGGATTGAGGTCGGTGGCGGGATCAGCGACCAGTCGATCGTACCTGCTGTTACTTGTCTTGCCGTGAAGAGGCGCGCGTTGGTCGCGATGTTCGTTTTGAGGTTGGGGACGGTGTAGGGCAGGTCGGTCAGATGGACGCTTGTGGTGTGAGGGAAGAGAGCGGCGCATGCGAGGCCTGTGAGACCGGTGCCGGCGCCCAGCTCGAGTACTCTCAGTGGCTTTTGGTTGCTGTTATTGTTGGTGTGGTTGACCCCATTCATATGTTTGGTCTTGCTGTCCTGGAGGCTACGGCGCGATTTTATGGGTGTAGAGATGCTGGTGAAATGTCTTGGGAGGACATCTGGAAGCTTCTTCGCGAGGATATGTGCCCCAAGCCACGTCTTATTGCCCAGTTGATCACCGTTCAGAGCTGGTTCCTTGATTTTGATTTGTAGAGAAGGCCACGCGACGGGCTTTGAGGATGTACTGATGTAAGGCTCGAAAGCTCCATTCGTGGGCACCTTGAAGGTCCTATCAATGGTAGACATAGCTGCTCTGCCCGATCTCTCTGACAATCTCTTGCTTGCTGCTTCCCAGATTTCTTCCTTTTCTTCCTCACGAAGCCAAGTCAAAGAGGAGGCAACTAGGCGGGTGAGGTATGATGGTATGCCCTGTTCACTAATATTTTGCCTTTTGACTGTCTCAGATTCATTCAATTCCCACGATGAAGGACCAAGCCTCAAGTGATCCAGCGTTTGTTGAAGGGTAGTAAACGAAGGGCGTGAGTGAAGTTGTGGCAGGTCGAGGACTGTGAGGTGAAGCTGGGATGTCTCGAGTACGTTTGCCATTGTGGAGAACGTCTTGGGGTTTTCTTTGGGGATTTTGTTGGCGGGGAGCCCGCAATGTGTTTGCCTGCGCGGAAGGGAATGTTGATGCGGCGGGAAGACATTGTGAATGTGACGGTGGTGGCGATTCAAATGGGCGAGACCTCTAAAATTGAGGCAGTTCGATCACGTATATATATTTATGAGTCGACTGTGGTAATGTACAAAGCTCACATGGTGGGATGACTGAAGTTGAAATCATTGTTGTGGTTGGCGTTAAAGGATCTAGACCAATGACGTCGCCGTACGCCGGCTGAGCCCCTTCCAATGCGAAGAGCTCGTCGTTGCTACATTCTCTTCGCATTCACAACCCTAGGATCAATCAACCGTGAATATGGTGATCGGCCTTCTCACGCTCGCTGCGATACCTACCACTATTGGTGTAGCTGAAGGTGTCTCTCGCCGTGATGAAGCCAACAAAGATGCAAAGGACAGGATCGAGCAACAAATGCGCAAGTTCAATATAGAGTGTTACTGCGATAGTCCACAAGGCAAAGCAAAAGCAATCAATGGAGGCACGGTAGTCCTCAGGAACGACAAATTGTACATTGACCAACCGAGCAAGCCGAGGACGTCGCATCCGTTCGAGGGAATGTACATCGAGTACGCGGACAACGATCGCCCCAAGCCTTTACCTTTGGGAATGGTATCCATGGTCTACAGTGACCCGCCCACATTGAATTGGATTTATGTGGACAAGAATACACGAGAAGTCAAATATGGCAATAAGACTGCGAGTAAAGAGCACATCGTAGGCCCGTGGAGTTGGGAGGCTGGAGAAGAAGGTGGGCCGGGTGGCGTTGCATTAGATGGCGAAGAGGGTGCTGTAGCTATCGAGACATCTGAAGGCTGGGAGATACGTTGGGAAGATACAAACGGTAATATTGGTGTCAAGACAAAGGCCAGGGTCACCATCAGCCTGGAACGAAAGATGCTCGAGCCTACAGAAGCGGACAAGCCAACAGTGACGGAGCCGAAACATGCAATCAAGACAGACTCAAAAACGGAGCTCACAAACACAAGATTTGAGGACAAGACTCGCACGACAGACGGTCAAAAGGCCACCATGGTCAAAGTTACAGGTGGTAATCCCAGTCAGAAGAAAAGGGAGCCGAAGTTGGAGATTGCATCCTCTTCAGTCATCAAGCCAATGAGGGAGAAATAATTGCAGGAAGTCTATGTACACGCCTGTCGCTATCACCCTTGCAAATTACACATTATGATACGAGACGACCCATCTCGTCCTCGAGCAGCCTATCCTATGGCAAACTTACTTCGCTTCCTGATCCTCGGACCGAAATAAAAGAACAAATATGGAACGGGAACCAGTAGTGCACTCAGGCAAGCCAGTATCGTCAATGTCCAGTGAACGCCCAGGTTCTTGTAGAAAGGTATCTACATGCTGTCAGTCAAGAGAACACCGATGTTCCAGGATACGTACCGCGACTTCGACCATACCACCCGCAGCAACATAGCGGATCAATGTGGCGCTCGCCAACGCACTGGCCGAATACGCTTCATAGCTGTCAATGATATACTGGTAGCAGGAGATGAAAACACAAAGAATGCCGTAGCCAAAGAGCACACTGGCCGCCAGTGGTGACCAGTACGATATCGAAGGATAGGCTGTCCAGCCCATCCAGAAGAGACTGATTGGGATAGCTGGAGACCCGAACATCATGTACCAGAGCCGGATTTCAGGCGCTAAACGATTGCCTCCCTGGTCTTTGACCTTGGCCCACTCCTTCTTGGTCCAATGATTGATCAGTGGGACGAGACAAGAAGCAAAACACAAACCGATACCGATTCCAATGAATGAAAGACCAGTGATCCCCTCGCTAAAACCATATGTCTCCGTGAAGATGAATGCGTATCCATCCAGAAATGTGAAGAGAATGATGTATATCACAGTCAGATACAATGCGACAATGACAACGATCGGTTCACTGAAGGTCAACAAGAATGGCCTGTACAATGCGTGTCCCAGCCTCTTGATGAAGGCAATATCCCTAATCTCGATTTCGGCGCGGTATCGGTCATCACTGGTCAATTGTCTCAATTTCTTTGCCTTCCATGCCAAAAGTACTGGCGCATACGTCTCCGGCTGGAAGAGCACAACTAACACAAGAACCAGTCCAGAGATTATCAGTGTGATCCACTCGGTCCATCTCCAGCTTATGAGCTTTGATTCACCCACAAATCCGCCAATCACAGGCCCTGTGACGCCACGAGAGTCAGCTTTACCTCACCTACACAGGGGCTTACTTACCAAATATTGGTCCCATGAAGGCCGCATTAGCAAATACTGGAAATGCCCAAACTCTTTCCAAAGGACTCCATAAGTCGCTGATACTCCCTCCTGCACAAGTCAAGGGTGTACTTGCAAAGCATCCGGCCAAGAAACGAGTCGCCAGCTGCGCTCCAAAATTCCCCGCATCGCCTGCGAAACCCGCTCCCATTATGAAAAGCATATACGCCCCCAAAGTAGCAATGTACACCGGATTTCTTCCCACCGTCTCACTGATCGGTCCAGCAAACAGACTTCCCACCCCAAAGCCGACCAGAAACAAGCCCGTCGCAAGCGATTCTGCCACCTCACTGACCCCGAACGTTTTCGACGCCTGCATCAACGCCGCACTATCGACGGACGAGGCGAATCCGACGATCCATCCAATACTCGCGATATTGACTGTAGCACCGATTCGGGTGGCGCGACTCCAATTGTGTGGATTCATGGGATCAGAAGCGCCTTCATATCCCACTACGAACACCTTCTGCACGCCTTCTCCACCTCCTTCTCTAGTTGTGCGACTGCGGACTTCAATACCTGTCAAGGTCGTGCCTAGAGCTGTTCCAATTGTCTTCTTGGTGTCCACCTTGTCCATAGCCAAATCGTCATCATCCGCCTTCCCCTTGGTCTCTTGCGTCGCTGGATCAAGGACTCCTGCCCTTTCAGCTTTCTCTGGATCTTTTGTGTGAGGATGCGACTGGACGGAGAGTGTAGTATGCTCTGTCTCTTTCACCCCGGCCGGACTTGGGGATGGGCTCGAGAACTCGGAGGATGAGGACGAAGACGACGTTGACGAGCTCGTTGCACCCCGAACACCCTGCCTCTGCTCTTTCCCACCGTCTTTCGCACGCGCTTTCAGCGCATGCGCTTCACCCTTATCGCGCTCATACTGCGCTTCGACTTGCCTTCCAAAACGGCGGTACTGCAAGAACGACTGCATCGGATTTGCTCGGCCGAAGCGTTTGACAAGGGCTGAAGAAAGACGTTGAAGGGAGAAGGCAATACCTATGACTCAGGCCGCTATCGGCGCCCCAACGAAAGCTTGACGCCATCGTTGAGGAATGCGATTCCGCGACTCGGTAATGACGGCGTGGAGATAAGGCGGTTCTGAGATACTCGACGTCATTAGTCTGTGGTTGTAAAGAGCCCCAAGGCAATTGAGTTGGGGCTTGATGCCGATATCCCCGGAGCTCAATGCCGCTAGGAGCGGAATTGCGGGATGGCATCCCTCTCGAAAACAGCCTTCTCTGGGCCTGCCTCACTACCAAGAGGCATCTTTTCTAGCTTGTTCGCCTGAAACCTTGGGGTACCAGGCCCTTCGAAATTGACCTAGAACGGAACACTAAGAAGCCGTTTCGCAATGAAACAACATAGCAGCGTCTCGGTCTTTTGCATCAAAACATATACCTCGCTTGTTACTGACATTCTGATTAAGGGTGAACAACCTTGGTGTCGGCGATTTCGAGCGAGGTGTTGTCCAGTCTAGTCCTACAGAGATGGCCGGGGAACGAGTTCAGCGCTTCGTCCAAAGGCAGAGGTATTGCTTAGCGTACGGACGCCATGCAGACTTAGGCAGAGTGCTCACCCGCCCTCCATCTTTAAGATCATTCGTGATAGGCGCCGGGGTTCACAATCCTACAGCGGCTACATTCTTTGACAGAGGCAAATTGCAAAAGAATCTTACCATGGGAGTTTTTCACATAAGGCTGGCCACTCAGAGAAGGCCACAGGTCTGTGCCGCGTAGGATTCCTAGCCTGTACAAAATTGTCGGCGCTTGCAGCACAGCCTGCCGCGAGAAAGAGCTTAGTAGCTGCAGTGATGAAGCTCGGACCGCTTATCATATTGCAGCACAACTGTTGGACCCCACAGAGCCTTGTCTAGTCCCTCCGCCTTCACGTGCAGTGGTGGAGGGCGCCAGGCGCGCATTGGTTCGCGACTGGTCGCTTGACCCGACGCCATGGGTCATCAACAATAACATTCGCCTTTCTCTTACACAAGGTTACAGCCTACTGCCGGACAGAAGCATGATCAGCTTCTTGACCAGGGGCATCCCTTCTTCTCGTGCAGGAACGCAGCCGACACGTTTGGCAATCCTACTCTAGAGCCTCACCGACAGGGACTTTACTGGGGTACTCCAACGACGGCGTTTCACGCTACTGGACTACGGTCTTTTCCATGCTAATTCAGTTGCAGCTCTGGACCTCAATTCATCGATCGTGGGCATTGTGCCACTTGCTTCGCTAGGCTAGCATATGCGATGACGGAAACTCGCACAATGCGTGCATACGAGCCAATTGAGCGACGTGGGCGGTGCTGTAGTAGCGTCGGGGAAGCACCCCGTTTCGATAGAAACCCACGGTCCTAGAGCGTGAGACTCACTGGCGTCGATGAAGCGGGGAAAACGCGAGACGAGGCTCTGACAGCCTGATACGTGGAGGGATATTTATAAGGTCGATCTTAAGATTTTCCGAAGATGAAAACTTTCTGCACTGTCTTGTGATCTGATATTACAATTGACTCCATTCATCTCTTTCCTGTTTGATAGCTTTCTGCCCTGATCGCGCCAACATGTATTTCAGAGCAGGCTCGCTCTTTGCTTTGTCCGTATTCGCTTCACGGAGCTTCCTCGTCGGAGCAAACCCCGCCGCATCCAACATTGAGCGTCGCTCGCCAGCTAACTATCAGGGCGATGGACTCCCTCATCGGCAGATGGTTGCTGCACGCTCCGCGCGTAGTCTCGAGCGTCGCCAGCTAGATATCAACAACTTCCTGAAGCACGAGCACGTGTTGCCTTTCATTGACGGTACGCATCTAGTGAATACTTTTCGCCTCTACTGACTATTTGGAGATGATGCTTCGGCTTCTCATCCCGGCGGATCTGTACCTGGCTCTCCACCGGCCTTTGCAGCCCACGTCTTACTGAAATCAGTCCTGCCGACCTTGTTACTAGAAGAGCATGAAGGCTTTATCGAAAGTATCGCCTGCCACGAATCCATCGTCGAGCTCGATTTCCATAACAGTGCTGTGCTGTCTGCTGCATGGGCAGAAATGCAGCAGCATCCTGAAATGCTAGTCATCACCTCTCATGTTGGCTGCAATCCTGACGGAGAACGTAAACCTTACCGGTAAGTCTCGCCTGATCTGGGAATAGTGGCAAGATATCTAACTTTCCAAGTGTCTCGAGTGTTGAAAAGAGAGAGCATTCGCTTGTTCTTTCTGTGATTCACGCCTCATGGAAACAATGCTTTCATTCGATCGATCTTGCATTTGGCAGCCACAAAGAAAACGCTCAACTCAAGCGCCACGATCATGACCTCAGAAGGAGACAAGAGACGGCGACTTCATCAGTCATCGTAGGCCCTGCCATCTCCATACCCCCTCCACCAACCTCCTCGCCTACAGCCACCGTCGTTGCCGCCGCAAGCGTCACAACAGCCTGGCTTGGCACCACTATCCTGCCTCCCACATTCCCCGGCTCAAACTTTCTCGTCCCGGACCTCCCCGCCGGCCTGAACGTCCAATGCAAGAACTGCTCCCTCCAAGGCAGCATCAACCTCTCAGACGGTTATCTCAACGGTGCCGCTCCAAGCACATCCGACGACGACGACAGCATCGGCTCCATCTTCGAATCCGAGGTCACCGACATCATCAACTTCTTCGACAACGGCTACATCGAGCTCGCCGTCAACGACTTCACGGCGCACATCGAGCTCGAAACACACGTCACGCCCTCCGCCTCCCTAGTCACCTACATCGCGCCCTTCCCCGACATCGGCATTCCCGGCTGGACGATCCCCAAAATCGCCACCGTGGGACCCATCCTCCGCCCGCACATCACCTTCGGCGTGCAGCTAGCCACAACACTAGAATTCACATACGGCTTCGACCTCACAATCCCAAATAATTCTACCATCCACATCGATATCAACGACCCCATCGCCAACTCCACCGTCACTGGCTTCCAAAACACGACCTTCACGGCCCTCCCCTTCCAAGCCGGCATCGACAGCATAAACCTCACCGTCTCCGCGGCCTTGAACCCCCAAATCCTCCTCGCCTTCTCCGTCTTCGACGACTCCGCCTCTCTCGCTGCAGGCGCCTTCCTCGACCTCCCCCAGCTTTCCGCCACAGTGGCACGCGTCAGCCACGTCGACGAACACTGCAATCCCCCCAACGCTTCCAGCGCGGAAAAAGACCTCACGCTCTTGAATATCGTGCCCAAGGTAGACTTCGATGTGGGCTTGCTCGTGGATGCGAAGTTAGATGCTGAAGTTCATACCTTTGATGTCGGCGCGACGACGACGGTCGCGAGTGCGGTGCAGACTTTGGGCACGGCGTGTTTGAAGTGGGATGGGAAGAAGAAGACTTTTGGGGCTGCGGTGGGGGCGAAGGAGACGGGGAAGAGTTCTGACGCTGCGGCGGAGATGCAGGGTAAGGGGAGGCTCGCTCTGTTGGCTATGTCTGTGGTTTCGGCGTTTTTCATGCTGCTGTAGATGGGTTTTCTTGGGTTTGCAGGACTTTTGGATGGTCGTGCTTGCTGTTGGAGCGTGGGTTGGGTAAGTTGTGGAGGGGAGGGAGAAGCTGTGGCTATTTATGACTGAGCCCTTTTGGACTGGAAGATGCTTTCAATTGACAATGATGGAGGAGATGTAATTTCTTTGCATGGCAGATTGCGCCACCCCCGCGCTGGAAAAGTTTCTATACGTGAAATGTCTTCTCTATACTTTCATAGCGTGAAAACTGGTAGAATATCTCATCTGATCTTCCCTTCTGACATCCCGTCTTCGTGGGCTTGTGTTCTACCGGACTGAGCCAATGATGTGGCTGAATCGAAAAGAAACGTTTCTACCTTTCCTTGTGATATAGATAGAGACAAAGAAAAGCGGCTTCTATCATAGTGTCGTCCACGATATATCCCCTTGGCCGGCGTCAGTGCTGTCTATATTCTCACAGGGGCTTGAAAGCGCCTTCTCGACCGAAGTCTTGTTTCCAGGGAAAGCCTTGCTAGGCTTTGTAGGGACGTTCGCAGGCGGGTATTTGAGTGGCCAATAGAATAACCACCAGCCCAGCCCAGCTGGAGGGACGGTCATGTGCTCGCCACGGGCATGATACGCTAGGGGTATGAGGTTTGGAATTCAATCAAATCATGGATTACATTTCCAAAGCCCGTGGGGCGCAGTGTAGAGTCAGATGGGAGGTGGCTGTAGAAGCTTGAGTCCTTGTCTAAGGGTCGCGGTTAAGGTGCTATTGGAATTGGAGGTGTTAGTCGCATCGGCTTTGGAGAATGAAAGCCAGGGTTGAGGTATGGGTCATTTTGAGGAGGTTGAATGCCGGCCGGATGATGTGTTGAGTGGTCGGAGGATTTCGAATTGGGAAGGTTGGAGGGTGGGATGTCGATTTGTGCTTTCCCTGTGCTACTATCTTTTTTTTGAGGTCATACTGCTTTGCCTAAGTGGTTGTATTGTCAAGCAGTCAGAGGCCGACTTGCTGAAGAGGAGCCAGAGGTGTACGGTCGGTATGAATACATAGATGTGTAATAATTGTTGTCTCTAGGTATATGTTGGACACAGAGGACGTTAGGAGAACGTGATCATGTAAGGTAGTGACGCTATCTTAGGTAGTTCCTGACGGATTGACTCGAATACTGGATCCATGGACAAATCGCCGACACAGAACGACACTCATCCTCATCAAGTGCGCCTCCTACATGCTCAGCTTTCATGATGCGTTAAATATCAGAGCACATGTCACAGGCAAAGTCTGCCCTTTTCTTGACGAAAACCCCTTTAATTAAGCCAAATCCGGGTCGACGTCTAGCTCGCGACCCCTCAATCTCTTCCAATTTCCAGTGTCTTCTCCAAAACGTATCAGATGAGCTCCGACGGATAAGGTAACATCTTGGACATGCAGATCGAACGTCGTGAAGATCAGAAATCTCGCAGCATCCTAGAGCCTCAAAATTTTTCCTCGATTTCAACGGTCAAGACCTTCCATTGAAATTATGGCAGCGATGAGCAATACTCATAGAGAATAGATAGCTATGTAAGACAGAATTCAGGTACTTAAAGTGTAGCCTTCACCGAAGCCAATCAGCTCGTTCTCTTCCTGACATATGAAAATTATGTACGTGGCTTGATCCGATCTTTGCCGACCGAGTATCCACTTCAATAGAGTGTGCATGACTTTAAGCTTTGTTCATTGGCAACTGAGAGGGCCAAAGGAGAGAGTCAAGTGACGAAGTCAACCCTTTCCTCGTACATGACAAGGGAATCCCATTCTCTCTACATACGCATTCTAAAATCTCCCATTTTTTGCACCAAAGCCTGCACCATTTGTTTGGTGCTTCTGACGTGGAGTTCGTTTTCGCTGGTAGCATCCGTCTAGAGGTAAGAGTCACGTCCTCGCTCTCTCTTTCCGGACCTGGCTCCTCTCTCTCTTCAAAAAGATTCTCTCCAAATCTGAGGACGTATGCTGATTGCAAAAAGATGTTGATAGCGGTGGGACTCGAACCCACGCTCTTTCGAACTAGTAAAGTCTTGAATAATGAAGCCTGAAACTAGCGCCATAACCACTCGGCCACGCTACCTTTGAAAAGTGGAAGTCGATTTTTCTGACGACCAATCAAGCGAAGATTTTGTTAGTACAATATATATATCCTCATTATAAAAAGGTTCAATTGCCCTATGACCGCGACAGCTAACTTTGGCACGCGACGACGATCCAAGTCCTACTTGTAGGCTCCAATCAGCAGCCGTCCTTTCCGAAGGTAATCATTCTCTATGGCGAAGAAAACTCAGTCCTTGCATCTCCCTTAGATATATCAAAACGAATCTCGCAATAAATATTTATCCAAATTCAATGCAATTAGTCTATTCATCTTTCTTATATTCGAACCACTAATTTGGATCCGAGATGTACCTGCGGAAGTGGTCAGGTCCTCGAAGAGGGACGTATCTAATACTTTCCGCAAGTGGTTAGGATCATGCGCAGTACTCGAAATATTTAGTCAAGAGGAGTAATCTGCACAGCTCTGAGGCAATGAATGTCTTCATGAATAAAATGGGGTACAATCTTCTAAGCAATCAGATGGCCCAGCGATGGAGATAGACTGGACGTGCGAGCTGTCAATACCAATCGAGGAAGACATCTTGCGCTACTCAACAGAGAATCTACGCATGGTCTTGTCTCTCAAGTCTAAGGTATCTAGTGCTTTCACCTCTCTAAATTGGGTAATTGATGCCGCCTTACCTTCCGATGGAAGTCTCAGACCGCGATCTACCGCCGAAAAAAAGAGACGATGGAGAACAACGAGCGGGAAAGATGTGGGTTGATCAAATCATTCGTTGCAAACTGATTCTTCGAAAGATCTTCATCTTCGCAAAGAGGAAGACTTGTGTTTTGTAAATATTCTTATCCGGGCTTGCGGCAGTCTTGGTATAGGCCGAGAAATGGCTGAGTCGATCACAGGGTTGACTATATTCTGCTCATTTGCTTGCGGTCATTAATTCATCCGCAGAAGGTGTAGGTTCCCACACCAGCCACCTGTCAAAACTTCATGAAAACCTCCTTAAAGTTTTGCAAGATATCTGAGGCGTTGAGGTACCGAGCGCCACCCGACTTTTCTTCGTACTTCCGCTCTTTCAGTCGCTCCATGAACATATAAGACATCTAAATATTGGATCTATCGTTTCCATAATCCTCAATAACTTGAGCTAAATCTTCGTCCTGAAAATTCAAACTTCCGCGTTTCAAATATCCAGTCAGGTTCTCGCAATTCACTTATCATCTAATAATTCGACACAACATGGTCGGTTTTCTGCGCAAACTAAATTGGGCATGGCGATGTAATGGTTACGTTCTCGAGTCGGTCGTACTCAACACCTTTGCGATCCTCCTGTTGGCCCCAAGACCGTACAAGAGGTGGCACAATAAGCTGCAGCAACAATACACACAACGGCAGGCAGATCAGAATCCGTGTAATGAGAGGCTGGACACCAGCGGTATCCGTCAGACTTGATACGTTATGGCTTATCCGGAGGGGAAGAGGAGGGGTGTAGAGGTCCCTGACCCTTGCTCTCCAGATCTGGAATTCATGGAGAGTGCATCGGCGGCAGTCTCGCTTTAAATCGCCTCCCAGATGGATTCGCCCCAGGAGCGATTAAGCAGTGGATATGTGCTCAGGAATGCGGATGTGAATGACACAAAAGAGGCGCTAGAGAGAAAGTAGAGTCCGTGGTAATTGGTGAAAAATTGTTAGCTACTGAGATTGTGTGCAACGATCAGCGCAAAGTTTTGGTAGGATTTGGTTGACTGTCTAATTTGGTCATAGGCTTGAACATTGAAGACTGTAAAGGCAGCCGTAAGTTTCGAACGCAGCCACCAAACCCTCTCTACTGGAGAAATAACTCAAAAGCGCTCGTGATCACCATCATTTCCTTGAGTTCAGACACCACTGCATCTCGCGTACAGAACTTCGTCAAAGCGATCTGAACGACCCATAATCCTCTATATTAGGTAAACCTACCATATCCAACACTCCACGCATCTCCCCCAAGCCTTATCGTCCTCACCATCATGTTCAAAATCCTCCGTAGATTCACCTGGAATCACCGTCAATATGTCGACAATATACGCGGCTGTAGCCGATTAGTCACCATTGCTCTACTTTCTTACCATATCAACGGTATATGGAAGCAGCACCGGCGACAGCAACGCCTGGAGTCGCCTCCAGAGCTGATAGATTCGCCTCGGGAGAGGTTGGGTTGTGGATATATGCTTCAGTATTCAGAGCAGACCGAAGGCAAAGAGAAAGGAGAAGCGTAGGAGATATATAGTATGCAATCTAGAAGTAGATCGGAATTATACTAGAAGCAAAGGGTCAGATTATGATATGTGCAATAGGATAAAGTCGTTTGTAAGCGAGTATGCAAAGATTATCGGGTTTTATTAAATAACGGCTTCTGTTGAATGGCTCTTCTAGATAATGAGCATTTCTGTACACAATCCAGAGAACTCTCGCGTATGGAATGTGTGACTTTCTGGTTCAGCCACCTTCTCTTCTTTTCAAAACCTTACCTCATAGTGACGGAGGTTGTGGCTGCTCTCTTACAAAGGACAGGTACGACCCTCTGATACCAGCGTTTAGTTCTAGCAAGCCAGCTTTGGGTGCTTGTGGCACCACTTCCCGGTTGGTGGTTTATGGTTTGAGGAGATAGACATCACGCCAAACGATAGGAGAGACGCCATTGAGTTTATTTCTTCACAGACCCTCTGAAATCCTCGTCCTTTAGTTTGATTGAGACTCTCGCTCATCTCCAAATCAATCTCAATACTCCATACAACCCCATCACTTCATACGACTCCATTCTCCCATCTAGCCCCAATCCAACTCAAGAATCAGATCTCACGCCCGACCTCTCCTCCTATCATACTCGCCATGGTCAGCACTCTGCGTCTACTGGTCCACAGCCACAAACGATGGCCTCTCGCCACCTATCGAGTAATCGGAAATCCTCTCGCTGGGTTGTACATCTACACTATCTTGAAGGGAAGTAGGCCACAGCTACCGCCATCATTGGATTGGGCTAGGGAACGTGCTGGCGATCAGGACGGGCGCTCTGGTTCAGAGGAGCTGGGTACATTCCGCGATGTTACGAAGAGGAGGAATGACGGGCAGAGTGGCGTAGGAAAGGTGACGCGTGAAGTAAGGAGCAGATCCTCAACATAGATATGTCTGTTTAAATAGACTTTTTTGTGTCTTGTGATAAATTGTGGCATCCTAAGCGAAACTCTCAAAAAGTCGTAAGTTCCCGATACATCCACAATGTCTCTTTCTGCAGGCCTTTAAGGCGCCTCTTTAATAAATAAATGCCCTTTTGATGTCTGGCAGATGATTGTACCAAATATACATCTGTCTTCTACATACAAGTCACCCCATCATTCTCCACTGAACTTTATTAACGCCTCATTCACAAATGTTTCTTTTCTTTTCCAGCGACATACTACTGTAGAAAACAAATCTGCATTACGACTTACACAACCTACAGTCTTAAACATTCTACCACCACCAAAGAAATAATAAACTACATTTTGCTCTCCACTTCGCAACATCATCACCAGCATGCCCCGTTTCTTCCGCACAACCAGCTATTGCAAGAGGCGTAAACGTCTCGCCTATTGCCTACTAGCCCTATTCTACTTTGTCGCAATTAAAGTATACCTGGTCTGGAATATCTATAAAAGACGTGCAGAGTATGAGTCAGACGAAAATATGTTGCTTCAAAAACGATTTGATTCTCAGTCACGACCTATCGCTCCCGAATAAGGCCTGCGAAGTAGTGAATGCGAGGTAGAGAGGATATGAAAATGCAGATGGTGTGGGGAGAGGCTGATGTGCTTGAGCGAAGGGCAAGGAAGGGGGCCGGAGTTGTTGTTTGAAAAGAAGAGGATCTCACATCTCATATGATCGCACCAGAAGCCTTGGTTCTGTAGAAGACATTCAATCCACTACCGAGGCTTCGAGTGGCTTACCCAGGAACCAAACAGAGCAGGAGAGGCGTTCTAAAAAAATTTGAATCCAGATCGTGTAAAAAGAGCTAAAGAGAAGGATTTATAACGCGGAGGGGATGTTAAATCTCGAATCATTAAGAGGTGTCAGGGGGTGAGGTCTGTTGATATATAGAACTACGCAAATGGAGAATGAAGGGGCTAGTGAAATTGAAGTTCGATATATTTATTTTAAGATCCGCTTTTATATTGCAGCGTGAGATGCATAAAAAATTTTCCTTCGCGGTAGAAGATGAAAACTTTCGTAGTGGACGCGAGCTCACACCATGGGAATTGCACAAGCAAGCTTTAAGTTTCCGCCGCAGCCACCAAACCCTTTTTACCGAACACATAAAGAGCGATTGAAAAGTTCCATCGTTTCCTAGTTCCTAAAACTTTGCATATCCCATAGAAGCCGCGAATCGTCAACGCAGCCACCAACTTCCTCCTCATCAAGCACCACCTCCGCGATCTCCATCACCCTCGACTTCCACATCTTTGACTCTACATACCACCCCATCACCACACCACCTTCATCACCATGCTCAATCTCCTCCGCAGCTTCCATCGTCAACACGCCGACAACATACGCGGCTGTGGCCGCGTATTCATGGTCTCTCTGGTTGCTTTCCAGATTCACACATCGTGGAAATTCGAACGCTGGAGCCGGCAACAGCAACGCCTTCATGCGCCCCCAGACTTGGTGGAGTCACCGAGGGAGAGAGTGGGGAGGGGGTATGTGCCTAAGTATTCAGAGCAGAATGGAGGGAAAGGGGAGGGGAAGGGGAAGGGAAAGGGAAAGGGAAAGGGAAAGGGGGGGAGATATGTGGTATGGGATCCGGAGGCAAAGGGACGGATCCTGATGGGTGGAAGGAGATGAAGTCGTTTGCAGATGAGTGTGTAAAGGTGACTCATGCTGTACTTTTCAGCTGATGAGTTCAAGGGACGAGGGGTATCATTGAGCGTCATGAAGAAAGAGTAGACATCGACTAGCTCCTTATTTATTTGAACTTATAGACAGTAGTCAAACTATCCGGATGGTTGACATACAATATGATCGATATACCTGAGTGTGGAAAGAGGTCGACAACATTGCCAATGGTTCATCGCGTGCGGTCCTAGCGGCACGAAGGAGGATCTGGTCCTGAATGGTGATAGTAATGACTTCTGGAGGATCAAGCGTCTCTCGTCAAGTGATGGGACTTTTCCTTCTTTCGCCCCATATTTTGATCATGCTGATGTTTGATGCGGCAAAATAAGTTCATGCAATCCAGGTACCAGGCATTCGACGCCGTCGTTGATAGGTGCCATGGATGCGTTCTTGCTTCTCGGCTTTTTTTGGACCTTGTAGACAGAACGTCGCATGGCAACATCATACTTCTTGTGCCACGAGGCAACCCGACAATTCGTAAGGAGCGTTCGACAGTGATCTGGGAAGATCTGACCTCCCATTAACCATTCAGGATAGAAGAATGGCCATTGCTCCTCCCAGGTTAGGGTATATATTAGTGTACTTTGTGGCAAAATTGCATGTCTAAACTCATAGCAGATAAGCCCACCTGGAAGCTCTGGATCAACCAACCAATCCCACGTGACGGTTAAAAGTTCGCCCAACTGGAATAGTAGCACGCGTTGATGACCTTCAACTGCCATTTCAAATGTTTGGTATTGTTGTGGAGCATGCAGATCCGATTCTTTGCGCAGGTATGCTAATTTATCGTAGCCTGCTTCTTCTGGTAGCCTTAGCCAATCACTGACGGTGTCATAGGAGGCAAGTGGACTTTCAGCGAAAATGAATAGCCAATCGAGAGCCGTATAGTTATATCGATCCCATTTCGAAGCCAACTCGTGAACATCGACCCCTTGACGGAGGAGTTTACTGATGTAAGGTGCCCACTTTCTTTGACCGTTGCTATAGCGAAAGACCGCAAAAACTAGCGGCGGATACCACCAGTAGTCATACTCATCGAGTGGCTCGGACATGATCTCACTCGAATGGAAGACTTCAGCCCCTTCCGGAGAGCCACAAAACTTGCTTTCGAATGTCTGCCTGTCTTCGTATGTAATTCCACCCTGAGCTGTCACTAGAAGGCGTAACATGCTAGCCTGCCGCTGTTCCCGACTGATATCATAAATTGGGAAGACGTCTGTAGTCCTTTCATAAATTGATTTGACTTCGGTAGCCCATGCAAGAGCCTTCAGGGAGAAATGATTTTGAAGCTCTGGATCAACGCCGAGTCTGATTAGCAACGCACCAACATTTGTCTGGCAGCCACGGGCTGCATAATGCAGGAGGGTGTTGCCCCACTGATCAGTTGCAAATGGCGATATCTGTTGACATGTGAAAGCCGCTTGTAATCTTTCAAGCTGACCAGACCTACACATGTCAAAGACTGGCGAACCATAAGGGAGCACAGGAATGTATCTCAAGCTCCTCGAGATATAGCCAAAGCTGCTGTTGAAGCGTATGTCGAGAGCAGTTCTAAAAAATGAGCACATGATATAAAAGCTCTTTTGTTGCGAAACAGTGTGAGCCCACCCGTCTGGCGAGGATTTCAGCGATTTAGTCTTGTTGCGAATCTCGACTGATCCGAATATGCCTTCGTATATCCTCACACTTCTTTGCTCGGTTGAAATACCTTGAGTCCTTATGTGATCTAGGGAGGTGTTGCAAAGAGAAGAGTCTTGGCTAGGCATTTCAACCTTAGTGGGTTTCATTGATTGGTATTCAGCGTCGTTGATGGCGAGGGTCAGTGTGTTCATTGGACGAGTAATGTGCACGTCTGATAGGCTGAGGGCATGTTAGAATTTTAGCATTAGTGAGCTTCTAGTACTCACAGAACAAGAGATGAATTGATTATGATCGCATTCTGTAAAAGGTTGTAGCTTTCCTGAACCCTAGTTCGACAGGTTTCGATGTCTTCTTCTTTGATGACGAATTGTACCCGGCTCATTTTTCTTCGCATACCGTTTCTTTGGCGTTGAAGATTCTCAAAACGCTTCAAAATACTATTGAGCTCCCCAACATGCCTTTCGCAATCTTCCACAGCATTCTCGATGGCTGGAATTGCACCTGAGGAAGGCGAGATTGCTTTCTGCCTCGTGACGATTTCATCTGCATATACTAAGATTTGAGATAGTAGAATTGTAGAATTTATGAGCCGAGAGAGATCATGAGACGCGCTGTTGACCTTTTTCAAGAATTGCGCCGCCTTCTGAACGGTATCTGCTAATTGAAGGGTCACGGATACCACCGCGAAGGCGCCGGAAGCCCCGTCCATGAATGCGATGTCGCCGAGCTCAGGCAGAAATGGGAGGTGTGGTTTCCTTCTGAGGCTATAGAGTCGATTACACTGAGATGAAAAAGAATCAAATTGACAGGACTCGCGTTCTGAGAGGTCGTTGCCCCCGCTAGTCTATTAAATCCGAACAGCCTAGAGTCAGCATTTCTGGGACAGGTGGCAGCCTGGAGACGAAAAGTAATACTGTCCGCATTGTCGGTGCATTAGAGCAAAGCTCAATTGTCGTCGTGAGATAAGGCAGACCAATAATCTGCCCAATATCTGCAGCTGACCGACGGCTGCGACACCCGGACGTCTTAATGGTAACGGTGGACCCCACAGTCATGGTCCGGTCTGACAACAATTGGAAACGACTTTTTCGCCCAGGCATTCCTGCAAAATGAGGCCAGAAGCTTATTGGAAACTCCACCCATAGGGCGTCAAAGCGATCTCCACGCCCCCGAGAACCAAGTACGTAAGCGTCAATCGTTCTCGCCAAGGTTGCGGATCACGACTTTCCATCTTCTCGAGCCTCTGTTTGAGTCTGGTGCTAGTATAGCTGGCTTCAATGAGCGCAAAGAGTTCAAGACTGCGTCAGCCTACCTGCATATATTTACGGCCTAGGCATATTCGAGCACCGTCATCGAATGGGAATACTTTCTGAGGCTCGTCAGCCTCTTAGCTCGACAATGGAAAGGTGCCATACCATTCCAGGTTCCACGCTCTCCCATCTCTCAAGTAAGACCGTCCCAAAACCCTCGCTAAGCCTTCAGGGCGGCTCAATCTCTGTGTAAGACCTTCACACACTTTGTTTGCTCCCATAGAGCTCCATTATGACACATCTACCTCGCCTGCATTCAAGACTTGTCCGCCAACCCTCCGTTTCTGAATTGTCAGCGCTCCTATCTTTTTTCCCTGCGACGTCGACTCAACAATCTGGCTGCTCACACACACATATTTTTTCCCCTGTGTGTCAACCCTATTGACAGCCTGATGCACCAGATAGAACAGTGCCTCAATCATTTCCCTCACATCCATCGCTCGTCTGGTGGGCCCATACGGCGCTCTCACACTTCTTATTTCGCCATTTGTCGGATACTGTGCCAGAGTCAGGGAACACTCTGCTTCCACCATACTTTTAGGTTGCATCGAAAGCGTGAACATAGCTGCTGCAATAGGCACGTAGAAAGCTGCAGGTCCGATCTCCGAGTCATCTGCCCAGTTTGAGATCACGAATGGGTTAGGAAGCACGTTCCCGTCAGTCGCTCCATCGGCTTCAGTGGTGATGGTGAAGGGATTTTCAGTCACATACTCGACGTTCGCATCAAATGAAGGCAGGGCCTCTGTTGGATCTCTGGGTGTGACTTCGTATCTCGCAATGATGGACCCAAAGACCTGGTCTCGCATGGTGCAGTAAACCTCCGACATCCCGTACACCCGACTCTCCGTATCCATCATCTCGGAGGTAATTTTCAGGTAATGGTCGCGCCTAAGCCGCTGTGTGCCTTCTGGTCCCCCACCAATCCGAATCACGACGTGGTCCGCACCAACCAAACTTATGACTCTTGCAGGCTCCGTGGGGCGATTGCCCGGTCCGCCTGAGTCTTTGAGCGCGAGCTGATGAATTATACTCATGGAGTTGAGGTAGAAGTCGCGATGATTAAGGACACGAGCTGGATTGGGTTTGCTGCAAAGCATTCCAATATCGCCTAGCTTAGTAGCTAGATTGTCGTTTGAGGATACATTGGCGCTTAGGGGCGACGAGCTGTTGAGACTGACATTCGGAGTATCGGTAGCGCCCGGTGAGAGCGGTGTCGTGGCAGTACCGGATAGAAAGGCAGCAGGCACTGTATTCGCCGCCAGAGCAAAGAGATGTAGACATAGGAGAAGTACAGCAAGCATGGCTCCCGACTGCTAGAGGGTATGATTTTGAAGGTGCAAGAACAACCCTCTTGTAAAAAGCCGAAATTCAAACAAGCGAAGAGCCCTGGCATGGTTTTGTACCTAGCTCGCGAGGCGTATCAACGTCAATTCTAAGCGCAAAACATACTCAGAGACACCCAAAATACTATGAATCGCGCAGACCGAGTGACCGCTGCGACATTGATTCTTGCAAGAAGTGTATAAATAGGAGAACATAGTGTTTCGAAATCATCTAAGCCGCAAAAAATGTCGTCTCGAAGCCAAAAATTCTCTGCAGTAATTCTTCCTCGTCCTTGTTGGAACCATTGAAATTAGAAAGGCGGTCGTAAGGATAGCACCAGGAACATTGTGCGGGTCGGATAACATCACGGGAACAATGGCATCAATTTCCCTAATTTCAGATCCTTGGACATGGATAGATGAACGATCTTTGTCCGAGTTCTCAGGACGCTGGAAATAATGATTACGTTGAAGCTGCCACCGGGTGGAATTACACTCGGATTTATATTCTCCCGAGCGCCGGGCAGTGTGTGTGAACGCTGTATCAATTTGTGCACAAAAGACCCGCGAAAGAAAAAGGCAACCAGACGACGAGATCGAAAGGTATATGACATCTGCTCGTCATTCACTTCTACAACATACCAACCCTATACACCATGGCTTCCACAGCATCCACCAGTTATGTCCGCCCTCGATCGATCAAACCACCAAAGCGCCCCCCACAACAACCATACCGGCGGCACCAAGCAAAGCCCAGCTGACCTCAAACCTCCCTGCTTTTCCATCAGACGCGTTTGCACCAGTAGCGGTATCACTCCCCGCAGCTGGTCCTTGCGTGGGCACGACGGATTGACTGGCCACTGGATGAACCACCATGTCAGCGTTTGTTCTGTCTCCACCAATCAATATCTCTATTCCTTCCGATCCCACCATCCACGTACTACCCCTCTTTTTGTATGGACGGAAAAAGATCAAGCGAACTCACCGGACGTCTCACTTGTCATACTGCTCATCGCGGACGTCGACGACATGTCCATGCTCATACTGGACATTGATGAGGCAGGCATCATGGAGCTGGAACTCGAGTCGCCATCGTTACTGCCTGCCTGTGCGCCCGCACCGCTGCCGGAGGAATCGCTGCCTGTGCCCGAAGAGGAGGTGCCGGATGTGTCCTGTGGGATAGCGGTGGCGAGGAGTGTGAGCCAGAAGAAGAGGAATAGGGAGTTGAAGATATTCATGATGGGCGCTCCTTAATGAAGAGACTATTGAGAATACTGGTGGGGAGGTTGGCGGAGTTTGACTTCATACCCAGGAAGAGTACGGTCTTTATGGCCAACCCACTCGTGTGACATGTTTGAGGAGACGCAACGATGACAGCATGAGCTGCGCATCCGGGGTAGCGAGGTATTGAGTTAGGAAAGCCGAGGGGGAATGTATGCAACTGCGCGTAGCACGAGGGCAAGGGAATTGTCGCGATTGGTTGGAGGAGGCACGTAGGTTGGATGGCACATTTGAAGGCCGGCTTGGCCCGGTAGATCATTCGTTTTGTATCTCCGAAGATCGTTGTCTGGGCGTGTTGATATCAATACTGCCGAGCAATGACAGAGATATTTGTGGCAGCTGAATGGCATTCCTCACGAGTACTTAAAGGCAAAGAAGAATGATGACTCAGACGATCACCCAGGCCACGAATCTAGAGTGATGTGATTGAAGATTGAGGTCCGCATCTACACCCTCGCCCTCCGTACGGACGACCAAAGAAGCTTCTCTCAAGCAGTATATGATGTTGTACTCTTCACAATAGTCGGACGACCCATCAAACAATGACAGCACCACCAACAACGAGCCCGCCGAGTGCCCCTATCGTTGCCCAACTTGGAACCAATTGATGGCCTCGGCCTTCCATGCCTTTGTTCGTAGCTGCACTGCCAGTGGTAGAGGTAGGGGCAGATGCTAAAGAGTATCATTCATCAGTCCATGCGCCTTCAGCATTGAATTCTCGAGAGAGATCTACCGGAACTTGATGACGTCATGGATGAAGAGGCCATCATTGAAGAGGCCATCGTTGACGAAGGCATCATCGACATTGTCGATATGGAAGATGACAGAGCTGCACTGTTCTGGCTCTCACTGTCTCCGCCCGTAGTGGAGTCGCCGCCAGCTCCTGTGCCCATATTTGTATTGGTGCTAGAATCAGTACCAGAGCCGCTGCCGGTACTACCTGATTGGGGATCAGGGACGGCGGAGGCGAGGAGCGCAAGCCAAAAGAGCAGAACAAATCTCGGAAGCTGCATCTTGAGAGATCAATATTTGTAAACTGTATCGTGGGTCTCCAGGCATTTAAAACAAATCTGAGCACGCGACACCGACGACGGCGACCATGATGGCATGAACTGCATACTGCGGTAGATAAGCCTAATCAGGCAGCTCCAATACGCAAACGCATCTACCAATCTGATATGACAGGCGAGACATATCGACTAAGGCACAACTGCCGTGATGGACAGTGAAGGCGCATCTCCGGCAACAGACGCAGGCCTTGGCCGGCTAAGTGGCAGCGACATCGTTGAAGGTCATGATCATCTCACCTTCGCCACCAATCAGTACGATAGCCTGGAGGCGTGCAGCAGTGACATCAAGACTCAAAGGTCTGGCCTGACGTGGAGCTCAGCTTCCGGTACCCCGCATTCTAGGGCCTGAGCTTGAGGACGCTAAGGGGCTCTTTGGCCAACCAGAATCTCTTGGCTTTTCTACTAAACCTCAACAGGTGCGCTAGTAGAAGGGTGCGCAAAGCTTTGCAACGCCATGGCCGCATTTGGCAGAAGATGGTGAAACTAAACCACATTCGGCTCACTACTGCTGCACGTCTTTACATCTTCCCGCGTTATTCGATCACCCTAAACCTGATTAGAGCTAAAGCTCGTGAGATGCATGGCAACTTCTCTTTCCGAAGGCCTTCAGTTCTGGCCCATGACGAACTCGAGTGTGGGAGCAATGCAGGAAGGCGCGTTGGGGACGTTTAAAGTCCCCAGAGCTTGCTCTTTTCGCGTTCTTCACCTCCAACACCGAGTTCAAGCACCAAAACAAACAATCGAGCAACAAGCAACGCGTGAAGTATGCATTTCGCACAAGCCTTAATTGCTGCCTTCGCTGGCCTTGCGATCGCACATCCCACCGGTTTAGAGAAGAGGCAGTCTTTGCCACCCGTGCTCAGCGCGAATGACGAGACTGTTCTCCAGCTCGCCCTTTACCTCGAGCATCTCGAGTTCAATTTGTACTCTGGTGGCATCAACAATTTCAACGAGCAACAATATGAAGCCGAAGGCTTCCCGCCAGGCTTCCGTGATAATGTTGCCTTGATTGCTCAGGTGAGTACTTGCCGAAGAACGCAAGTGACTGGACCGCTGATCCTCTTCATAGCATGAAGGAACCCATATCCAGACAATCACCGCCATCCTCGAAAAAGCTGGCAAGACACCAGTCCCAAGCTGCACATACACATTCCCATACGACTCACCCACCTCCTTCGTCGACCTTGCCAACATGGTCACCTCAACGGGCATTGGCGCTTTCCTCGGTGCTGGGGAACTTCTGCAAGACAACGATGCGCTCCTCACAGCTGCTACCAGCATTCTGACGGTCGAATCCCGTCATGACGCCTTCCTGCGCGCCGGAGTCAAAGGCTCGCCCTTCCCAACAGCATTCGACACAGCTTTGACCGCAGTCTTCGCCTACAACATTGCTCAGATGTTCATCGTCGAATGCCCACAACAGCTATCGTTCCCTATCCTTCCAAAACTCACATTGGAAAGCCCGGCTCCAGAGCCCGACCTGATGCCTCCTGTCGCTGCAGGCACAACACTCAAGTTTAGCTTTGACCCTAGCAAGTTCTTCGTTGCAGTCGACCCCAACGCGCCTCTATATATCGGCATCATCAACAGTATTACTAACGTGACGTATGAGAAGGTCACTAGCTGTGGCACTGGCTGCGCAACAGTCCCCGTCCCTAAGGGCGCGGCAGGTGTTGCCTTTGCTATCCTGACGACTTTTGATGACAAGGCTGCGCTCACGGAGGACCAATTGGCTCAGTTTGGCGCACTCGCTGGACCTGCTGAGATTGTTTTGTCCTAGACTGGAATCATGGAGAAAGGCGCAGCATTACTTGGCCTGAGGCGGGGATCACGATCACGATCACGATGAGGTGATGATATATATACGCGAAGCATGTACATAGCAACCGGTGTGGTATAATTCTAATGTCTTTCATCAAACACATCATGTCTGCTCTTTAAGTCTCGTCCTTCATTTAAAGATATTTGAACGCGACTGCCAAGAAACTAGTGTACGTCAGTCACAACAGCACTTCCAGCTATATCCATCACCTACACAGTATCAGCCATCAAGATGCCGGGCGGTAGGCCGAAGAAGAATCGCGATTTCTTCGATGATAAGCGTGATGAGATGTATGAGATGTACATCACGCAAAATAAGACTCTGGACGAAGTAAGAGATCGTTATGAGGAACAAGGCATTTCGGCCAGGTAAGTGGACACCCGTAGTACGGAGGGTTATTGCTCGCATACATCACCCCTCGCTCACTTTCCCTGGCAAGCTGCATGAATCTATACGCTGACAAAACTTGCTCTACGCAGCATTCGAGCCTACCAAGCCCGCTTCAAAGAATGGGGCTTCCCTCCCAAACGCGCCCGCTACGTGGACCTACCAGACATCCACGACCGCGTCAAATACCTATGGGAGCAGAATGTCAGTCACAAAGAGATGCTCGAGATCCTTAATGCCGAAGGCTTCAATGTTTCTGATAGGCAACTCGCAAAAGTACGCAGGAAAGATGGACTTAAGATGAGGGATCCGAATGGCGACCAGCCATCTCTGAAGCGGAAGAGACAGACTGAAGATGGAGCGGCAGATGAAGAGGAAAACGCAGACGCGGATATTGGATTGGATGATGAGAATTTCACTGAAGCAGAACCACCCCCACAACCGCGTGTCATACCTCTGGAAGTGCAAATCAAACGGCAAAGTAGGCAAGCTCAGCTGTGGGCGGAGAGTGCAGAGCGTCTACAAAACCGTACGAGACGTCGCCGTACTAAAGGATGGGCTGGTCTGCCTCCAGACGTCGGGTTGCCGCCACGTTTTCCTTCCGAGCTCACCCTGGAGGAAGGCCGAACCCTCCTTGGGCTAGATAAGAAGCTGTATACAGACATTCGAAGCACGTTTGAGGATATCTGCAAAGCACACGAGGTCAATCGAAAGTCTTCCTGTGCGCCTGGGCTCTGGCCATGGGTGAAGGAAGAATTGATCAGTCGCGTTCCTCATCTACAAAATATTTTCAGAATACCTGAGGCTGCATCATACGAGTCGAACCGAGAGCCAATGGCTCTTGATCTGATTTGTATGGACGTGACCAAGAAGATACGTACAACAGGGAAGTATCTGTCCCTTGGTGACTCTAAGAATCTACTCGGTCTCACACCCGACGAGTCCCGTGATATACGCAAGATCTTCTTCGACGTTCTCAAAGAAGACTTCTTCACTATCAAGCTGGACGTCACAAAGGAGCATTGGGAAAGTCTGAAGGAGAAATGGATCCAACAATCACCTCGCTTACAGCGTGAATTTCAGAATCTCGATGACAGCGACGTTTGGCATATGAAGCACAAAGCTTTAGAGGCTATTGCAAGAGACGTACAAAAGAGGAACCGAGACGACCAAATTCAGCGAGACCCTAACAAAGCTCAGAAGGAAAGCAAAAAGAAAGAGCCTAAGCCCAAGAAAGGCAAGCAAGACAAGAAGGAGAAGAAGGAGCGGCCACTCAAGCAGCCGAAAGAAAAAGGAGTAACACATGGGCCTGAGCATAGAACCCCAAGTGGTCGTCCTCCCTGGATGCCAGCAACACCTCCCCCTCAATCTTCCCCCTCGCTCGCATCGGCGCCGACAAACAACGCGCCAGAAGCAAGAGTGGTACCCATGGAGAGCCCAAGCGAAGCAGGGCAGACTCCCTTCCCAGCCCCAACACCACAGACTCAACATCTCACATTTCTTCCTACCCAAACACCCAACAAAGATCAATCTCCCCCATCTCGTCCAAGCCAACCAACCGTCGACGCATCTTTCACCTTCCCGGAAGCCGATCTACAAATCGACCCCTCCCTCCTCGAAGCCGCCGCGCTCCCCTCCACGCAGGGTTTCGGAACCCGCCCCACCGCATACCGCCAACCCTCCGACGCTACAAGTATCTACATCCGGCCATCGCCCGCCTCGCTGCAGAAGTACCCGAACATCACGAAGCTGTGGCTCGACACTATCACCCCGCCATACGCACTCCCTGTGCTGCGAGCAGTCATGGCAAGGAAATTGACGGGCGCGTATACAGTAGTGCGGATCGAGGGACTGGCGGATGGGCGGACGGTGTATAATCAGCTGGGTAGCGCGTGGGAGATCGATGAGGATGAGATTTTGGAGGCGTATATGAGCTATCAGAGGGAGCAGGGGGGAAGGTTGTTTTTGTTGTCGACCTAGCGTGACGGAGATGTTTGAGAGAGGTAGGAATGGGGGACTGTATTTGCTAGAAGGGCAACAGGGCAACATGGGTAAAGGATCAGGGCTCTAAGTGGCTTTGAGGACATTGTCGCTGTATACGCATACGCTGCATATCTCATATCCCATGCCTAGATTCTATACACTACTATTGCGGGGAGTGGGAAGCAGAATCCAGTTCATTTCTTATCACGCGCTTTCCATTGCATCGAGATCGAGTAGACGTCCCCGAGTCCTTACAAAAGCTTCAAGACCCTGGCTGTGGTTGACCTTTTCCTCGGGCCCGTTGGTTGTGGTCTAATTTCGGGGCTGGTGGAGTGGGGGGGGGGATGTCACACACTAGACAAATGCATCACGATGTGTTGGAGTGAGTGAGTGGAGTGTGGCAAAAAGGAAAGGGGATCTACTGCATGACTGGCGGAAATCATGATGTTGATATTGCCGGACGTAGTATTAAGGAGAACCATGGTTATTGGTCACCTCATACAGATCTATCTCGTCGTGATGGGGCGGTGGGGTGGTAGTCGTTACCAGACTAGAGGTACATACCGCTCGTAGGTAGTTATGTTCGTGTGTCCACCGTACTTGCGGGTCCAGAGGAGAGGGTAGTCAGGATCAGAGTATGAGCTCAGGACGTAGACGCGTTACCGTTTTATCGTACGCGGTACCTATCCTATTGCTGGGGACAAGGGCCAATCAACAGAAAATGCCTTTGTGAGGACGAACCCTCATCCAGCGGTCTGCTGGCTAGTAACAATCTATGGTAGGCTTCGAGCAGATTCGAGGTGTAGATGAAGATGTCGCTTTATGGGTAGATCAGCTCTGCGTTGATCAGGGGATTGAAGGGGAGGAAGCATAGCAAGTCCATTTGATGGGCAAAATATATGGGGAAGCTTCTCAAGTTGTCATCTGACTAGGGCTTGCTGGTGACCACATCGCTCTGGTGTAAGTTTTTGATTGACACTGTTGCCAAAGAGGTGATCGGCTAGGTACAATTGGACAGAATGTGCTAAGAGGTGCGCCGTGGTCACAGATGGCCGAACTCTGCGCTCGCGAAAGGCCAAATCCTCCCACTAAGGAACCATTTGAGCACGCGTTCGCGCGTTTGCGAATCGCCGACTTATCTTCCTGAAGAGCGGGACGTGCAGCTCGCACTCATCCAAGTGACGAACTATCCGAGCCTGATGTAGGCGCTCTGATAAGCACACCGAATGGGGAGCAATTACTGGATACTAGGAAAGAGGATGGAGTGACTAGACGTGTTGTGAAGTTCACTTGCAGTCAAAGGCTGTTCCTCACTGACACAGGATATATGGGTCTCTACCACGAGAGCTGCGTGGTCTGAGATCAAGCGTGGCTGTTCATGGGCGGGTGACATGCCCTTCGTACTTCAGCAGCTGCAGACCGAGCCGGTAAGCTATCACTTCAAAGGCGAGTCTTACGTACACGGTATCATGGATGGAGAACCTCTTTTGCGAAGCTTCGGGCGCAAGTCCAAAGAGAGCGAGGAGAAATGGCTTGACGATCTTGAGAATGGTTTGCCTTTGGCTATGAAGAGTCTTTTCTTGTGCGGAAACTTGACAAGCAACCCATGTAACAACAGCTTACCTGATGTCCCACCCACATCCCACGCCCCTAGGCTATGGCTAAGGCAGCACATTTCGCAGATAGTCCGGGAGTGTATGGAGGCACCTGGGTTTGTACCGCATATGAGTTTCTCTGTTAAGGAACTAGACCGGGCAGTTGCTCTGAGTGCTGGTGCCTGTGTCTTGTATTTCAACCTGTATGGTACGGCGAGAAGTCAGGGGAGCTTCTTACGGCATGTGTACTGGTTTATCAGAGGACCTTTGGCATCGACTTTCTGAGCTCAGCATTCCAGATGTCATCAAGTGTAGGGTCGCAGGTGGAGTTCTTGGGCCAATTAGTCGACGGAACAAAGGACAGTAAGGGCCTTTGGGCCTCAAGGTCGTAAGCTGGCATATGAGAGAGATCGGTAGAATCTCCATGAGCTTTGGCAACTCAGAGCAAATTTTCCAATACCTGGCGCAAGCTTTGGAGTCTTCAGAGCGTGTTGTAGATTTTGACATAATACCTGAAACGAGCTCACGATATCATCGAGCTCCAGTGAGGGGGAACCACCTTGTTGGCCATACGGACTCGCTTAAAAGACGATAAAGCTGGGATTCTGTCGACACGGTACCTTTTTTTGCTGGAGGATATTGAATTGCCCACCATCGGTTTCCCATAGAGAAAGAACTCCCTGGACTCCCTCCGCCACCAGATGCCACATTCGGAACTGACGGGAGCAAATTAGTCTCGGCAATTATACTTGGACAGTCCTCTTACCAATGTACATCCTCATCTTCCAATGTAACGCTAAGAAAATCGCATACGGGGCAGCCATCTGTTGAAAATAATCTATCACTGAAGAATGTCATGCACATCACAAGCTTGCTTCCCGCTGATATCGCCTTCTCAAAGGGGATATCGCGATCAATGTCCACATTCGCATCGCTGTTGTGGAGGACATATTGTCGATTTTGAACCATTTCATCGCCGGACTTGGCCTTGAATCGGTACTCTAGCCACGCATCAAATGCGCCCCATGAATTAATGGTATCCATATGGATTGGCATGTGTCGCTCGTGGGCATCAATGAGCAGAAATGGTTGCTGGCAGACCCAGCGTTCAAGATGAGTAGACAAGCCCTTCCGTACATCGACTGCAATTTTGTAGGTCGCAAAGGCCGCCAGAAAGATAGATTTAAGGAGACCCTTGAGTTCGACATTGACGGTGCTTAGCCAGTCTGTCCGGAGTGACCCGATGGCTTTCGACGTCTCTGCGTTCCCAGCCTGGATCTGCTTCGTATTGTCCCGGAGGTGGTTCTTGACTTCGTTTAGTAATACTAAGACCTCTTTTGTAGAGGCTAGCGCGTTGTCGTCGGCGGTCGCTAAGCGTGAGTGCAAGTTCTGCTCCTTGAGTTCTGAGAGACGCCTTATGTAGATCAGTAACCTCTCTACCAACGGAGAATGGCTCATAAGGCAGTCAAATATACATACATGTTCGTGATCTGTAGTAGAACGCCAAAGATCGAGCAATACCCATTGACTTCGGTCCGAAACTTGACCAGATCCTTTGACCGACAGACGCGCCATTGCAATTTTCTCAAGGCATCTCGTTTCCGCTTTCGAGAAGTACCTCGGCGTAGACTTGGATCGAATTTTGCAATCCTATCCAGGAAAAGATCGATGTACTGCTGACACTGTCTGATGACGCAATGAATGGTTTGGCGTAGCGAGTGTAATTCTGTGACATTGACTAGAGAGTCATCGAGTACTTCAATTTCTCGCAGTATTCGCTTGAGACATTCGAGCTTTCGAATACATTCTTCGTATTCTGCAGAAGAGCCTTTACTGTCTTCAAGCGCAATGATAATGTCCTTGATCAGGTTGCCGAGGGCGATGATATCGCCGATGTTGATGGCGAAAGGCATCGGAGCCTAAGTGGGGAAGTCAGAGAAGACCCGAAGAGAACAGTGCTAGCTATCGTATAATGGACTGCTAGCGGCTTGAATAAAATGATTGATTGATTTCTATGATGGCTGGTCTGGTTTGGAGTCCGCACTGAGTACTCGCTGCCCTTTTCGACTTGAAACCAATGATTGAGGCGTTGTTCGTGCCACTAACCGCTTTGTTTAGGCTGGAAGGTGGACCGATAAACTTGGGGTAGAGTACTAAGCCGAGAATGAATCTTTGTATGAACTTGATTCTATACGAATTTATATAGAGTTGAAGAAGTACGGTGAATCCGCAAACTACTGATGTAGAGATAAGGCTGAAGAATGCCGTGTCGGCAGCCAAAGAAGACCAAGCCAGACTTGGCTAGTCATAGTCATATGTACATCTGAATGCTGTGTTTTAACTGGATACCGGCCGCTAACATATATTCATGAAGAAGTCCCTTTTGAACTGGACATAATCGAGCTCTACAGCTTGATCGAAATATCATTTAGGTCCAATCCAACAGCCAGTCCGGTCAGAACAAGCGCATATGTAGCAAGCACTACCATTGCCTTGGTCTTACTAGCGTTCAGCGTATCCATGCTGAGGTTCACAACTCCTGTCAACAAATTCGCCACCAAGAAGATGGCCAGTCCATTTCTGTTGAATGCTTTGAGCACTGTGCTAGTAGCCTTCTTCACGGCTCGTTGTTCCCCGTTCCTCGTAGTCGCTTTATACACTGCAGGAAAAATCCAAGTTTCGACCGCACAATAGGCCAGTAGTTGCATGCAATTGAACCAGACAACCCATTCAATGTATGGCGCATTCGCCAATCTTCTCGACACCTCAGCTTTATAGGCTATCTTACTCTGTCCGGTTGAAACGCGATATTGGTTGTAATAGCCCACAGTCGTTATCACAAGAAGTGCAAGAAGTGCGACGCGCCTTCCCAGAGCATCGTCTGCACAAAACCACATTTTAGTATTACGGCGAAGAATACTCACACCGACGGCCTGGCCGGTAATGAAGATCGCGAGGTAGCCGAGGAAGGAGAAGATACCTTCTCGATTCTTTGAGAAGAATGTAGGCCCGCGCGGTGCTGTGAGGATGAATATCTCGACGTGCGTATTGTCGAGCAAGAATGTGTAGCCAAAGTTAATGAAGAAACCTACGATGTAGAGACTCAAGTAGTTGATCATTGGAAGGCACTTGAGCAAGGCAACAGCAGGAGCAAGCAAGGCAAGTGTGAAGAAGAAGTTCCAGTGTACGCCATATTCTGTAACGTGCTCGGCGTAGTCGAGTCCTTTTACGCTGTAAAGGCGTATGACGCCAAGGATGAGAAGAGGTATGGAAGTTCTAATGGACAGTTTGAGCTGGCTTGCGATTGAAGGAGATTCTGAAGCTTTCAAGATTGGTCGAGCTGAAATCAGTCCAGCACTGAAGACGAAGGATCCCACACCCATGTCCATGAGGGACGTACCCCATGTCTCAACCTTCGCAAAGCGTCGAGGGAAGACTCGAAAGTCGACCGCAAGGATTGCGAGACAGGTTATTATGATCATACCGCCCCTGTAGGCGGTGATGAAAGGACGGACAGGTATAGTATCAAGATCATCTTCTGGATTTTTGTCTGAGTTGTTTTCTTTTGCGGAAGCTGAAGGTTTGCGGAATCTACGACGCGTCGAGGAAACAAGATAGGCAGCTACGGCGATTGTAAGAAGGAGAATATTGAAGAAGATTGGTATGGAGGAATAAAGCGTGATCGAGAGAAGGATGGTGACGACTTGTAGAAGGAAGTCGGCAAGGAAGGCTCGGATGTCGAGGCTGGTGAAGAAATCATGGCGGGCTTGAAGGACCGACCAGAGGAGGTAGGATGCCTGTTGGATACTGTCAGTATGATTCAGACTCGGAGCAAAGAATGAATACGAACTGGTGCAATCGCTGTCACATAATTGATCTCCGAGACCTTACCTCCCTTGAGACCAGAAACGAACTCTTCCTTCAACGACTTGTAGCTTTGAGCCATAGCGGAGCTTCTGGAGAGGTTCTTGCTGCAGAGGGGCAGATGTAATTGGGGATTGGACTTGTAGATGGTTTCAAGATTACTGCATAAGCTGGAAGATGGCTCATTGTGATGGGCAGCAGGTTGACGCTGCTTGTTGACTTGGGCAAAGCTTCCTCGCTCCTTCCGAGCTCACAAAAGTCGGAGATACTGAGCTACAACTATCTCCGAGTGACTAGCGGCAGATCATGCTTAGGTAATGCTGTCATCCAGTCATCCCATCACACAGATCTGTTGTGATTGTGATATTGCACTTTCTGATAAATGACTCTCGCCAGCATCTCAAGTATCTCTGTCATCGCGGAGTCTGGAGAGGATCGTTAAGTCCCACCTTTTGATCAGTAGCCAAGCCATACCCGTCTCGAATACGAAAATACGCAGCGCGCATGATTGGCTAGCGATTAATTGCTTCCTCATTGACCAATGACGTCGGACCTATCCTCCGTCTCTTTCGCTTCTTGACATTGAATGGCAAAGGCTGGCGTGTCAATGGTACTCTTGGCAGCCAGCCGTCTTAATTATTGCTGTATATCCAGGTCGTTGCTCTGCTAATCACGCGTATTCGCTCCTGCATGCAAGCCACGATGCATATGCGCTGCGATCATTGTCTACCTTGTCTAGAATCGCTAAATCACAGGTCAACGAGCTTTCAATCCTTCGATTCATAAGACGTCAGGATCGAACGCCCTTTACAATGCCAGTCAAACACTCGCGAGGAATCTGATCTTGTCGTCATACAGCGGCCTCACAACAACAATTCCCTTCTTTCACCCAAGATTCTCTATCAACAATGTCCAGCGGCTACGTCGACCCCAACATCCCCAATCCAGGCAAAGAAGAAGATGCCGACATCATAATTTACGGGTACACTCTCCCCTTGACAAGCTCCTCCCCCTTCCTCAACATCAAACCTTACTAAAACGACCGGCCAGGTACACACCTCACCTCGTCGTCTCCGCTCTCGCCCTTGCTCTCTATGCCTTGCTCCTCCTCCTACATACCTACCCTCTCCTCCTCCGGCTGATACCATCCCTACCTTTCCCTCCTTACGCCCCCAATGCCAACACAACTTCAACCCCCGCAACAACTTCTCCCACAACCGACAAAGATCCTCCTCCCCGCAACCTCCCCTTCACTCTCCTCACCCTCCTCGCCACCCTCTGCGAACTCATCGGCTACGCCTTCCGGCTGCTCTCCTCGCCCCCGCCAGTCGGCGATCCCTACAAAGTGATAAACTTCGTCATCCAATACTTCTTCATCGTCGTGGCGCCAGTCTTCCTTTCCGCCGGAATCTACACAATCTTGACATCTCTCATCTTACAGACGGGAGTGTCCCCGCTAGGTCAGGCGACGGGCAAAGGCAGGCGTGGAATAGTGTGGGTCTTCGTGATCAGCGACGTCATAGCGACGGGCATACAGGTCGCAGGGGCAGCAAGTATAGGCACCGCAGAAAGCGATGGCAAGAGTCCTGTGGTGGCGAATAACGTCCTGCTCGGTGGACTGGCGTTTCAGGTCTTCACATTCCTGCTCTTCCTCATCCTGCTAGGCATCTTCATCAGACGCGCATGGGCCGTCCTTGACACCACCGCCACCGCCAACCCTACATCCACATCCACGGGCACAAATATCGCCAACACAAATACTACATCGGTCAATGAAGAGGCGGAGAAGAACACCACCAGATCAAAGAAGGTGGGAGGGCTGAAAGGGTTCGTCATAGCAACAACGGTGGCAAGCGGACTGGTATACCTGAGGACGATATTCAGGCTAGCGGAGACAGCGCAAGGCGTGTTCGGCTACGCGAGTAGCCACGAGGCGTTCTTCGGGGTGTTGGAGTTCGCGCCTGTGGTTGTTGCTATCGCGTTGTTGGGGGTTTGGCATCCGGGGTATTTCCTTAGAAGAGATGGGAAGAAGAGGAGGAGATGTTGTTGTTGAGGGACAGGCTGGGTGACGATGAGGAATGTATTGTAGCTGTATACCAATGAAATGGTTTTTCTTCAATCATAATGTAGCGCATTCAGTCTACCATAGCCACGTAAGCGTATCAATGTAGTTTCTCCACCCCAGCAAATTCCAGCTCCAAACGCCCCTCATACAGCCCGCCTCGCGAATTGGGTATCTCTGAATCAGCAATCATAACGCAAAGCCGCTTTTGGTTTTCTCCGCGTCATTTCCTTCGCCCCATTACCCCCCTTCCTCTTCCCCCTGCATCTTCCTCAGCAAAAGCCAGCTCCGCCCACCATCGATTCAATCCCCCCACGCACCCCTCTCCTCATCCCATCCAATACAGCCCCATTCCACATTCAAATCCCTCAACATCATGCCCATGGTATACCCCCCCTCTTCATCTGCCAGCATGCCTTCCTCCTCACCCCCCTCCCCATCTCCCGCGCTGCTACTTCTTCGCGCTCCCTTCCCCCCCCACTCCCCCTCCTCAATCTCTGCCTCGATAATCGTTGCTGTATCTTCCCCCTCCACCTCCTCACCCCCCTCTCCCTCCTCCTCTCCTCCCTCCTCCTCTGAACCTCCATCTCCCACTCCTCCCTCTCAAACCGTTCCAACCGTTCGCGTCTCCCCCTCTCCTGCTCCCTCAGCCCAGCCAACCCCCCCATCTTATCAACCCTCTCTCTCGCACTACCGTACACCTCCTCTGCCGCCGCCCTGCTGGCGAGTTTCCATTTGTGTGTTAGATCGTCCAGTCCTAGTTTTGGTTGGGGGGTGAAGGAGGAGGGGGAAGGGAAGGGGGAGGGGGAGGGCGCCTCGATCCCAACCGCTTGCGTCGCCAGTTGCACCTCTGTCTGCAACCCCGCCAGCTGGGTAAGGAGACGGGTTGCGTGTTTCTTGAGGGCTCCTACCCCTCCCCCTTCCCATTTCCCTTCCCCTGCTCCTGCTCCTTTCCCTGCCCCTCTCCCTCCTCCTCCCCCAATCCCAACACCCTTTCCCCTTCCCCTCCCCCCCACCAACGCATCCAACCTCTTACCTCCACCACCTCCTCCTCTTCCTCCATCACCACACGAATCTGCACCGCGGCGAAGAGGGGAGGATTGAGGCTTGGCGGGGGAGGAAAGGGATGCGTTCGCGGACGCCGGGGCGAGCGGGGATTTGAACGGTTGGGACAGTGTGTTTCTGGCGGACTGGAGACGGGGCCGCTTTTGCGGCGGTGGGGAGGTCATTGTTTTTGTGGGGGTTGGAGGATTGGAGGATTGGTTGGGTGTGATGGAGGGAGAGATGGAGAGTGGCGTCATGAGGGGTGCGGTGGCCTTGGAAGCTGCAACTCCGGGCTTAAAGCGCCCTGAGATTTAGGCTGGGGAGCGCTAAAGGTTTGCGGGGCGGGGGGTTAGATTGCGCGGCTGTTATATCTACTGCTATTGTGTTGGGAAACCTTCTGCGAGAGGAATAGGTCTTAAAGACTGGAACGAAGAAGTGCATATGCCGCTATCTATGTTTCCCTAAGAATGAGAAGTCATTCAGTACGGGCTTGTTTGAAATTCGCGCCTTTCATCGTATAAAACCGCTGTCATAATGTACATCCAGCATCACAACGCCAACGCTATGCTTTGCCATCGTTATCAGTGGCCGACCCCACCAGCGACCCATGCGCCATACTGCGGATCGTCGGGAGCCGGGAAGAAGCCTCCATCTGGCTGCTGCCCTGGCTGCTGAAGGTCTTGGTTGTCCTCGCCGCTGCCTGCCTGTGCAGCCTGCCCTTGTCCTTGCTGCCCCTGTTGTCCCTGACCCTGACCTTGAGATGCCGCTTCTGTCGTCCGACGATGCTGCAGCTGCCTCTGCTGGCGGTAATATACTAGCCAAGCGAGCGCAGCCATTAGACCGACGATCATGAAAGACTCTACAATACTCTCGTCCATTTCGTCGGGGTAGTCGTCGTCGCCACCGGGCATACCGTCTGCGAGACCGACGTCGTCGTAGTCATCCGGTCCGTCGCCATAGTAGGGGTTGTTTTGGTCGTCGAGGAATTTGGACAGCCAGTCTTTGAAGGAGAAGGGTTGGGCTGGCTCCTCAGCTGAGAATTTGGTTAGCGATCGCTTGGTGGGAGTGAAGTGATTTAAGGAGGGACTCACCAGGTTCAGAACGGATACTATTGACCTTACCGTGCGTGATTGTGTTCCAAAAACTCCGTACCCGCAACTTCATCAACGCCAGCTTCACCGGTAAATAGCTTTCCTGATTCGTTTCAAGCGCTTGATCGTAGAATCTCTTGGCCAGATGAAAGTCCTGATCGACGCCAATGCCGTTCTCATGGATCCAGCCGAGGTTCCACAACGCTTGGGCTGACTGATGCGTCTCAGCTGCCGTTTGATAGCAAGTTGCAGCTTTCTCCATGTCTGCTTCCACACCATAGCCGCCAAGATAGTAGTCGCCCATCTTCACCATAGAGTCAATGTTGGACTGTTTGGCGGAGCGTGTCCAGTAAATGAGGGCGAGGACCGTGTTTCGGAGCAATGATGAGCGCTGTCGCTTCCAAGGTAGGAGCGAGTCGAAAGAGAAGATCGATTTGTATTCGTCGAGGATGTAAGCGACATTCGCTTGAGCAGATTCGTAGCCTTGTTCTGCCGCCATCATGTAGAGTGGTAGGGCGGATTCGATGTCGCCTTCGTCGAAAGCCGAGTTGGCTTCATCGAAAGAGGAGTGAATCAGCTCGACTTTTTCTGCGACAAGCTTATAGTAGGCGGTGGCCATGTTACAGGATCGATCACGTCCGACACCGTTGTTGTTTATCTCTGCGAGGTGGTAGAATGCTTCGATATGGCCGTGACGAGCTGCAAGATCAAAGTACTTAGTCGCCTCAGGAACATTGCCCTGGTCAAGAAATAGTTTTCCCATGTTGACCTGGCCGGATGCAAAGTCTTGTTCTGCCGATGCCTTGAAGTAATCAGCCGCCAGAAGAGCGTCTTGTCTCGCGCCTAGGCCCTGCATGTGCATGACGCCCATCTCATACTGACAAAGAGCGTCGCCATTCTTGATTCCCCGCTTAAACCAAGTCCACGCTTTTTCGAAGCTCTGCTCCATACCCTCACCGCGTAGAAACATACGTCCAATGTACCCTGCAGCCTTTGATGCAATCTTTGCGACGCCCTGATCTTCCTCTCGAATAGATCCATCTTTCTGCCAATATTTCCTCGCCACGGTCATGAAATAAGCCCTTGCTACTCTCAGATTTCGCCTCATGCTCCTCGATCCTTCATAGTGTAACCGTCCCAGACTGAATGTAGCCTTCAAGTCCCCCTTCCGCGACATCAGATCCAAATATTCAAGCACATCATCAAAAGCGGCATGAGCATCCGAATTTGGACCTGCTCTATTTGCAAACATGCCTGAGCTAGACACGCTTGCTCCTTCACCATACACGCCACCAGCCTCATCAGCGATCTTGTAAGCATCTCTCTGCAGCGATTGTCCACCGGGTGGTCCATTCCTCGAATACGCCACAGCTTTGTCCGCCACCCTCTTGTACCAGTATGCCGCTTCGTTGCAATTTCGAGGCGTGCCTATGCCCGTATGATGCCTATACGCGGCTATCATCTCTGATTTCGTGCTTCCCCCTTTCGCTGCGAATGTAGTATACATCAAAGCCTTTGCTTGGTCCCGCTCTACTGCTCCTCCGTAGCCAGTGGCGTACATGAAGCCGAGCATGTGTTGCGCGGAGGCATTACCATTGAGAGCAGCTAGATCGTAGTAGCGTTTGAAGGCTTCGCTATAGTTTCGAGGGTAGGTGTAATTGCCAAAAAAGTTCATTTCGGCAAGGAGAAAGATGGCATCCGGGTCTTCGTCTGCTGCTGCGCTGTCGAGGACTGTGTGGGCATTTGAGAGGGGCTTCGAGAGTCTCCGAGGTGCAGAATAAGCATTCGGTCCATTCATGAACAGGAGGTAGAAAGCTTCTCTTGCGTAGTAAAGTGTAGTTCCTAGGGCACCGGAGCCAGCTTCGCGCGAGGTAGCTCCGTTCTTTGGTCGCAAAGGCCTAAGGATCTGGAGAGCTTCTTGAACGGCCGGAGATACTACTCTGATCTTAGTCTCTACTGCCCAATTGACGCGCAGGATGTATCCTCACGTGGTCTAATTGCGACTGCATTTTCAGGCTCTTGTAGCTCAAGGTCTCCAGCAACAGAGCTTTGTTCATCCTTCGATAAACGCTCCAAGAAGGAGGCAGCGCCGACGCGCAGGGTGATGAGGATTATGCATACTGTGACTAGAGCATTCAGCTTAGTTGGCGAATTCATAGGTTTTGCTTACTGCAAAAAGGTTGGAGGAGCCGCTGGCGCATGTCTTGAGAGAGCCCAATCAGAATAGGCACGACTTCAAAACCCAGGCTTCAGTATGAGCATATTTGCCGAAGGCATTCAGGCGTTGTCATCGATCTATCATGTCGGAGGATATCTGTTCTGAAGATGTTGCCAAGTGGTGAGACCATTTCGATGCCAAGAAATAAGGCATGCCGGGCCGAGGTTCTGCCGAGTTGATAAGGCTGAACGATATCCATGCAGTCGAGAGCAGTGGAGTTTTCGTCAGTGCTGTTGACGTCTTGCTATGCGTGTAGAATTCTACGTCACTATGGATCAGCGCTGTCCTCGTGAAATATGTGTTTTACCAGGGTCGCAAGCACGCCGAAAGGTCTCTCACACTAATAACATGGCGAAGGGAAACTCCTGAAAATGGCATATATATTCAATCACCCAAGGACTGCTTTTGCATTATCAACCTTAAATGAAAGAGGCAGGAGTATATGTTTCATATCTCCAGAGATATGTGGTAAGACCTTTGTGATTTCATTTCCTAATTACTGCGCCCCCAGTGTCGTCATATTAATCAGGTCATTGAGCATGTTTTACGTCCATTGCTAAGAGTCGCTGGATGTGTGGAATCCAAACAAGAGTAGCGAGACTGAGTCTACAAGTCGCCTTCGTTCCGCCACACAAACAGAAAATTGCCCATGTCCGCATTACAAAAAGAAATTTCAATTGAATGCGTTCACCTTCCTGGCTTGTTTTGTCCTCAGGTGAGGAGATCCAAAACGAGGAGCCCATTTGCCAAGTCTACACTATTCCTCAAGCAGAGTACAAATTTTTGGACACATACAACGAGCGGAGTCTTGCAATTAACGTTGAGAAGTCTCGCATTTCTATACTTGAAAGTGCTGATGACTTTACTCGCAGACTCTCTGGTGTTTTCCTGACCTTTTGAGGTGGGGATCAAAGAGAATCTAGGATGTCTTAGACAATCTAAGCCGCCCTATATTTGCTATGCAAGTACCAAAAGCTTCGATGAGTATCAGAAACGTAAGAAGATGATTGCGGCATTCCACGATTTGACCTTGATCCTAGATCTAAAAGCCATGTGGTGAAATATGGCTCAATCCTGTTTTCTGATCCGGAGAAGTTCGCAGAGTTGCTCATGCAGCTTGCTCGTGTCGCAGGCCCGTATATCCGATAGCCGCCCTATGTCTCCACGAGCTCTTAAGCAGTCAATCGTGCCCTTAGACGAGGAACTACATTTACGTCATTTCAATACTCAGTATGAGAGTGGCTGCCAAGATGTATCTTTCATTGATCACTCTCGCATCACTCTCGCTCTGCACGACGACGGGGGCAAACCCCCTCACTTCCTCTCCTAACCAACAGCCGTCAATCCCCACCCACTCCAGATTGAATAACACATTCTCGCGCTGCCACACCCTCTCCGAATCCTCCACCCTCAAACTCATCAACAAGGCCGCGTGCCTCTCTTTCGCCACCTTCATACAAACAAACACGGAGTTTCAGACCGTGCAGATCTGGTCCGCGGAGTATCCACCAATGCCTTACTCGGTCGCCGATTGTTATATTCGCGTGTCACCGGTGAACGAAGGCTCTATTGATCATTTTTCGAAGGCGATGATTGGGGCTGTGGCGGAGATGGTGGTGAAGGGCTGTGGGATGAAGGTTTGGGATTTGAATCGTGGGGGTATTGGTATGGTTGGGGCGAGTGATGAGTTCGTTGTTGATGTGAGTAATCCGACGTTTAGGGCTGGTGGAGGATCAGAGAAGGACAGAATGGGTGTGAGTGGAGAGGGCAGTGCGACTTGATTCTGAGATACGCTGTGACTCGAAAATGATGATCGATTGTTTTGTTGAATCTTTGTCAGGGTGAAAAGTTATTGGCTTTGTTGTCATAATGATGTTGACGCATTCACAGTGGCATGTTTTAACCAATGAGGATATTGCTCTTTGGCATCTGTCAAAGTTGACCTATATGAACATAGATTTACTTACGGTTCTGAAGTTCCTTACCAGAACATGAGCCGGTATCTAAAAATAGAAGGCTTGGGCCTTTCTACGCGGACCATGTGGAGATGCGCTTGTTGGCTGGACTCATCCGAGACCAGAGACCTCAATGTTTAGGGCTGTAATGTCTGAATGCAGGAATGTCTGGTCCTGTTCACATACGAGTAAAGTCCACGTGTCATCCTATTCAGCATCTGTACGCCATAAACATGGAATTTCGAATCTTCACCGCTCTCGTGATTTCTTTTGCCATCTCAGGGTATGCGTCTACGATCCCCACCAATGCGCAGCCTCCAGACGCGTTGACTGCCACCAATACAACCCTCGAAAGCAACTTTGATCGATGCTTTACCGTCGTAGACGAACCTATGGGCCTTCCAATTAGTCCCGGAGGCTGCGAACACATAGCCAGGTACCTTGAGTCGATTATAGATTACCGCCATGTCAAACTACACACTGGGAAAGATTTGCCAATTCCATGGTCGGGTCCGGGTTGCCAAGTCAGGTTGAGGGCGGACTACTGGGACTACGATCGATTCGCTTTCATCGCCATCGCAAATGTCATCCGGAACATCCTCAGGAACTGTCCGCCTAAGAAAGGCGTAGGCGTGAGTTTAGGGGGCGTTAGTACTGTGGGATTGGAGAAGGTGTTTCGGGTCGAGGTTCAGAATGCACCTCCAGGGGAGAATGGGAATGATGAGATTGGCGCATCGAGAGATAATCAGACTGTCCAGGTGGTGCCGGTTGAGTGAATGAATGATCTGCTCTGTGGGCTTGTGAAGCGACGTGGATGCAAATTGGGTCTTTGGGAAGCTTCTTTCCATGCGTTCTCGTGGTCTCTTTAATTCAAGATATGCCTGCACATGCTTGGACGCGGGTCTCGAACCACGGCTTACCCCTCGAGACAAACATTGTGGTAGTCCAAGCAATCTTATATACACCTAAGAATCACAATCAAGAAAGGAGAATACTCAGAACCTGTTGTGCTGATATTAAGTGCTTTGTCAGCAATTTGTGACGCAACTGCCAAGACTTCATTTCCCTCCTGAACTCCATAACTTTAAACTTTACCCCATTTCTTCCCATCATCAGTTGACAACCCTGCGTCAGTAATAGGTCTATACATTTCAATCAGCTCGTTAAATTGAGTCATTCTCTGCTTGCATTCTGATGAGATTGCTAGCGACCTCGATTGCGTCGCGAATATTGAGACCTCGATTCATCAACTGGACTAATCCAAACCCACTGGTCTCCAAGGCTGCAAGATCACATCCATTGGCTTGCAATCGTCCTCTAGATACCTTTGCCAGGGTCATGTCGACATCCATAACGGATCCTAATGTCGATCGCCTTCTGGAATTCTGGTTCGATCCGCAGTACCCCATGACTCGCTGGTTCGTGAAGGATGACACGTTGGACCACCGGATCAAGACAAACTTTGGCAACTTGGTGGCAAAAGCCCGCACAACAGAGCTCGACACGTGGTGCAAAGATCCAAAAGGAACCCTCGCTCTAATCGTGCTCCTCGACCAATTCAGTCGCAACATTTACCGGGGCACATCTGATTCATTCGCAGCCGATGAAAAGGCCCGAGAGGTTGCCATTACTGGAATAGCCAAAGGCTTTGATAGACGAGTCTCCCTCATCCAACAGATGTTCCTTTACCTCCCGTTGATGCACCATGAGTCAATACTCGGCCAGATCGCTAGCAAAGCACTGTTTGAAGGGTTGGTGAATCGTTGCGATTTGGGGACCCAGGAGCACGAACAAGCAAAAGTAGCGTCTGCTTCCGCACAAGCACATGTCGATGTGATCTTGAAGTTTGGGAGATTCCCTGCGAGAAACAAGGCCATAGGACGAACCTCAACGGCCGAGGAAGTAGCCTTCCTTGACGAATATCCAGCGGGTTTGAAACCGATATGATCCGAAATGTGTGCTCTCCTGTTCATAATCTTCGATGGTCGCTCCCGGTTCTCGTTAGATGCAGCTAAAGAGCAAAGCGCCCTCAGCGCACGCCACCCACGCCGCCACGGTCGCCATTGTTGCTAGTGCAAGCTCGACGCGCCTAGTCATAATACCGACCGTGATTGAAGCGAGCAATGAGATCATGAAGACCAGGGTTGACATCACCAAACCGAACATCATGCTGCATCTCCTGCTGCGTGGTGGACCTTGAGCCGCTGATATCTCACAATCTGGCACCATTGTGGTACAAACCTGGAAGGGAAAGGCTGTTTTTAGGATGGTCAACAGAAGGGATGGATCGGGATTCGGAGCCCTGCCAAGGCTGCTCTTCCGTATTATGTTCAGGCCGCTGGTACTCCAGCTTCGTATATGATGTGACTTGGGTCTTGTGGGACTTGTCGATGATGTGTGCGCACATCCATGTGCAGGAGCAGCAAAGGCCAGAAATGCACATAAGTTCAAGATCAACTCGCAAATTGCCTTGTGATTGGCTAAAAAGATCCTTGTCTAGTTGTGCATAAGGGTGTACATTAGCGCTTCTTCGACAAGGCTGAAGAACTGAATTGCACATTTGTGCAACTTGGATCTGCTAGGTTGGGCATTGATGTTTTGAAATTTGTTGGAGCTTGTGAGACTACAGGTAGTGAAAATCCTGCAACAACATTTACAAAGCCGAACACTAAAGTGATCACGATATTGCTTGAGGGCAACTTCAATTGCTGAGGAAAGAGCCTACCACGACCTGTCTCCGTTCGCTTGCTACAGACGCACCGAGAAAACATTTCGTACCACCCAGAACTAGATACCTCAATAGACTGCTCCGCTGCTCCTCTCGGGGAGGTCAAGAACTCAAGTCTCATGCGTATCCAAGAGTATAGCGCGCTCCCAAATACAAGCTTAAAGCGGTGGAGGGACCGCTTCACTACCGAGGAACACAATTTGCCTTTGGTACCTACACAGAAAGGAGAGGAAATAAACAGTACCACGTGCGATGTCTGTCTTGTAAAATTTCGAAGCCCGATATCTCAACGTTTGGAATTTGAAACACGATTATGTGACGCTTGCGTATTTATGAAGGGTGAGATGGATAGATACAACAAAGCCGAAGCGGCGTCACTCACTGTGCCGGCTAGCACCACCAGCAGACTGCCAATGGTTGGGACGGATCATAATGCAATTGACGACAAGCCTCAAACTGAAGACAAAGAGGATAAGAATGCGCAAGGTCATGAACTTAGCATGACTGACCCTGCTCTAGCCCTGCCTACTATTCTGAGTAATGAAAACGATATCATCAGTTGCAAAACCTCTTTACAGCATTCTGGAGCTTCACATGACGATGAGCACGCAGGTCAAGAGACCCCTTCAGCACCAAGCGATCAGTCCACCGAAAACATATCTAGTGACCCTGGAAGCCCGTTGAATGCTGCCTCTGAAGACTCTTTGGAGACTGTAGCTTCTCAGGACACAAACATAGCTTATGCTAAACATGTATTGATTGCTGCAGTATTGCAACAGGTCTATGCCATGTTTGGAGATGACCAAGATACTCAGCAGTATCGACAATGTGTGGCAAATGAGGAAGCGAATTCTGGAAGTCCACTTTTGCATCAGGGAGATGGTCGCCAAAATGAAGGCAAAGGGAAGCGTGGACGCCGCCCAAGAGATGACGATGGCTCTCGAAGTGAAGAAGAAGGCGATCAAGGCCGAAAGAAATTTCCTAAAAACAGCTCATCCCTGGGATCAGACGCCGCTATTGAACGCCTTGCTTGTCCTTTTTCGAAGTATCGACCAGAAAAATACGGGCCAAATGAATCCACGAAGTACCGATACCGTTCATGTAAAGGTAAAGGCTTCTCAACAATCTCTCACGTGAGGTTTGTAGCCATCACGATACAAATCTTTTAGGAAAAGCTAATCAGAATATGTACAGGCAACATCTCAATCGGATTCACCGCCCGATCCAGTGTCAAAATTGCTGGCATGTGATGAAAAATACCCAACAGCTCCTAGAACACGTGCAGGAACGAAATTGCGAATGGCAACTACCTGAGCCCGAAGGCATAGATCAGGAGAAGATGAACTTGATTAGCAGGTATGGCACCAGTTGGGAGAAGATGTATGAGATCTTGTTCCCTGGTGCTCCTGTACCTGGCCCTCGTTCGTCAAGCCCCTTCCGTTGCCAATACACGCGCTGATTGGTCCAGATGTTGAGATATGCACTACGCGTGCCCTGTGTCCACCTCATCAAAGTGATCGCCTTCAAGACTTCGACGCCTACAGCAGAAGATTTCTGCCTCAATTAGTGGAAGTGCAACTATCGGCGATCATAAACACCGATCTGGCTCCACTAGAAGAGACACTGAGAGCACGGATAGGTAGCCTGATCCGCGAATGCCAGTCAACCCTGTATACCAACTTCCAGAGCCAAGGCCAAGCTCACTCGATGAGCCAGGCGGAGAATGCAGGTGACCAAACACCACCGCAATTCTTGCCCCTTGCAAAGCCTACCGCAGAGATGCAACGGTCTAGCTCTAGACGTAACACCTCTACTAATGACTTTACGTTAAACATCGAGGAAGAACTCCCAAGACTCGATCAGAGTTCTGGCTATGTGAGTGAGCCTTTAGATTGGAAATGGCTTCCGGAGAACTTCTATGGCAATGACGTTGTGGCCAATACTTCGCCGACTTTAGGCGCAGACTTAACGGTTGGGAACAATCTCAAGGAGGTATGCGAATCCAGCAACTTCACAGATCATAGTATTGACCACATGGAAAGAGCGGCTGACACAAGGGCTGACGATGTCACCGAATGGGAGTTGCTGATGATGAAATCATAGCGCTTGAGCGTTTCAGCTGCTTATACTCGCCATCAGGTGAGGCGCAGAAGGAGGACAAACAAATGGCCTGCAATGCTGATCTACGACCTGTTGACGATTGTACTCGTACCACTATCTCCTCTTTGAATGGGGAACGTTCTTTCTCTCCCTCGAATGTCTCCTAGGTCGTACGTCTAACGCCAAGTCATTCCCTTATCCCAACTTGCCCATCTCCTCCGCGAAAAGAACTCAAAATCCCGGTGGATTTAATGACCGATCTTGTGCACGATGATGAGAAAGACAAACAGACTTGAGGCCAGATACTACAGCTACAGCGCTAAGTCTTGGTGTCTTCCTGATACCGAAGATATAACTCGCGCCGTATTCGTATAGGTCAGGAACGGCCTTAAGGAAGGCTTCCTGGAAGTAATGTGCTACCGTATATAGAAAACTCGGTCGTCTCCATCTTATACTTTGTTCTTGTTTTCGGCTTGTCGTTGCGTTAAGAACTCTTCGGGACGCGACGGCTTGGCACATGGCGGAACACATTTCCCCATCTTAAATTTTTCACTTGATCTTGTACTCCCTCGGTCGACCAATGAACAAAGAACGAACCATTGCCGTTCACATACGTAGTTTAGCTCGTGATTTTAATAAAGCAAAATGGTTCGAGAGTTACAGAGAACGTCTCCCACAACCCTACAGATTTGCTGTAGAGCTACATGTCAAGAATTCTATTCGCCTATGTAAATATTCCCTTTTCACTATCATCACCCTCATCAACGTTTGGTGACAAAAGGTTACCCCGCTAAGAGCGTGCCAGACACTTCATCAGCACTAACTGTAAACAACAAATACCGTCAAGACGCAGCCAGTCGCTCCTACCACAGGAACACAACGCCTCTTACAACAACTTCTTGTACCCAACTTGAATCCCACAAGCTGAAGCGGGTCATGTCGAATCCGGTCGCACTTTACTCAAGCGCTTCGCTCGAGGCTGCCAATGCAACACCTTTCAGCTCGACGAGTGGCACGCTTGAGCCAGCACTGCTCCAAGCTCTTGCGGCAATGAAATTCAACTTCATGACTCCGGTACAGGAAGCAGTCCTCAGCAAATTACCATCTATGCACAGTGACTGGTAGGTTCACTGATACTCGTTGTTCATTCGCTGACCGCCTTCCAGCCTAGTTCAAGCAAAGACCGGCACCGGGAAGACTATTGCCTTCTTGCTTCCTGCCTTGCAGAATTTGCGACAGTCATCTACGGTCAAAGGACAAGTCTCCATCCTCATTTTGTCTCCTACCCGAGAGTTGGCATTACAAATTGCCTCGGAAGCCCAACGATTAGCGTCGAAGTTTCAGCCACCGGTTCATGTACACACCGCGTTCGGTGGAACAGCCAAGGCCAGCGCACTGGAAAAGTTCAAGCGCGAAGATCCCAATATCTTGGTTGCGACACCGGGGAGGCTCAATGATTACCTCTCGGAGGCGAATGTGAGGGCGAAGTTCAAGAACATGAAGACGTTAATCTTGGATGAGGCTGATAGAATGCTTGATCAAGGTATGCTACTCTCGTAATGTCTAATACCAGTCAAGCGATCGTAGACTGAGAGCTTTAGGCTTTCTACCTGATATCCTCCGGATCCTGAACGCTTTACCACCAAAGTCGGGCCACAATGGTCAATGGCAAGGCATGTGCTTCTCAGCAACGATACCGCCCAAGATGGAAAAGGTCTTCTCTCATGTGTTGACGAAGGGTCACACTACTATCTCAACTATCGACAAGACGGAGCCACCAACGCTAACAAAGGTGCCTCAATACTCGGTCATTATTCCTACCGTCGCCGAAACTTTCACAAGTCTGTTCTCGCTTCTCAAGGAGGAATTGAGAGCTGTAGATGGAGTGCCAAGAATCATCGTATTTGGTACTACTGCGAACCTTGTGGCCATGTTCGCAAGGGTATTTGAGGAAAAGCTGGGCCTGCCTGTTCATGAGCTGCACAGCCGGCTGTCGCAACCTGCGAGAACCAGAGTGACGGATCTTTTCAAAGATAGTAAGAATGCTGGAGTATTATTTGCTTCTGACGGTGAGACATCGCTCAATGCTTCCTCAACTCCGAGTACTGACGATATTAGTGATCGGGCGAGGCATGGATTTTGCAGACGTCTCCTTGATCATCCAAGTCGGACTCCCCTTGGACTCAGACGCGTACACCCATCGTGTGGGCCGCACAGCACGCGCTGGCAAAGATGGACGGGCAGTCATTATACTAACCCAACAAGAAAGCTACTTTCTCCACACCAACCCTCAATTTCCAATCAACCCATACCCACATGCCGATCGTATCTTGAGTGGCCACTCTGCCCAAACCAACGCTCACTCGATCAATGCGAGATTGGAAACTATTGATCCCAACGTCAAGCGAAAGGCCTACTCGGCATATCTGGGTTTTATGAAAGGGTTTGTGAGGAAGCTGAGAATCGAGCCAGAAGGCCTTGTCAAGATGGCGAATGAGTTTGCGGTACGGAGCATGATGTGTGATGAGGTGCCTGAGATGGACAAAAAGACTGTTGGGTGGGAATCATCAATTTCGTTTCGTTTTGTACTATATGCTAATTGCCTCTGTAGCAAAATGGGTCTCAAAGGCGTGTCTGGTATCCGCTACGCCAAAAACACTCTCTCAACTCAGAACCAGGACGCCAAACGGGTCGCTCCGAGGCGTGAGCCAGATCCTCCGTCCCGACGACTCAAGCATCAAGATATGCCGGAGGCAATCCCGAAGCCTGCTCCGACGCGACAGCCTGCAGGCGGGAGTAACCCTGGACGTGGTCGTGGACGTGGACGTGGTCGTGGAAATGGCGGGGGCGGTCGCGGTGGTCGTGGCGGTGTTGCAAAGGGCGCGAATTCGGAGCCACTTGGCCGTGAACGTTGAGAATTCGTGCTGTGTATGACTTTATTTTCAGAGTTTAGGCACGATGGTCCACAAGGGAACGCAGCTTAGAGAACCAGGAGGCAAGTTCAACCCCTTATAGATTTCAAGCGACTCTACAGCTTTAGAAAGTACAGAATTGATATTTCAGACTATCGTTGGCTTGGCCCTCGCCTTGGACATATTTCTCTGGAATGTGGAGGCGGACGAGGGCTATTATTCTGGAGTTGTCTGGTATGTCCTTGAGCCCAGGAGTGCTGACTCAGACAGATTTACTGCTGTTTCATTGGCTAGTAGTGAGGTGTCTAAAGATAGACGTGCACAAGGCTGAGGGGAGCTAATTTGCACATTTGAGCGTCTTGCGCGTTCCCCATCTTCCCAACCTCACATCTAGCATATGTTCTGACCTATCCATCAAGATTTTATATTAGTCCGTTTGCGCTTTTGCAGTATCATCTTGGGCGACCACTGAGCGAGCCTTTTGCCGAGTCTCGCAACCGTTCTAAGTGGGGCTGGTGGGGGTTGGATGAAAGCCAGATCATTCTTCGACCCTGAGTAACTAGGAATAAGTAGGCTGGTTTGTGCTGATTGCCCGAGTATACGCTTTGGATAATGGATCCTCGGTTCCCAAAACGAAAATCTTCCTTCACTGGAGGCTCGGACGATCAATGGGTTCGACCTGAAAGGCCCGAACAATCCGTTCCAGAAGTCTTTGAGAAAGGTCAAACACAACGAATACGACGGCGGGCGACGGCAGAGAATGTACTGATGCCGATGCAAGTCGGAGATGATTTTGCATTTAAAGACTTTACAACGGCGCAAGAGTGTTCAAACAATGCTAATGAGATGATAATGGGGCCGACAACGAATGAGCCTAATTTTCACATTGCAAAGAACCATGAGTCCAGTCCAAGTGACTATGTGGATAGTGCTTACGCTAGTTTGGATATCTCTCCATATTGTTCCCATGAGTTACCGATCAACCACTCCTTTCTACCTAGAGGCCCTCAGCTTGACATGGTTGATGATTGGGGAGGCCAGCACATCAGTTCTGATCGATCTGCTGCAGAGAGTTGGCAGGAGCCGTTTGAAGACCAAACCAACGCGTCAGATCCACCTTGTGTCCAAGAATCCTTCAGACGATATCCTTTACCCGAAACTGACAACCAAATTCTCACTTCGCAGTCAGAGGCGGATTTGGCAAAAGCTCATTACATTCAGCTTGATGCTGCCTCACAAGTGGTCGAAAAAGGCTTAGGCTCAGACGTCACTTTAACACATGCTGGCGATTTACAACATGATGCACCCAACAATGCCCTGTTTAGCCCAGTGCCTGTTTTTTCTCAGTTGGGGGCAAGTCCCTGTGGTCTCGAAGACGAGCCATACAGCTTCCACAAAATTACGGAGAAATCGAGCCAAAGCTCAGACACGCAGCAGGAATGCAGTATAAGCCCTCAATGTTCAGGACTGGCGGAGCTTTCAGAAGATCAAGATAGCTGTCTAAGCAACGAAAGTGAAGAGCAACTTTCCAGATCACCTCAAAGTTGTAAAGAGCTTACGATTTCTTTCGCCAAGCACCGAGTAATGGTATCCGTGATGCGCTATTTCTACAGTCTTTTCGACGATAGATGGGAGTCGCAGTGCAGGCAAGTTACCAGTTCTCATGATGAACAAGGTAGACATCAGGTCAACGTTCAGAAAGCTACCATCGAAAGCAGCTACCCGAAGCGCTCAGAGCAGCTTGGCGACCAAAGCGATTCCGAAAATGATAACCATCAGAAAAAAAGGCGCAAACGACGAAGGGCAAACAGTATGACAGACTTGGGCCGTAAAACTCCATTATTCGCATGCCCATTCCACAAATACGACTCCCAAAGGTACCGAACCAACGAATCCAGAGGTCACCGCTATCGTACTTGCGCTGGCCCAGGGTTTATCTCAATCTCCCGATTGAAGTAAGTAATTAGTATTTATTCACCAATGCTCACTCTGGCTAACGCATCAAGAACACATCTCGAAAGAGTCCACCGTGTTGTTCAATGTCAAAGATGCTGGACAGTCATGGATAATACGCAAGAGCTGACAGAGCACCTGAATGAGGAAACTAGATGTCAGAAGCAGATGCCAGAGCCTGAGGGTATAGACCAAACCAAAATGAGTTTGATAAAGAGCAAACACGGAGTCAGCTGGGAGAGCATTTACGAGATCCTCTTTCCAGGAGCACGAATTCCCAGTCCTTGTAAGTCTTCAGCCCCTAGTCACGAAAGAGACACTTATAGGCTACAGATTGGCAACCTGAAACCGACTCAGAGCAGGCAGAAGACCCTTCGTCTCCACAGAGTCGGCAGCTCCAGGAATTTGAAGCCTACAGCAGACGGGTACTGCCACAGCTTGTGGAGGCACATTTATCCGCTAGCCTTGACAACGATTTGGCTCCTCTTGAGGAGACGTTGAAAGCACGTGTTGGAGATTTGGTACGCTCGTGCCAGTCTATGGTCTATGAAAAGTTCCAGAAATTTCAGCAGACTTCAAAAGAGACACAGGAAGCGCAAAGTCGTCCTTCTGCCTCCGATTCCCAACCAAATTTTAAACCTAATGATACGCTCACTAGAAATATTACACCTCCGGAGCAATCCAACAAACTATTCTTCGATGAGCCAACGCACTTACAGCCTGCAATTGATTTCTCGGATGTCGTCAATAAAGATGATGGCATGAAATATAACGCGACGCAAAGTAGGACAGCAGACTCAGGCTACGGAAGCGCCTCTCAGTCGTGTTTATGCTCGTGCCATAGCTCGATTGAAAATGCCATGCCCGCTGAGCGAGAAGTCATGGCAGGAGCAGAGGCATCTGGGCAATTGAAACCTCAATGCACGACTTGCGCTTTTTACCACACAGAGTCAACTCTGGATCAAAATCTACAGAGTGGTTACGACTGGAATGCGATCGACTTTGATCTCTACCATACTGAGCAGAACGACGAGAATAACGCAACTTTCTGGTCTTGAAGAATTGCGAGCGTCAGAGAGCGTCAGAGATCTTCTCCACCACACACGGGCGCGCTCAACTACAGCACAAGAGGACGGAGGTTTCCAAGCCGAACTGCAAGCCACACCCCTACCGTACCCTAACGTCACCTAGACTTACGAGATGAACGCTTCAGCTGGACATGTCTTTTGCCAGACCACTAGCATCGCCATCGAACGTCCTGCATTTAGAGCATCTCCGGGCTCAAACAGCCGCAAGAAAGAGCTGAGCGAACATGCTCCCGAGTGGCAGCTTTACGTTGTAGGCACCCATACACAAGGCTGAAGATAGTGACCATCACTTAGGGAAGATGCCACACTACAGTCGATCGCTTATCATCCTTCGTGCGTTGTGGCTTGAGTAATAGCGTACTTCTGATTCATGGCGTCGTTTAGCAGACTGCCATAACCCCGCACTATCCTCATACCTGCAGCTCGGCCAATGACATAGCAGGAACATACGGCAATGGACTCTAGCCACCTGCCTAAATAGTATTGCCCTCCTCGCCAAGGCCGGTCAATACAGCAGGATCTTTTGAAATTAAAGCCCAGTCTCGCCTCGCTGCTTTTTTGCTTTGAAGTCCAACATCATGTCCTTCTTCCAAGATCTGATAGGAGCTTATGTACTGCAAGGCTTCCGTATCTTTATCGCTTTCAAAGAAAACGTCATCTCGTTCTTTCAAGAAGGGTCTGTAGCTCAGGCACTGCTGAGCTGCTCACTGATTGGTCTCGGCCTGTACACTTTGTACGGAGCGGTATGGCGTCTATACTTGTGCCCCCAGGCCCATATTCCCGGCCCGTGGTTCGCGAAGTTGACCTTCTGGAATGAATTCTACTACGATGTTGTGTGTGGAGGCCAGTATACTTGGAAGCTCCTGGAGTATCATAATCAGTATGGTAGGTGCTAGATGACGCCCTAATCCTGCCGCCGCTGATTTGATAAGGTCCTGTAATTCGTATCAATCCATACGAGGTGCACATCAAAGACGTCGACTTCATCGATCAAATGTACGTTGGAGGAAGTAAACGACGAACCAACAAATGGGCTTGGGCTGTGAGCTTATCATCTATTCCAAAGTAGCCAATCTAACTCGATGGCAGATGAAAATGTTCGGTCAGTACGACGAATCAGCCTTCGACACCCTTGACCACGAAAAACACCGATTGAGACGAGAGCCCTGGGGACCATACTTCTCCAAACAATCCGTCAGCAGGCTGCAACCAACCCTAATCCAAGACAAAGTCAACCTCTTCTGCTCACGCCTAGCCGAGCACAAAGCCGCCGGAAAACCCGTCACAATGATCTACGCGTACGCCTGCGTGACCACAGACATCATATCCGACTACTGCTACCCAAGCGGATACAACTACCTCTCCCAGCCCGACTTCGACACCGCCCACTACGACGCCTGGATGGTCCTGACCCTGCTCTCCCACACCCTCAAACAATTCGGCTGGCTCTTTCCCCTCCTGAACGCCATGCCGCCCTGGCTCACGAAGCGCACAAGCCCAGAAGCCTACCTCGTCCAAAGCTTCAAAAGCGAACTGACCCAACAAGCCAAGGACGTCATTGCCTTCTCCAACAGCGCGTCCAAGGACTCTGAATCCAAACCTTCCCGCCCCTCCCTCCTCCAAGCCCTCTACGAATCCCCCGCCCTGCCCCCCGCGGACAAAGCCCTCTCCCGCCTCGCCGCGGAAGCCCAAACTGCCATCGCAGCCGGCACGCTCACGTCCTCGCACGTCTTGAAGGCAGCTACTTTCCACATCCTCGCTAATCCGCGTATTCGCGACCGGCTGATGGAGGAGCTGGAGCAAGCCATTCCGGACATCGATACCCCGCATCCCCCAAACCTGCGCGAGCTCGAGGCCATCGAGTATCTCGTCGCGATCATGTATGAGAGCTTGCGGATCGCGCATGGGGTTAGTGGGCGCTTGCAGCGCATCTTTCCGGATTACGATTTGCCGTACCGTCGATCCGCGAAAACCGATAGTAGTGATGATGGGGATACTGTGGGGGTGGTCGTGATACCACGCGGCACGCCCATATCAATGACGCCCCTCCACGCGCACGAAGACCCCCGCGTCTTCGTGGACCCGTACACATTCGACCCAGAGCGCTGGATCCCCCTATCAACGAACGGGCTCAGGCTGCAGAAATACCTCATGTGTTTTGGCGCCGGCAGTAGGATTTGCGTCGGTATGGAGTTGGGCAAGGCGGAGATTCTCACGTGTTTGGCGAGCGTGTTTAGGAGGTTTGGAGGGAGGGGGGAGGGGGATGAAGCTGGTGGGGGGGACGGAGAGGAGGAGGGATGTCGATATTAGACGGGATGCGTTTAATGCGTTGAGTGCGGTCGGGGGGAATGGGGTTGTTGTGGAGTTTTAGGGGTGAGTGTGGGGGGGGGGGGGGGGGGGTTGGGGGGGGGGGGTTGTGGGAAGGAAATGGACGGCCGTCTATTATGTGTAAGTAACGAAAATGAAGGACGGAGAGGGATTTGTGTGAGCAGGGCAGGGCAGGGCGGGAGACGAGTTTGACGATATCTACGGGTTTTCGGCCTCATTGATATGATTTGTCGACTCCCAAGGCAAGCAAGCAAGCTGTCGAATTTCTTGTCCATGGATCTTTTTACACAACTGCCGGGTTTGACGTCGTGCTTTACTCGGTCCTTCATATTCAGAGCTTTGTTCGCTAGCCTTTCGCTGTCTTGTCCCTCGCTCTCTCGTAAGTGGTAAGTGTGGATGCAAGATTTAGACACCAACGTACGTATGGATGGATGGGTGAATTGAAGGAGAGGGAGAGAGAGTGAGAGGGGGGGGGGGGGAAGAGGCGTCTGGGTTGTACCACTATGGCTAGTAAGTACTGGAGGGAAGGGATACGATGGATTAGTGATATCGTGGAAGTGGATGCAATATGACAATTTTTAGGATGAGATGACTTAGCTTTTTGACGTTCAGTATTGTTGATGAAACGTGATGCCGGACCTCGACATTTTGTTGGAAAGGTGAGAGACTGAAGCGGGTACAGACAGCTGCTTCTCGATCGGTACAGGATCGTAATCGCAGGCTACTTGCTATTAGAACGAGGGTGTGAAGTCTAGAAGCTGGTTGCCAAAGTCGATCGGATTCAATGCTTTATTTGAGCGGTGGATATATCTCAATGTAGACTGCTCGCTCTTCGCGACCAATGCCCTACACCTCCTGCCATTGCTGCAATTGTACCCTACCCAAACCGCAATATTCCCACCCCAACCTCCTTAATTCAAACCAAATGGATCCACCCATGGCACCAGCTCCTCCCTTACATGAATATCGATCCGATCATCATCCCCACATATGTCGCACGGCACCCCAAAACACGCTTTATGACACTCCCCCTCCTTTTTCTTCCCTCAATGCTTTGAGTAAGCCCCCACACCGCCATTTGTTGCCCTCTGACACACCAATGTAGTTCGACCCGCAAGCAGGTGAATTCGCATTCCTCAACGCACTAGCGGAGACAGCTTTCAGGCGAATTGGTGTGGTTGAAGAGTACTCCACCCGTGTCAAGGGGGGCGGCGTGTTCGTAGGTATTGAAGTAGCAGCCGAGGTAGATGGTCTTGACGAGGGGGGTTTGGGGCAGCCGAGTGCGTGGACGAGCACTAGATGAGAGAGGGGTCTTCGACACCAATGGGGCGGGAGGTGATGACGAGGTTTGCTGTGAGGAGCACAGGGAATGGGGATTTGGACTGCATGGTGGCTGTGAGGAGAGCTGGATGTTGAAGAGAAGTTGGTCGATTGCTTTGGCCAGTGCAGTGAGCGCTGGTGTGTTGGGAGACTGAAGCGAGATGCTTGGCGAAAGTTATGAGGATTGACGCGTAGAAGGAGGGATCTCCCTGTGTTTACGTGCAAAGCTGCAACACGATAGTGGGGGCTCATGTGGAACTGATCGACGTTGTAGCGTCTGAGAGCGTCCATACTTGTCGAGCGGTGTATTCTTCGTAGAGGGAGACGCTGTGTCACACCTCTTTCATCAATGCTGTAAAAACATGCTTGTGATGTTCTCGTCCATCCACCAGTCTTACTGCTCGCTCTCAGGTGGCGCTCATGTCACCCTCGAGTCAGCCATTGCTGCATGATATTATGCATGATATCTGCGCGTTGCCCATCCGAAGCAATACCGCTGACGTGTATTTGCGAGCCGGCCTTCCTCTTTCCATTTGATCATAACAAGTGTTCCTGTAACAGTCAAAGGGATTCATTGTAGGATGTAGATTGGTAAGCACAAGCCCTGGCTTCCCCCATTCCTACTCAAATGGGGGTTTGAACAGAGTAAAAGACAAGCACTCGTCAGCATTGTCTACTGTCATAACGAAGACATGACTCTTCTTCGTCGGATGTTACGAGTAAGCGAGGCGTAATTGCGATGGACGGCCGCCGGAAATTGAAATCTTCTTCATGGAGGAGGATCGACCGACTACAACGTTTCCTACTTTACTCTTCGCTTTGGCATGTCGTCTTGAACCTTGTATTGATTGACTTCTTTCTAAATTGCTCTTTTCTTTGCCACACGCATCTCTTCTCCAGAAAGTGGTTTGGTACGTCGCAGATCAATCCTGTGTCGTTGCGAACTTGCGCCTGAATGCCCTTTGCATGAGTATATTTCTCGTCCTGTTCTATGGTACGTCTTCATTTGTATAGAATCGAGGCTGTGGCCGCACCTGATAAAGGGGACGGTGTCGCCCAGGGTGTAGGGTTATGATGATGCAGCTGGTCAGGGTGTCTTGTTCTGCTAAACATCAGAGGGTGACTTCTAACTATCTGGTATTCCACAGAATAGCCTGGTATCGACTTGGACTTGAACACCCGTCCATTGTAATTAATTCTTGATGGTTGACCCTGTTTGCGTGGTTGTGATCCACTTTCCCCGTCCAGTCATCGAACTCCCTCTCTTCTCACTCCAGCCGCTCTTTCTTGTCGCGCTATCTCCTCCACGCCGAGTATCAAGGATCGCAGAGGGGAATAGGTCCAAGTGTAGGGAGGGCTGAAGGTTTTTGGTCCGGATGGCGTAGCATTGATTGGTCTTCCATGTCCACCATCTTGGACGAGCTGCCTCGTGGTGTGTGTTATTCAAGTCAGTCTGACGCAGCATAAAGGGTTCAATTTCTTTAGCCGCTGATGAAGCTTCTGAAAGATGAAGTCTATGATGAGAGGATCCCATTCTGGACTCAACTAAATGATAGTGCCATGCCAAGACGCTAGCTACTGTACGTGACCCGCGCGACAAGGCTTGGCGGCATGAAGTATTTACCTGTGTCACACCTCTTTCATCCTGAACCAACAACTCGCTTCAGTCATTTTCTGCCTTCTCCCGCCATGGCAAAAGATCATTCGGAACATTGTGCGGAAGACGTGAACATGCAGAACGTGCAGGATATCTGCTGCTGCTGCAAAACCTGATCTCTTTCGCGAGAACGGTTGTTGGCACTGAACCTTCGTTTTTGGGGTTAGGCTTGAGAACATAAGACGTTCGCCAACCAGCTTCCTCGCTTGCAGCACAGACACTGTGGATAGTCATGATAGTGAAATTGACTGGAAAAGAATGAGCCATCGCCAGTTGAATCAAAAAGTGGACCCCCAACGCCACCGCTTCCTCCCAGTGATCCCTTCTACACAATGTGTAACATTGAGCGTGCCCTTCAACAGCTTGAGCAGGGAAACAAGCGGAGTGGAGAATTTGATTACAAGCCTTGTCGGAACTAAGTAGATTTAAGACAACTGGTCGGCTGCCTAACTCTCAAACCCAGTATATCTTTGAAATCGGGCAGAAATTGTTCACCAACCGAAGAAATTATGTTTTCATGATGACGAGTCAAGACCATTGCGACTACGTATCTCAGACGGCTATCGCACAACAGGCTGGCGTTGTCATGACTCTGACCCAACTAAACTCACAATCGACGCTCCAATCCCGACGCCAAAGGACAGATCATTGACCTACAAACACGACTTGCTCTTATCAAAGCCAACAAACACATCCTGGAACAAGAATTAGTTGGCAATTCATACAGAGCGGTACCAAGGTATTCGAGATTCGCCAATCCATAAACTTTCATGAAAAGTGCCGCCCAACAAGCAGGTCCCGCCGTTGTAAGGTAACGCCAAGTATTAATACCGTCGCGAATACGTTCAAAGTAATGCTAGAGTTGACTTTGACGGTGTTTACTGGTTTGGAGACCACTGCAAATAGACTTGGCTTAAGGTGCCAATGTCTTGGGAACCAAGAGCCATTCTACGTACGTAGAGTGGCGATTGAAGGTATATAGCTGCTTGGATTTATGGCTTTTCAAGCCCTGGTATCTACTGAGCCCTCTTCTGCCTCGACTCAAACGGCAAGAGCAGACTGAGAATGATGAGCAGGCCAAATAATCCAGCACAAATGAAAAGCGGCGCCGTCGTCTCAACATTGGCGTAGCTGCCAACCAAGACACCTGAGATACCACCCACCCGATTCAAAACAACGCAAATGGCGTACCCAGTGGCTCGATGAGCCGACGGAAGAATTTCGGGCGTGTACGCATATATGGTACCGTAGTAGATATTTCTGGGACACAGAAGTCAGTATCTAACACATCATATAAAGGGGAGAAAGCTTACGATGCAGCAGTAATGGCAGCAGAGACGCCAACATTCTCAGCAGGCGTCTTAACCTGCGTGTATCCGAATTGCAAGGCCATTGTGATCGCCGCACCTATCGCAAGTGCGCCTCTTCTGCCAACAAACCTCGTCTCAACAAGAACTGCTGCTATGATAGGTCCGAGTAAACCAGATACCTGGTTAATCGCATAATTCCGCCAGACCGTATAATTGCTATCGTCGCCAACGTCGGCTCCTCGCGACTTCAGGTAGTATGGTAAAAAGACCGAGTACAAAGGTGTGACCATGCCGATCACGAACCAGTTTGCAATAATCACGGTTGTCGACCACGCCAGCTTCCTCGTGACAAAAAGACCCGAGAAATGTTTACGAAGTCGAAGTCCAGACCAGACTGATTTCTCCGTGTTGGAGATGCGGCCTTGCGACTGCAGGTGTTCTAATGTGAGTGAGAAAGAGCGGTTGTATTTCGACGCCACTTCATAGAGATTGCTCAGTACTTCTTCATCACGGTTCTGACTGACTAGCCACCTCGGTGTTTGCACCATCTTGATGACTAGTAATCGCAGAAGAGCGAGCGCGAGAACGAGTAAGCCGCAGGTGACATGAAGATAACGCCAACCCAAGTTGTTTTGGCGAGTGCACTGTGCAACCGTAGCATCTGGCGCGCATGAATAATTGCTCATGAATGCCCAGGCCAAAAGCCCGGTGATCGTGTATCCGACGGCCCACCACACAGCCATGAACGTGACGAGCCAAGACCAAGCGGCAGGAAGAAACTCGATCAGGTTGGTGGCATCGAGAATGTAGTTTCCACCCGCTGCTGCTGAGTAGATGGTGACCCTTTCTCAGTGTTAGCTCTGCTGACCACGCGCGGTACAGTATTCGACAAGGGTGACGTACATCGTTGCGAACGAGATGTAGTTCGGCATGCCCGCTGCAATTAGTACGAATATCGCGCAGATGAAAAGACTGGTGTTGAACGCGAGCCTCCTTCCGATGATATCTGCAGAGAAGCCCCAAAGAGCAGCGCCGATGAGCAGACCCACCTGAGAAGCAAGTGCAATCCCAGCGATTTTCTTGGTTGGACTTCCGTACTCTTGCGCCACTGCCGGCTGGGCTATCGAGTGACAGATGATGAGAAGCTTCCTTCGTCGTCAGCACATGCGCAGTGATTGACAGTCCGCAGCCGCTTACAGAATCCACCATATATCCAAACCCATTGAGGAAGAAGAGCTTCCACTGAAACGGCGTCATTCCGATCTCCTCGATGGCCTCGTTGATGAGGGCCATCTTTCTCGCCAACACCGGGTCGATTTGACTGGTATCGAAGACCTCATTCTTGACATCGATGCTCGAGTCGCTGGATGCAGCACCATCTCTCTCGTCATGCGACAAGGCCGCACTTTTCAAACCAGCATCCACAGACATGATGCGATATCAGGTACAATTGAGAAAGAGTTTTGATAACGCTGAAGCGACACAAGGGTGCACGGGATCTTTATATCGGGAACCGAATCACGTCTTCTATGGATCGGATTTGCAAACCTACATATCGGCATTTCGTATACTTGGAGCCAGCTTCTGGGCTTGTTTTCCATGTGCTTATCGATGAGGCGTCGTCCCGAACATGGTAGCGGATGTCACAGGCCAATTGCATTCGCTTTCGCTTGGCATGGCGGAAGATCTACAGATGGTGTCATCTGCACGGCAATGTCGAAATGCCCTCGAGCCCCCACCAAAATCCCCCATGGTCAACCTGCCTTTTTGGGGCAGCGGCAGGAAATCCGACCCTGTGTTATGCATGCTCAGAACCTTGTGGGATGATGATACTTAGTGGAGGGAGCCCCCACCCTCCATTACGCATGCGCGACCGATCCACCGATGGATTGTATCTGACCATTTGAGCACGCTGATCTATCCACAAAACAAGCTTGGACCCTTCACAATATTTCGGATTCGACAATGACTGCTCACACTGGATTGACACCTGCTGTGCTGAAATACAAAGCCCCCGATCCCCTGGTACTGGAGTTCGAGGTCCAACCAGATCGTGCAGGCTTCGCAGAGCCGAAGAAGAGCGCGCTCTTTGCCGCTGCATCGAAAGTCGACGATTTGACACCGTGGATTGGCACGCAGCTGCATGGGGTGCAATTGAGTCAATTGACAGATGCCCAAAAAGATGACCTGGCGCTCCTTGTCGCGGAGGTATGAGTTGCAACTATCGGTTGGCAATAGGCTGACGCCTTGCAGCGTGGTGTAGTCTTCTTCAAAGATCAAGATCTGACTCTCGATGGCCAATACGAGTTGACTAAACACTACGGCGTCGTAAGTGATGCGAACAATATCTCGGCGCATCCTGAACTAAGACAACTTGCTGTAGCAAGACCGCGACCCCAACCAACACGATCCCAAGCACGTTACTATCCTCGGACGCGATAAGTTAGCACCACCTTGCTCTCACTCGAGCCTTTCTTGACGAACACCAGTGACCGAGGCTACGCGAACTTCGGGCAAGACTTCCACAACGACCATTCCTTCGAGCTGAACCCGCCCGCATATACCATTCTCCGCATGGTCAAAGCCCCGCCTACGGGCGGGGACACAATCTTCACCAGCCAAGTCGCTCTCTTTGACAAGCTGAGCCCGACCTACCAGAAACTTCTCGAGCCGCTGCATGGTGTACATAGCTCTGAGGTCAGTATTCCCCCTCGTGCTATACTTCCGCTGTCTTCCCTCGACAATCTAATGGTAGACCGATTGACCAATATCTTTTCGCAGGCTTCATACATCAATAGCATTAACGGCGGCGGCATAGCATTCCGCCCTCCTGTGCGTCGCGAACACCCACTCGTACGCACTCCACCCTTTTCCTCAGCTCCTCTCCTTCTCCTTCCCCAAACTCCCAACCCAACATCCCCCCTCCCATACCCATCCTAACAACTAAAACCCCCTGCTCCCCTAGATCCGCACCCACCCCATCACCCACCTAAAATCCCTCTTCTACAACCCCACCTTCACCCTCCACATCGCCGAGCTCAAAGAAGCCGAAAGCGCCCACCTCCTCTCCTTCCTGCGCGAGCACATGCACTCCGCGGACGATCTCACCGTTCGCTGGCGCTGGGAAGCTGGCTCTGTCGCGTTTTGGGATAATCGCGTCGTCGCCCACCGCGCTGTGCCGGGGGGTTATGATAAGAGGCTCAGGGAGGGGAAACGCACAGGGGTGTTTGGAGAACGGCCAATCTTTGACGCGGAGAGAGGGGTGACGTGGGGGGAGAGGTTTGCTGGGGCTGGGGTGGGCGTAGGGGAAGGTGAGGAAGGGGGAAGGGGGGAGGGGATGAAAAGGGGGAGGTCGGGTATATGGACAAGGAATACGAGTATAAAAAGATGGATGCGGATGGTAATGCGCAGTAAGAGGATATCGCAGGGGAGAGTAACGAGGGTTACGCAGTAAACTCCTGTCGACAATCTTTGCGAACCTGAGTACGCTCGTACGCTGATAGGGAGCGCCGCTGGAAAGTTATTCCGAGCCGCTGGGTCGAGGATCAAATCCTGCGCCTGTCATCTTGTGAACAAACAAGCTACTAGTACAAGCTGTGACTGAACATCAATTGAAGGCTCCTGTTGACTATCAAGTCCCGTCTAGCAGCTCAATCAAACTTGATGCCAAGCTCTGAGGCGGTCCATGGCTCCTGTACAGGCGTGCGTAGAATCTACCCCTCATTTGAGCCTCATGGAGTCGCTCCAGTGCTCACTCACATTTGCCTGAAAGCGGCCTAATTATACGAAAATGGTCTAGAACATTTTTGTCTTTCATGCAGGCCAGACTGTCCCGCAGGCGGACTGATACTGATCGGCACGCCGTTCGACAGATCTAGGCTGCGCTTGTCGTTAGCGACCTGAGCGACGAGAATGAAGTCACGGCCGAAAGCTGAGGTTGATGAGGACTTTCAAGGATGTTTAGCGAATTCCATAGGTGCTCCTGAAGTACGCCAATTTGAGGATCGCTACGCGGTATATTTGTCAACGCTCCTTGCTGTGATATCAGTCATGCAAACGACCAGAAGTCAATTGGGGTCTCTACAGGAGGGTGGGGTCCTTGCATTAGCTTATGCTCTGCCAGCTCAGGGGTTACATGGACAGTCCAAGGCCTAGAAGCCGAGGGCAGGCGCCGAGGTTACTAGCACGAGGCTGAGATCTTGGGGGTTGGTACTTCGATTGCGACGATACCTCTTTGCTGTTTTCCTCCTCTTTCAATGGTAGAAGCAGCGTTCTTGCGAGTGCGGGAGTGGCGTGGACACCATCCGCTTGAAGGCTTGGACTTGCCTTGATTGAAGCTGAACATAATGGCGGCTGCAGGCCAAGGAGCTGGGCTGGCGGGCATGATTGCCTTCGCCCTTGAGAATGGCGAGACCGGCATCATATCCTCGGCGGACCGGCGAGCTTATGATCATATCATCCACCATACTGTTGGGGCTATTCCCCCAGTCGGTCTTGAAGGTCAGACCCCTGCTCCGCACTGAGGCTGATGGAGGGTCTAGCTAATCCTAGTCCACCAGATGCCCATGTCGTTGACATCTTGTCGAAATCCAAACTTCCTGAAGATGATTTGGATGAGATATGGGAGCTTGCGAAAAGCGTTGAGTCGGAGGAATCAGAAGATGGGTACTGGTCCACTTTGGAGGTTTATGTGGCACTTCATTTCGCTCAACTACATGCGCGTATCGAGTCTACTGAGATGGCACTACTATATACTGGAGTCGCATTGACGACCGGAAAGAAGCTTGGCCGTAAATCCAGCTACAAGCAAGCTCGCGCCGCCTCATTGGCTTTCGAGACTGCTCCACCCATGCCGCAGATACCTGCATCTGAGATTCAACGGACACGCTCGCAGGCAGCACCCCATGGCGCCACATCTCTCCATCCTTCCAACCAGTGGAATTCTGTGGTTGATGCCGATACATCATTACACCGCCGGCATTCCCACCAGACTTCCTCTGAGCGTGACAACACCTCGCTTAGCCAAGTTGGTCTAGAGGCAGTGAACGAGCTCGATACCATTCTACGTGAGGGCAGTGTGCGGAGTGATACTGCCACCCGAGCCCAAAGACTGGCGACCATACTCAAAACAAGATGCCCCGACATCTCCTTGGGTTCAGTCATTCAATCTGCCGGGCCCCGTGTCTCCGCCGCTAATGAAGGAGAGGCGCACGCAGCTCTCGTCAGAATCCATCGCCCCCAATTCAAAGACCCTAGCAAAGGCTTTGGAAAGCTCAGGTCTAAATCTACGAAAGACAAAAAGCGAGACACACAGACTTGGATATTCAGTGATGAAGAGAAAAGCCGTGCATTACAAGAGGCGGTGGACACTGGTTTTGTAGGGATTGCTGAAGCTCTACTAGACAAGGGTACAGATCCGAACCAGGTCAAAGTTGAGGAGAAAAGTAAAGTTCTTCGATCGAAAAGCGTTACAGCTAAGTCGGTCAACTACATTTTGAAGGCAGCTGCCAACAACGACACCGAGATGGTGAGCCTTCTTGCGAGCCGTGGAGTCTCTTCAAACAGTAAGGAACTTGCTTTGGACCAAGCTGTCAAACAGAGCTTGCCTGCTGTAGTATTGACCCTCCTACAGTATAACGTCGATGCTAATGCACTTGGTGGAAGTATCTTCCAAGCAGCGATCAGCTCCCAAAGGCCAGACATTGTAAAGCTGCTGTTGCGAGCGCGCTCGAATGTGAAAACGGCCTATATCACGGCGAATCTTCCACTCGCAGTCTCTCAAGGAAATCAGGAGATGATCTCTATATTAGTTTCGAGCGAAGCCGACGTAAATGCTGAGAGCGCTACAGCACTTCGTAAAGCCGTTCAATCGCAAAATGTCGATCTTGTTCTTCCGATCATGAAAGGAAGACCATCCAAAGAGACTGTTTCCATCGCATTTCAAGATGCCTTTTCAGCAAACAGCTCCGCATCCCTTGTCGAACAATATCTACTCCTCGAGATCTTGCTCTGTGGAGGTGCCGAAGGTAACAACGTTGCTGAAACACTCATCCATGTTGTCCGTGCCGGCCATCGAAATCTGGCTAAGCTCTTGATACTGCATGGGGCGTCTACACAATACAAAAACGCTCAAGCTTTACGTATCGCTGTAGCTGGCGGCAATGTTGGGCTCGTAGCCTGCCTTTTGAAGGGGTCCATCTCTGCTGATAGCATCAATGGAGCCTTCAATGAGATTACCAAGCCTTACGATGAGCAACAAGCGTACGCTTTGATGTCAGCTCTCATATTCAAAGGTGCTACGGGTCGACCGCTTGACGATGCACTTGTAGCTACGGTGCAGCAAGGCTGCATTGCGTTGGTTAAACTGCTGCTTGACCACAATGCCTGTGTGAACTATAAGGGTGCTCAAGCTCTCAAGATTGCCGCGAGCGCAGGCGATTTGTTTACGCTCCGGATCTTATCCAACAAAGGGCGACCGCAAACGCAGTCGATGGACCAGGTCCTTCCAATGATTCCACCTAGCCCCCCTAAATTGAAATACGAGATGACTAGGTGCCTCATCGAGGCTGTTTCACCAGCAAAGCTACAGACTAGCGCACTTGATCTTGCGTTGGTGAAGGCTATAGACTCGGAAACAGAAGCAATCGATTATAATCTAGTCAATATTCTAGTAACGTCGGGAGCTAACGTCGACTGTCAGCAAGGACAGTGCTTTCAACTTGCTGCGAGGCGAGGGGTGATGGAGTTGTTGCAGATCTTCATTCAGAGATCATCACATCTATCTTTACTCTCTACGGCCGTTCCGAATGCAATGAGACTCTCGAACTCGGCGCTGAGGCGAAAGGTCGTCGCCTTGATGCTCGATCATGGCGCACAAGGACCGACTGTCTCCCAAGCCCTCATTGATTCTCTATCCGAGAACCCAATGGATGAGGACTTGATGGCATCTCTACTCACCAAGGCCGATGTAGACTACCGAGAGGGTCAAGCCCTAAACCTTGCAATGCAGTACTCAACAAGAATACTCTCTAGGATAATTCAAGTAGGCAAACCAGGCCAAAAAACAATGGCTCACGCCTTGACCATGTGCATTAATCCAAGGACGCGGGAACGGGAGGCAAAACTGGACTTATTCCTGAAAGCTGGAGTGAACCAAGAGACTTTAGACGGAGCGCTTGTATCAGAGATATCAAGCCGATCAGGATACAGTATGCATGTAGTCAAGGCGTTGCTGAAATATGGCGCCTCATGCACCTTCGATGACGGGAAAGCGCTCGAGCTCGCAGCGCGGAACGGCGATTCGAAGCTTTTAGAACAACTTCTTGGAACCCAGCCTAGCGTCGATATCCTGCCAATGATCCTCCTCACGGCGATGAAAGAAACTCCAAGGGGCTTCAAGTTTGACACCGTAGGCCTCATTCTCAACGCTGGTGCCAGAGGCGATAAAATCAGCCAAGCTCTAACATACGAAGTCTGTAGCACCACAGATTGCGAGCTAAGAATTGTTCAGTTGCTCATCACTTACGGTGCAGATCTAAGCTACAAGCATGGCCAGGCTTTGAAACATACAGTCTCTGTGCCATTAAGCATAGAATTGCTCCGTACACTGATCGAGTCGAAGGGAGCTTCAAAAGTTATATCACGTTTGGTGCCATTAGCAATGAAGCATATTGAGCCAGTCAGATTGCCATTACTGCAAATCATTCTCGAGAAAGGGGCCTCAGGACCGGATGTGGATACCGCTCTGGTGACCGCTGTCTCAGAGTCCCCTCCGTCCCAACTCACTGTAGAAATATTGCTTCGATATGGTGCTTCACTTGACCATGATCACGCGAAGGCCGTCAAATGCGCAGCAGAAAATGGGGATCCAACGATCCTCCAGGCACTACTGTCAAAGTCTTGCAAGCTAAGATATCTATCAGAAGCTCTCCAAACAGCCATGCAAGCGTCTCAGTCTGAGAATGATGCAAGCAGAGAACAACGATTCGCTTGCATCAAGTTACTTACTGATGTTGGGGTACAAAACGACGATTCAATCCATAGGGGTTTGATTCAAGCCGTGGAGGAACGTGATCATTTCCTTGCACAACATTTTCTCAACAACGGCGGGGACCCAAACCACGATAACGGTGCAAGTGTAAGAGAAGCAGCTGTACATGGCGATATTATCTCTCTCCAGATGCTACTCCGAGTGAAGTCGATCCCAGGTGTCTGCTCCGTCGCTTTTGAAGCCGCGTCGCAGGAGCAGCTCAAGCATCCAAGTATCAGTATCGAATGCCTTTACAATGTGTATTCCATGCTTGTCACGGCTGGTTCTGCAGGTCCTGCCGTTGATGCAGCCTTTCTCGAGGCGCTCATTGACCGTCAACCATCCAAAAACGATTTTGTGGATACGGTGCTCAAAGCTGAAGGTTCATTAGACGTCAACTTCAAAAAGGGTAAAAGTCTTTGCATAGCTGCCAGTGCGGGCTTGTTTCCAATCGTGGAGGCATTACTGAAACGTAATCCAAGTAAGGCTACATTGCGATCAGCATTCATGTCCGCACTTCGATCCCGATCTCAAGAGAAGGACATCATCAAAGTGACAAGACTGTTTCTTGAGCACTCGAAAAATGAGAAATTTGTGTACTTTCAAGACAAGACAATGAGCGGACCTCTTTACACAGCCTTGCATCAGCACGCCGGGAAGCCAGAACTATTGGAATACCTGCTTGACAACGGGTGTTCAACTGAGGCTCAATTTACATGGCAATTTTCTCGCGAGTCTGAAGTGGAGGAAACCTCTGCGCTGCTGTGGCTCATCTGTCAAGCGGATCGCTCGACTGACACTCGGACAGTCAAGCTGCTTCTTGACCGAGGGGGTAAGCTGAGACTACAGCCGTCCTTCTTAGCATGCACAACTGACAGAAAGACTACTAGGTGACGCAAATTTCCGTACTCCCTGTTCAAGTAACAGCCCTTTGATTATGGCTGCTGCAGCAAGTCAACCCGATTTAGTCATGCAGCTCTTGAAAGCCGGTGCTCACGCGCAGACAGAGAATGCTTTGGGAGAAACTCCCCTTCAACATGCAACCAGTTCGGGGTGCGTTGAGAGCGTGAAGCACCTAATCAGCTACAATGCACAAGTGAACGACGAATCTTTACACATGGGTGCAAGATTAGCACGAGCTGAGGCTGTGAAAGCTCTCCTCGAACATGGCGCTGCAATAGACTATCCAGGCACTCTCTCGTGCAATGGACGGACTGCTCTGGGCGAGATTTGCCAGATGGCGTCCCCGGATGACGACCCAGCTGAACTCAAACAGACCATCGCAGAGCTCGTGAAAGCAAAACCTGACCCCGGGAAATTGACCAAAGGAAGAGCGCACGTCATTCTGGCACTCGAGAACGACAATCCTCTAGGAATACTTAGAATACTGTTTGCAGCTTGGCCTTCCCTGCGAGAGCATCTCAACGCCGACTACAACATCTACCATGGCCAAGGGAATCTCCGCTATAGCCCAACAGCATACGCTCGCCACTTCCTTTGCCGGCGTCCGTTTGACAGGCGTCATCTCTCTATGGAAACCCGATGCTGCAACCTCCCGAACTGCCCCGGCCCAGCACTCGAAGACCTCCTCCACCATCACGGCTGCCTCGACCGCTTCTGGAACGACAAAGCTGGCGCCAACCAGCCCTCCGGCACGTGCAGACCCCCTCAACACATCATCGACGCTCAGATTGAAGCCGCCGCAATCCGCAAAGAACAAGAGAAACAAGCCCGCATCCGCGCGGAGAAAGAGCGCCAACGGCTCGAAGCCCAAGCAATCCGCGACGCAGAAGCAGCGGCCGACCGCCAACGCGAACGCGACCACCAAGCCGTGATTGAAGAAGGCCGGCGCGCCGACGCACGCGAAGACCGACGCCGGCTCGAATTCGCCGAATCACAGCGTCGCGCCGACGAAGCAGCAGCAGAGTCAGAACGTCGGGCAGAGGAAGCAGCAGCGCGATCCCGGCGGGATGCGGAGGAGGCGAGACACAGAGCGGAGGCTGCGCGGGAGAAGCGGGAGCATGAGGCCAGGTTGGCGAGGACAAGGTCGTTGGCGAACGAGGAGGAACGGCATCGGACACGGCAGGAGAAGGGCAAGATGGCTGCTTTGGAGAAGCAGGCGAGGCTGGAGAAAGAGGTTTTGAGGGAGCGGAGGCAGTTTGTGGAAAGTGCGGCTGGGTTGGTGACGCAGGCGCAGATTGCGGGGGTGGGACAGAGGGAGATGGGGCAGATTTTGGGGGAGGTTGGGGAGGGGGCTAGGGGACGGTATTTGACTAATAGATAGGGAGAGGGTAGTGGAATGTACGGGGGTGTTTTGTGAGGGGAGAGTTGAGTTGAGTTGAGAGGTAGGAAGCGAGGGGATTTTTGATTCACTTGGCCATTGACAATATATTGCAAATTCAGGAGAGCGAGAGGTTAGATTACTGTTCTTGTGTGTCGTTCGATTCTCAGGCGGAGACAATACCCGACTTGTTACAATATTCCGTTAAATCCACGGTTGCGATATGTATGCCTAGAGCAATCTTTCCTCCTCTTATGAGGCGTTAAGTGCTTCTTCCCCCTACGAGTATCTCCCAGAAGCATATCGTTTCACAGGAGGAAAAGACGACAAAGTATAGTTGTATATGAAAAGGGCGGCGCCAAGGCCAGAATCACCAAGAATTGCAGAACTTCAACACATATATAATGGCAGAGAACTCACTCAGATTACCCTAAACCCAAGCACATTAACAACCCCCAAAACTCCAAACCCTCACATCTTCCTCCTCAACACCCCCGTCAACTCCTCCCTCGCCGCCCTCCACCCCGCAGCACTATCCTGCCCCAACCGCATCTGCTCCCCCACAAACCGCTGATGCCACTCCCTCAAACTCTCAAACGTACATTCCTTGGCCAACTTCAGCACGCGAATCCGATAATCCGCCAATGCGCGCTGCAGATCCTCCACGTCCCCCACCCCTTCCCCCCCACTCCCTCCCCCTCCCCCTCTCCTTCCACTTCCACTTCCCTCTAGGTTAGGGTTGGTTTCCCCGTCCGCGGCAAACATCACCACAATCTGCCCATACACCTCAAAGCAGTACAGCAAGTGACTGAGGTCGTTGGAGTCCGCGGGCGTCATGTCCTCCCTGTCGTGGTCCAGCCAGACGAGGCCCTTGGGCGTGATGATGCCGCGGAAGATTTTTGTTAGGTACAGCGTTTGCACGAAGGGGAAGCGCGCTTCGATGGCGGGGCAGGCGCGCGAGAAGTTTGTGGAGAGGAAGGAGGTCCGGATGTAGTCCGGATCGTCTTGGGAGCTCGAGTAGGCGGATGATAGGTCGGTTGTTATTGTTGACATTGTTGTTGGGGGCGGTGGGGGTTGGGAGTTTGTGGGGAGGGAGATGGGGGAGGGGATGGGGATGGGGATGGGGATGGGGGTGAATGGTGACGTGTGGAGGGTCGCTGAAACGTTTTTCCGAGCCGGGGATTGGATTGGTCGTGTCCGTGCCCGACTCAAAGTTTAGGGGATCTAATAGTCGTGTATATATAGATGAACGAGCTCGTTCACCTACGATGAGCTTTTACTTGCAGCTTGACGAAAGCTAAGTTGCCTCCTATATACGCAGAACTGGAGTCATTTTCTCTCTCAAAACTTCACAGCGTCCCACACTCCACGATCACAACCTCAGATTTAGGTTGCCCCGAGCTCGACCCGATGGACTCGACTGCCTTGACATAATCCTCACCTGAGGCTACCTCCCCGAATACAACGTGCTTGCCGTCCAGATGCGGTGTCGCAACTGTCGTGAGGAAGAATTGCGAGCCATTCCTATTCACGGTATTTAGCCCTTACAATACTATCAATCCAGCAGATTTCTCGATCTCGAGCTCACAAGCAAGAAAGAGGCGAAGAAGCTCTTGGGGGAGACTCACGTATTCGGGCCCGCATTGGCCATAGACAGCAGATACGGTCGAGTGTGCTTAAGCTGAAAGTTCTCGTCGTTGAAGCGCTCGCCGTAGATGGATTTGCCTCCAGTGCCCTTCGAACAACGGAGTTAGTCTCTTTGATTCAAGCACGGCAAAATGATCTCGATCGAATGACATACATCGCCCCTCGTGAAATCACCGCCCTGAATCATGAACTGCGGGATGATGCGGTGGAACTTCGAGCCTCGGTATCCAAATCCTTTCTCGCCGGTGCATAGAGCGCGGAAGTTGGCGGTCGTTCGTGGAACTACGTCGTCGTAGAGGGTGAATATAACGCGAGCTTCTGTACCTGATCATGGCGTGTCAGAGGAGTAGCACGAATCACGAGATTTGATTGGGGGTGGCAACATACCGCCATTGATCGAAAGATCGAAATAGCATTGCCCACCGGCGCCGGTGGCAGCTGGGGCAGACGCTGTCGGTGCCGCGGTGGACGTGGAAGGCGCTGCTGGGGAGGATTCTGGCTCTGATGTGGCCCGTCACATTAGGTCTCTTCTGTAGACTGTGCCAGATGATACGTACCCTTATCCTTGTTGAGCTTGCCCTTCAGCTTGTTCATGAATTTGGACATTATGGAAATGCCGCAGTTACGGGAATTGTAGAGAATAGGCAAGCGTTCTGTGGGATTTTGTGATGGAATTGTTGGATAGATATGGACAAAAACAAGGAATGCTAGCGCCTGACAGTGACGCGCTCTAGGCGGGAGCTTCCGGGCGGCTTCCGGGCGGGCTTGGCGTGTTGGCTGTCGCAATAATCTGAATTGCTTCTCGTCCAACGACATCCAAGATGTATGTATCTATACAATACGGGAGAGGCACAGGCTGTTCATGCTTGAGACCTACTGAGCTTACGAACCTCACGACTTTTCTCACGGTCCGACCTTCTCATCTTCTCGACGATAGGGAGTCGACTCAGATCTTTGTGCCAAAGACCATCAAACAAGGCAAACGATTGTCAATCTCTGGTAAATCTACTCCTTTATAAGCAGAGATGCCTTTGCATGAGGATATTTCTCATTGTTGTTGAGCTTTTCATCAATTATCAGGACGTGAAAGATGACATCTAAAGACTTATCGCGTGGCCACTTGCACAACAATTGTCACACAGAAGGCTTACTGTGCAGTCGTCCCTGGGAATTGGCAGGACTGATATCTCAATGCTTGATGCATGGGTCAATGGATTTCAGATGACTTGACGCCCCCCTGCCGCAGCAAGAGGCTCTCCCTCTACAGTTTCGAAGGTGGTTGCTACCAATTCGTCACGAAGACGCTCTAGACTTGCAATTCAGTGAAGTCCATCGGTCATATGCCGGCAGTGCAGATCAACCATTTCCCGATCCACGTGGATCAATCATAATGCTTCTTGGAGGTCTTATGCCAGCATCGCAATCTTTGGCCAGCCTAAGATATGTATCTAAGAACACGCGAGAGACAAGGTCCTAGTCGGATCGCAGAGAAGTCATACGCGACTACAAACAAATACTCCCCCGCAAGCTTCACCTCTACAGGTGAGTGCTTTATTAAATTTCTCGATCACAGCTAGAACATTACTTCTACCTTGCTTTAGGACCTTTTGGAAAGCATTGGCAAAGGAATCGATTCTGAGATGATCTTGCGCAAATCTTATACTCTACTTTCATTTGCAGTCGCTTTCATCGCCCTTTCGAGAAGCAGTCCAATGGTAGGGCTAGAGCCATGTCCATCTGGCAAAAACAGCACCGTTTCCCTTTACCCCGCCACCGGCTGTGTGTGGTGCAAAACGTCCGCAATCCTAATCGAGCTTCGCTGGGGCTTTTGGCATTACGGCGACTTTGATCGAACGGACTTGGCCGATTTCATAGACAAGGGCTACGGAGAGATACTCCGACAGCGACCCAATAGACCACCATGGTCGCTAGCCCATGTTAAGAACGGGAAGTTCAGATTTCGAGCGCGTGATCCGAAGCGCCCAGGGGTCGGATATGAATTCTTGTTGAAAGAATACAGTCTTGCGACGTCGGACAGGACCATGTTCAAGTATGTCGATGTTTCAGAGACTTTGGACTGCATGGTCCGGTACGGGATAATGCCCCCTTGGGATGGGAAACCCCCAGGCGCGGACCTGAGAGTACATCCCGTGCATGCCGACGGTGTGGTCGCTGAAAGGTATTTCAGGGTGTTTCCTGAGATGCCCGCTGAGGTTGCGACAAGTGAGGTAGATTGATGAAGAGTAATGACAGAGAGGCACCAGGATGTCTCGAATTGCAGCTTGCTTTTCCGAAGACTCGTGGTGTACGATCTTGCATTTGCAATTCGCGATGGAATTTTCAGTAACGCAGTCACTTCTGCGATACCTCAGGATAGAAAGTCTGGACTATGCATGGGGTGACATTGTCGTTAGCATTATTAAACCCTAACAACATCGAAGCTACAAATCCTTGCAGCCTCTGTTGGCCGGCGAGCTGCCTCCATATTGGCGCGCATAACAACCACAGACTTGCGCCACGCAAGTGCTATGTCTGACAGCGCCTTGAATCTATACCATTGTAGGAGAGGTATGTCAATTAGTCTTATTCTCCGAAGCGTTCCTGCACGCGCCACCCGCAAGCGCTTCTCCCCACTCGGCGCGGCGACTTCTTGCGCATTCAAGGATTCCGTGATGTTCTTTGCACTACACGCTTTTCAAAACATATTTGTTTGGTATCGTAATTCTTCTCCGTATTCAACCAGGTTCGCTCGAGCACGAGAAAAGTTGTTGGAATAGATAGCTACATTTTACTCCTAGAGTGTGGATGCCCCAAAGTCCAGTACGAGTCCTTGGCTTACGCGAAGGATGCAGCACGAGAACTATCTGCATCTTCCCCGCCGATCTAGACTCACAGATGTTTTTAAAGATCTGACTTGATCGAATCTGCGGTCAGCTTACATCTCTGAAGCATTAGTATCAGCGTATACGAGGCCACAATCGCCCGTGAGGCTCTGGTACTCGACCAGAAGAAATTTCAACCTCCAAGATCCTTGGCAGTGGTGTTCGAAGATGGACAAGCTGTCTCCTCACTATGATGTCATTATCATTGGTGCAGGTCCACAAGGCCTCTCAGCGGCGAAGTCATTCCTTCAGCTGAACCCTACACTGAAGCTGAGGATAATTGATTCCAATGAGTCTATCGGAGGGGTCTGGAGGAAAGAGAACCTCTATCCCGGCTTGCGCCTGAACAACATTCGGCACGGCTTCGAATTCTCGGACTTTCCATTCTCAGACGAGTACGGCGTAAAGCAACGCGACCATGTCACTGGAACAGCGATGCACCAGTACCTGAACGATTATGCCGCGAAGTATGATCTACAGAGAATCACAACACTCTGCACCAAAGTCACAAGAGTCGAGAAATCCGAAAGTGGCTGGGCAGTGACTGTATCTTCATCGAACGCCACAGGGAATTCACCAAGCGAAAAGTCGATTCAATGCTCTAAACTTATCATCGCAACAGGTCTGACTTCGTCACCTGCTCCAATTGGGTTGAAGTACGATTCGAATTTCCAGCCCCCCATCATTAACTTCAAAGACCTTGCAAAAGAAAGCTCTGGAGTACTTCGTGACGAGACGACAGAGCATGTCACAGTAGTTGGGGGAGGTAAAGGTGCTTATGACTCAGTGTACCTCTTGGCGACGCGTGGGAAGAAAGTCGCATGGATTATCAGATCCTCAGGCCATGGTCCAATCTGGATGGCACCATCTCATGTGCAGATTGGGCCTGTTCTCTGTTGGCTGGAGAAATTGGCCACGACTCGCTTCATCACCTTCTTCTCTCCAAGTATTTGGGGCGATGCCGATGGATTTGGGTGGATTCGTAGTCTCCTACATGGTACGCGCTTTGGCAGATGGCTTGTCAAGGGATTTTACGGCAAGCTATCTTATGAGACATTGCTGCAGTCTGGCCTGCTCAAAGATGAGAAATTGAAAGTTTTGATACCTGATGACAATGCCCTGTGGTACGGCGCGGGTCTCAGCATTCTCAATTATCCTACCGACATACATGACTTCGTGCTTAGTGGACAGGTGGAAGTCATCCGAAAGGACATCGATACACTCCGCGCTCCAAACAAGGTACACTTCGCGAATAGTGATCATGCCCCTCTTGAGACCGATGCAGTGATTTGCAATACAGGATGGAAACACGATCTACCTTTCGAAGTCTTGCCTCACAGCCTGCATAGCGACCTTGGACTTCCAACTACCCACATGACTGATTCGGAAATGGAATCATGGGCTGATATGGATGCTCAAGCAGACGCTGAAGTCTTCCAGCGCTTTCCAATGCTCAAAGCTGGCCCTCGATTGGAAAATCCTCAAATGCAGACTCAGCAACGACCTTCCCCTTGGAGGCTTTGGCGAGGTATTGCGCCACCTGGCCTGGTCAATGCTCCCCCAGAAGACCGAAGCATCGTCTTCCTTGGCATGATGGTCTTTCTCCAAACAAGTTTACGATGCGAGCTCTGCTCTCTCTGGGCTTATGCATGGATGATGGGCTGCATGAATCTTTCGAAGGCTTTTAGCCTTGCCAGTGCTTCGAAGACTCCCGTCGATCTACGCCGCCAAATCAATGGAACGAAAGATTCATCGAAGAACCAATCTCAAGACTCCGCTAAGTCCGATTCGTTCTTCTATGAAGCAGCTCTGCAGCAACGCTTCTTCAAATGGCGCGCCCCATATAGCTACGGTTCACTCTATCCTGACTTCGCTTTCGACGGTATCCCGTACTTTGACATGCTGCTGAGAGATATGGGACTCCGCCACTGGAGGAAAGGGTGGTCTTGGATTGGAGAGCTCTTCACTGGAGGCGGATACCTCGCGCCTGACTACAGGGGTGTTGTGGAGGAATGGCGGGAGAAGAATAGTGACGGACATGATATCAGCAACAATAGTTCCAAACTTTTGAACGGTGATAGGAGCGATGTTGATGCACAAGCATACAAGGACAAATAAAGATCTGCGAGGCAGCGCAGCCAATCCTCAACTACATTAAAGGACGTTCGTATGAAGTTGAGCTCAGGTACGCGAGCTTCTACGCCTGATATAGTGGCTTGACTTGATATTTCTAGGAACTGTCGCTATCGCACACGTGACATCGCATGCAAACTAACTCGCGCAGCTTGTTGTCGTAGCGCGAAAGACATGTCTCTACTTTAAGCTTCAGTGTTTGTGTCGCAACACCAATGACTCAGAAAAGCTATCGCCTTTACTGGTCCCACAAGGTATGCCTATAGCTGTCAAAATGCGTCGCGTAACCTCCGTGTGCTCCACCAACCTTCGCAATGACTTATTCACCACCGTCACACTTCAAGTGTTCCTCTTTCTCTTCCTTACAGCTCCAGGAGTTTTCTTGAGCTCCGTGGGCAATGGTCACCTCAAGGTTTTCAGGCTGTCACAGCTCCCTGACAACAGTTCTGCGCTGTATTTTCTTCTTGTCCTTATTTTTATTTCTTTCCAACGCCCAGGATTTGAACGGGACGACAATAAGTACCGCGACAAACCTTACGATTATACCTCGTCCAGATTTCGGCGAATGCAGCCCTATCTATGGAGACAGTCTCCAAGGCAGCGCCTGCCGCGAAGCCCTTGCGAAGATATTCCCTGTGACCGTCCCTCGACCTCTCCTAATCTCAAAAACAAAGCAAAGAACACTCCTCACGAATATCGTGGTTCCGTTCGAGTACAAAGACAATGATCGTTCGTTCTTCTCTTCCCGAACCAGTCTTCATTCCCTCAACTACGGGCCTATACTAATTCAAACATCCTAGAGCGACCCTCCTGCGTTGTAACCCTCGATCTCGCTGGCCCCCCTTTCACAAAAGACACTACAGTAAAGCTCCTCAGCACCACACTCCGAAACATGGTATCGAGCCTCACAGTCGGCTGCGTCGACAACAAGCACGGCGTTGGCGGCTTCGCAACCTCTGGCCTCCAACGAACCGGATACGGATTGTACACGAACTTCGAACGGGGCGGTTTCAGTACGCTTCCCCATTCCAAACCCCCTTCCCCCCCCCGGCCATCCAACACACACACACACCACTAACATCCCCCCCCTTTTGCCAGCCGCACCCCTCTTCCTCACCGTCTCCCTGAGCCCCCCAAACTTCCCCACCCACTCCCCCGGCGACACAGACCCCCGCGTCCCGCTCGCTCTAACGGGCCCTCTCGCCCAGTACCGCGACGAAGAAGTCCTCCTCCAAAGAAACAAAGACAAGATCACCGTCCTGATAGACGAAATGCTGTACCAATCCGACCAGATGGAGAGCGGCGGCAAGAAAGCCTGGTGGGACGCCCAGGACTTCAAGCAAATGCTGCCCACGGGCGTGAGCTATGAATGCAAGCAAGCTCTCGGCGTGCTGAGCGTGCGGGAGTGCAGGACTGCGAGCTGGGAGTTCATTAGGAAGGGCGCGCTGAAGGTGCAGGCGGGCGTTTTGGCGCCGACTTTTCAGAGCGGTATGTGCGCCCCCCCATCCCCCCCCATCCTTCCTTTCATTGCCCCTTCCTCGAGAATGGAAAATGATGTGCAATCGGACTGACAAGATGGAAAGGGAATTGTTTGTTCAGCGTCGAGGCAGCAAGGGGCGAGGTCGAGGTGCCCTGGGATGCCCTGCGCGCCGCCGCCGATATCCTCTCCTATACGTGTTTGGAAAAGGAGGGCAGTCCGGGGAGTGGCGGGTTGGTGGTCTTTACGGGTGCGCCAGGCCCGTCGACTGGGTTTATCTGGCCTGATGCTCTGTTGCTTACGATGAAGATGCCGGGGATTCAGGGGCAGGGGGCGATTGGGGGGAGTGGGGGTAATGGGGGGAATGGGACGGCGGTCACTGCGGGAGGCCAGGGTGGAACGAATTTGACGAGGCCCAGGGTGGTGGTGAATGATCCGGGTTTGACGTCTTGATGGGTTCTGTAGTATTCAGTAACGTAGGCAATGGACATGTGGGTTTGCAAGTGTAATATGGCCGCGGTGGTGATCCTGCTGACTCTTCCGTCGAAGTCCACGCTGAAGTTAGCTGGAAGCCACCGCTGGCTCCGGTTTTACAAGGTCTAGCTGGCGAATATGCCAATTTCGAGATAAATGCTTCGAAACAGGGTCTCAAAATATCCATTCCTGGACGCGCGTGTCAAAATTAAAAAAAGGCACGCTCTAGCTACAGGAATAGACCAGACATATTGTTTCACGCTGCGGTTCTTTATTGGCTGTGCTGATTGTACCAATGGTTGCAAATGAAAACTTCGAGATACTTCGTCGAGTTGATTAAGACTTCGATAGCAGGATGTTTTCTCGAGTGACGCCAGCTGAATAAAGTATGGGACATCTTTCTTTTCTACTCTTTTGCATCTTAACTTTTGCGTGCTTTGGGGAATCTTTACCAACAGATAACATTGCGTATGGCACTTCAATAAAAGGGTAGGTGAGTACACGTATACACGTAATTCGATCTCACTGACTTGCTCTAGATCTTACTTGAATCAAGGATTAACAGCAATATCAATTGACAATGAGTATGGAGTTTGCCCGACGCAATATTGAACCCAAAATACTAACTCCCGATCCTCCCCAGACCTCAATTACCACAAGAAGATCCACCAGCAGACTTCACAACCGATACCACCTTCATAAGCGGTGGACAAACACTAAACAGATACTCAGCATGGATAGCACTAATCCACTGCCTCGCCACCTCCGCCTTCCAAGACTGGAATGCCCGCCAGTATCGCCTCGATTGCACGAGCGCACCTCGAGTCAGCATTAAAGTCGTCGGTAACCCACGTCCCGGCGATCCGCCCCTGCTCGTTAAGCACATCATGTGGTCATTACTCGCCGTGGCTCGATTCTGGGAATCTCCCTCGGGGGGGCCAAGTTACGCCGACACCAATTTCGAACCAAAGGTAGCAGCACAGCGGCTGGGCCGAGGAAAAGTCTTCAGCACTGGGATCGGGACTAGTAGTAGTAGTGCGGGCGACGACAACAACGACGACGCATCCAGGATTGCTCTTCCCGCTGCGGTGTACAACCAATCCACTACTAGAACCTCAACATCACCATTGTTCTCTTCCTCTCTCTCATCGCTCGCAAATCTCACGCAGGACGAAGTCAAGTTGGAAATCCCCTTCGATCTGACTACCCCCGTTCTATGCACTCCCTCAGAATTCTACATCATACTCATGCAAGCGATCGTGAAGCTCGGCACTAAGGGGCCGCGCGAGCCATCGATAGGCGTGAGATACTATTACGCTCCTAAGGATATGACGTTTGAGATTGGCGCCACGTCGGCGGCGGCGGCGCAGGACTTGACGCAATATAAGATTGTGTTTGCGCTTGAGACGTTGGCGGAGTTCATGTATGCGCAATCGCCCGAGAAGAGATTTCATGGGTTTGTTGGGAGGTGGAAGTGGAATGATCGGATAGTGGGGAGGGTGAATATGTTTCGGGGAAGAGCTCCTGGAGGGGATGGGTGGGATGATGTGGACTAGTTCTACTTGAAATAATTCTCTTCTAGATCTGCCAACTGCTCGAGCTGCTTCAGATGCCAGCCCAGCTCCTTCTGCGTCTTCTCACTGGATGTTGCGTTGTCCAAAGCAATTATATTTGCCCAAAACCCCATTGCCTCCGTAGCGTCCTCCATCGACTTGCTCTCAACCGGCACTCCCAATTTCTTCCCCACCACAGTCCACACCTCCCTCATTGCCACGCCTTCCTCAGCGAGTGGGGTCTGAAAAGAAATCCAGAAATTGCTACCGGACGTAAAGCAATCGAGGGCGCTACAGAGCTCCTCGTTGGTTCTACCATGCATTCCGTAGGCACGGTTCTTACGATCCTAACCGGATAGACTGTACAAATATCGGTCGTCTAACTATTCGGTCGGAATACCCGACACAGTAGCAACAGGAACAACAGCACCGCTCGATTCCGTCCCTGCTACCAGACCCACCCCCCCACCATCACCTCCTCCCCCCCGTCCAACATCCAACTCCCCCTTCGCCACCACATCCGCAAACCCCTCAATATTCACCACAAACTCAAAATTCATCCTCACGACCCCCTGATCCACCATGCCCTTAACAACCTGCATCACACCCATCGCCTCATTAAACCAAATCGGCCTGACCCCCTCAGTCTTATCGGTCTGAACACACACTGGATATCCCCTTTGACCCAGATTTCGGGCGCCGTCATGTCCTGCGTGCCGGACTGGGCGAGGTGGGTGAGGTGCGCGATTAGCCCGCCGAGGAGCTGGCTCATGCGTGTGGGGTCCAGCGGTTCTGCGTCGGGGGGGATCGTGACGGCGACGTTGAGGGAGTTGCCGGGGACGGGGACGGGGGTGGAGATGTTGCTGTGGGGGTGGGGGGTGTTGGTGAGATGGTGTGGGGTGAGAGGGGAGAGGGGAAAGGGGGAAGGGGGGGTGTGCTTACCCTGCTGCAAGTCCTGGCGGAGGCGCGGTATCACGGGCGGTGATCATGTCGGACTTCGGAGCTGCAAGTTCCTGGCCTGGCTCCGTATCTCTCGATGTCATGACGTTCGCAACCTGCTTTCCGCTAGCCCCCTCGTTAACGGCGAGGTTGCCGGTCGCTACGGGTTCGCCAGCGGCGTTGTAAACATTGAAGTGGAATGTGATTTTGATGGGTGTATCTAGTACTATCCGCCTTAATTCGGCCATGATCTTCGAGGCGTCAGGGAATCCGAGTGGGCCTGGGTTGGGTCTAATCCGCAATTCAAAGTCACCTTCGATTATGCCCTCTGGGAGTTTCATCTCCGCTCGTCCCCACTCGTCAAGATCGGCGATGAAGTGGGCGATCAGCTCGGCGATTTTGGGAGTCGGCGCTTTGGAATGCTGCATCGCGAAGTCGACTTCGAGGTGGAGCGATGTCCCCGGTACTGGGAACGAAGGCAATTGAGCTGTCAAGTTGTTGGAAGCTGTCATGTCCCTTGTGGCGACGGTAGGTGCAATGGCCTGTGCTTGAATGCCAGAGTCGACAACCCCAATCGCCACGAGGATGCCGGAGTTCGTCTGGATGTCGAATTCAAAGGAGCTCGCTAGTCTTGTGCGAGTGACTTCCTCGCTCAATGCATCTATGGCTTTCGAGGCCTGGTCGTAAGTAATTAATATTCCCCTGTCGCGTCCGGTTGGATCGCTACTTCAAGACCAAGGCGAGTGCTCTTACATATCTGCGCCCTGGTCATGTGCGACTCACCATGGCGAGCGAGTTGTGAGGAAAAATGCTCGAGAAGTGTGACTATGTTTGCAGTACGCTGTGGCTTAGCCTCTGGTAGAGACAAAATTTCTATAATGAGCTGCGTGCCCGGGACTGGGACTGGTGACGTTAAGTTGATGGCTGCTTTAGTATCCCTCGACGCCAGGCTAGATGGCTGAAGAGCAGATTTCACACTTCCAGTTGCCATGGTAAAGCCGGACAAGTTACGGATGAAGAAATCAAAATTGCTCCCTAGTCCACTGCGAGTGATTTCATTCCTCAGCCTAAGCATGGCTCTTGAGGCCTCGAGAAAACTGATATGCCCGCTAGGAACCGGTCTAACGACCCCTATGAGGCCAAGGTTGAGCCATGTCGCTGGATAAACTATCTGTTGTTCGCCACGCCGAAGAAGTTCGAAGGCAAAGTGTTCGAGAAGCGTGGCTATGTCCGAAGCACTTTCTGGATACGTTCTTTGTGGGACTACGATTTCCAATGTGAGCTGCGTGCCCGGTATCGGAAACGGTTCTGTTAAGTTCCTACAAGCACAATTGTTAGCCGAGGTCGAGCTGCTTCTCCCATAAGTAGTCTACGTTTTGAAAGACCCATCTGGATCAATACTACTACCAGCATCGTTTCCGGTGGGAAAGGCACAGGCCAGATTATTGAAGGCAACAACGAATATCAAAACAACAGCAGGTAAAAACATGTTGTGTGCTAGGACTATTAAGCCGTTGGGAATGAATCGCAGCGAGCAAATGTTATGTATCCTTCCGGAGTATGAAGTGGTTCGCGCATGTCCCGGAGTAATTGAGTGCATGTCTCATTGTACTGCGCTGGCTGTCAGCTAAAGCGCGCAAAGCGGTCTGAATACCTTTGGACCAAGATTGAGCCTTCGATACACTGTGTTCACGAGCGTTGTCTCATGATGCAGCAAGAATCAGCAGCACTCGCAGCGAGGCTTTCGTCCAGGCGCGCTTTCGCTTCTATATTTGGTATTCTTGAGCCGCCCGGCGAAAGTCCTATGGCGAGAAGCACGAGACCTGTTTATCCGCAAAACAAAGACGAGAAATAGAACTCAGGAGGCTTCTTCTCGTCGGTTCAAAGATTCTGTGCGTGTTTGTAGGCCAATTTCCGTTCTTCTTGGCTAAGTCTCAAGATATGCATGGCCAACTGCCCTGGTTGATAATACAGAGTGTAGCATCCTCCTACGCACCTTATTAGCACTGAATTGACCCATTATCCATACGAATATGGTCGCTATGCTCTCAGGTAGACAGTACCGTCTTACTGCAGAGTATTCCCGCGCGAGTATCACGTTTTCTTGGTTTGAATTTGACAAAATCCTTCGCAAGGAAGGCTTACTCGACAGGAAGGCCCACGTCAAGATTCCTCCATAGATGAGCTACCAAAGTCTTCCTACATCTAAAAAATGATTTCTAGTCGATTGTTTGATTGTGTAGCCCAATCCCTGCTACATTCTGATGTTTACATGTCGATAAAAATTTCCCTCTGGAACCAATTGACGAGAGGGTGAACATCGTCACGCCATGAAGTAATACTGAGTGAGGGCATATATCAAGAGGGTTGCTGTGCTGTACCCACACCAAATATCCAGCTTTTCAAGGTCAGTATTGACACGTGACGGCCACGGGATTCTTTGGTACTCAACTGCTGGAGCTCTTCAAGAGAGGTTCCCATCTAACACAATCAGTAGTGGGAGTAAATGGACGGCAGGCATCCTGTTCTGCTCGAGTAAGTTGCGATTTGAGAAATAGGTCTTGCTGGATATGTCTTTAGTCGTGTAGTGAGAGTGCTACCCTAGCATACTGCGATCAGAAATAAGGTCCTTGCAATTGAGAGTACCACTAGTCGAAATCTCGCTGAATCTGGTCTTCAATACTTGAAACTCAATCCTTGCAAATTGGTTAGATGAGGAATTGGCAGACGCGTGACAAATTGGGATGGCGCTGCTGGCAATGGACCCAGCGTGTCATTCGCCCTAGAGGGTAGTAATACCGAAAATTGTGATTCCCTGGCTTCGTGAGGCATGATAGTCATCGCGACGAGTTGTTCTTGGATTTTGATAAGGCCGTTTGTTGACAATACTTAACTATGGCCCACCCACCTTTGGGCTAACTACCCATCTGCCACCATTGCTTCTGTGAGCTTCACGGCTCAAACAGCCGTTTCGCCTGGAGCACGCACAGATGCCTCAGCACTCGTAGCCTAGCCCACATCAACAACACCAGCGGTCGCATCCAGCTCTCCCGTCGCCAGCACAAGAGCAAACCCCTCAGTTCCGACGACGAACTCGAAGTTTGTAGTCAATTGCCCCTCGTCAACGAGCCTCTTCAACACAACGACGACACGTGCAGCTCCGCTATACCTGAACGAGTAAGGACCCGTGGTTCTCTCTGGACGGAAGACGACCTCCAGGTGGGACCAATTGCTTTTCCACACCTCAGGTACGGTCATCGAGTGATCTCCAGAACGCTCAAGATGAGTGATGAAACTGCTCAGTAGACGAGACATGGCATACCGGTCTAGGGTTTCATGATATATGCCACGTCTGACTTCGACAAAAAAGTCGGTTCCCGGGACTGGAACTGGAGCGCCGAGATCGCTAGTTTGACGGCTATGAATGGGACTTATCAACTCGGTGGACACTCGCCGCGCTGACAATGATGCATCTGGCCTAGCTTCGCGGCTGCGAATGGCAGCTGTTGGCTTGTCGAGTGCGCTGCGATGGTGTAATGTTGTAGGAAAGGTCGAGCCCGGAATCGCGAAGAGTGCGAAAGCTATCGAAGCAATGAATGGCGAGAACATTGTGTTTTGTATCTGATGATAAGAGTCGACATAAAACCAGGATTATCACTGATTTTGTGAGTTCTCGCGCATGGGCTGCGCCTATCGTATTTGTCTCAACGCAGGTCGGACTTTCTGTCAATTTGGACAATACCTTGCATACAGGCGCATTGCTGCGCTTCGATTGTTCGCTTGATGTGAAGCCATGTCACGAAGGTCTTCAGGCGAAGCCTTTCCACTGAGACTAAGGTTAGACTTGAATGACATACTGCAGCTGCATTTCAGCTTCCGATGACATCCGAACGCGCAAACGATTCTTTCGCACAATTTTCTTCTCGAGTTTATCGTGACAGACTTTAGGGAAATGATCGACTTGACCGATAGTGGAATTCGACGCAAAGAAGCCTTGTAATGCTCTTCATGGTCTGACAGTCGTCAAAAATCGAGAGATTGCTCGCCACTAGATCATCTTCACGTGTTGCCCCCCGACACTTTTGTCATGTTTTCTCCAACTTGACTCGTAAAGCATTGTGCATTCGAACAATGAATAAGCACCGTTGCTTTGTTCATTACAGCGGAAAAGCATTTTCAGATAGGAGGCCTACTTGTAACGCGCGTGGGAAGCTGAACCGATATGCTTGCCAGGATGTTGCTTTTTGACAGGCAGACATGGAGTCTTTGAAGCATCCACAAATCCTCAGCGCGGACTTCGCATGGTCGCCTTCGCATTTGATGATTCATTTCCTGGTGGTATCATATCAAAAAGAAGTGTCATCGAATCCATTGGACGAGATGATGTGTTGTGACTTGGATTGCGGGGTAGCCAACACTATGAGCCCACGTGAAGATATACAATGTGGCCTCGCTTTGTTATCTCTCCTCAATTACGAACACTTGTGCAAGTCGCCGTTATAAATACTTACAAAACGAGTCTTAGGCGTAGAGGTCCACCCTACTGATCGAAGTCTTTCGCAAGAAGAGAGAAATATTCAAGTCACAGAGCATGCCGCCTCGGAGGGGCCGTAGGGGCCGAGCACGCGCTGTACAACCTCCCGACAATCCCTACAACCTTGATCTTTGCTACTGTAAGCAGTATCGCTATGATACGGTTGTGAGTTGCGACAACCAGGAATGCGCCATCAGGTGGTATCACCTTTCCTGCGTCGGAGTCACCACAGCACCTCGAGGTAAATGGATCTGCCCAAATTGTAGGCTTGCCGATAGGAGAGCCCAGCAAACAGAAACACAGGGTAGTAATCTGGCTCCTAGTTCCTTCCCTACCAACGACGTTGCCCCGCACAGTGACCCGAACAACAAGAATTCGCGGGAAGGAAATGTTGCAACTGGCAACCATGTTTACTCCAATCGACTGAGTCCAGGCTTCAATCCAGATGAGGCCGAGATAGACACCAATATCACTATGACCGCTCCCAATATCGATGCATCCATAGATTTAGAAAATTATACTTACGAACAATTTTTTGCAGATAATGACGACGGTCATTGGTCAGACTGGAAAGAAGACGCGGAAATGGATGAAACGGAATCGCACGCTCCAAACACTGCGCCAAGCAACTCTCAGCCGAAACATGGAAATGAAGGTGGTGATAAGTATCCGAAGCGTGAAAAGGCGAGGCATGCTGACGACGGAGAAGGAGAGACAACCATCCCAGAGAGAGCCTTAGAGAGGCGCAAACAACGATCAACAGAAGACTGCGGCAATACAGATACAGCAATGAAAGACGGCTACGATGCTGATGGAGAAGATGAAGAGGGCCCTCGTTCAAGCGGACCTGTACCAAGCGATAAGCACGACCCCTCATCCGGAAAAGACACCGATTCGACAGAATCAGAGGATTGGGAAGAAATGTTCGGCAGGAGAAACGAGGACGGCAGTCTGAAGAAAAGTGAAGATGGCAACACGGAACTCGACCATGACCGCCTCCCCGACCCTACCATAAAAATCCCATACCGTCCAGTCCCATACCAAGCCTTCCAAGGCCGCCCTATACCAGGTACTACGCGTCGAGGCCCAAAGTACTGGCTGATCCCCAAAGAAAAAGAAGGGGTAGTAGAACCAGAAGAGGAGGTAGCAGAAGCAGCAGTCGAAGGAGCAGTATTCCCCGACCCAGCAGACGCAGAAATAGAAGAATGCCACAACACCGACTCCTCCTCCCAGTCCGTCAAGTTCCGCGGCAACCCCACCCGCTTCACCATCCACCCCAAACTCATCGGGAACCCGACCGCATTGCGAGCGAATGAGGAAAGACGACGCCTTGCGCGCTATGCAAGACGGGCGAGGGAACGCGCTAGACGGGCTGATGAGGCGCCTGAGTCGGCGGAGCGGTCGACGATTGAGAGGTTTGAGGGACGGGAGTGGCCGCCTGGGGAGGAGGAGGGGGAGGGGAAGGGGGAGGAGGTGTCTAGGAAGAGGAAAAGGAATGGGGGTGGTTGAGTTGGGTCGGGTTGGGTTTTACTACCTTGATCGTCTGTCGTTGGGAGGCGGCGGCGATCGGGAGATGATTGCGAGGATGGACGGAGAGGGGATATGGGAGCATTGTAGGGACCTGGCTGGGGAGTGGCGAGGTATTCGATTGGATCTGGGTATATTAGCAAGTATGAATAATAGCAAGTATGGACTTGTCATAATTCATAATTGGAAAAGCAATAAACGGAAACTCCCCCGCCCCCCTCCCGGAGAAAGCGCCCTTAAGTCCGTAATGAGGCCAAGCCCCCGCCCCTCTAGAGACCCACTACTGAAGGACCTCCGCTCACCGCCCACGATATCTCTCTTACAGACCTTCCTCCTTCTGCTAGTACCACGCCAACGATCCTTCGCCTCTCCCCGAGGTTCTTTCCGCACGCATTTGCTTGGTTGACGTGTGTGACCGCACGACATTGTGCAGGATGCATTAGGCCCGTCATAGCCTAGCCGGGACCATGTGGCTTGCGAAGCGCGTTGGGGAGATTTCCGCTTGAAATTCTATACCGAGAGAGAGATTGTGGGGATATATAGGGATACGTCTGCGCTGTTGCTTCCTGCATGTTATGTTATTTTGCGAAATCGTGCATCTTTCGTGCAGTGGGTAATTGACGACTGCTTGCTTGACTTGGGGTGGCTGGTAGACTAATTACGAATACGCTTGTTCTGTTCCACGTCCATCACCATGATGGAAAAAGGCGATGTTCTTGCGCCGACTGTTGGCGATGAGAAGAGCTATGATATAGCAGAGGAGAGAGGCGCGGTTGCTGTTTCGGTGAAATACATGGGCACTGATGCAGATCGCCACGATATGGAGATTTTGGGCAGGAAGCAAGTCTTGCGCGCGAGTCTCCCACATCTTTTGGTCGTAAATTAAACGGCTATTGTGGTGTACTGACATGCCTATCATAGCGTAATTTCCAGTTCATACCGATGGTGGGATTCGCAGCGGTGCTCATTGCGACTTGGGAGTTGCTGTTTGTGTGCGTCATCTCTGTGAGCGACAATTCCGAATGTCGCCCGTCACTGACCTATGCGGTAAAGAAACCTGCTCTTCAACTTGACTGACGGTGGTACTGGCGGTATCTTCTGGGGCTACACCATCGTGGTTATCGCTAGCATCTTCATCTATCTCAGTATTGGGGAGATGGCGTCAATGTTCGACTCTGCTCCCAACCGTGACGGATGAACACTAATTCGCACAGGTCCCCGACTGCGGGTGGACAGTATCATTGGGTGTCTGAGTACGCACCGCCCTGGTGTCAGAAATATCTCAGCTACATTACAGGTAGATTACCAAGCTCCGTGGGCCATTGAAGACGAAGCTCATATCACACCAGGCTGGGTCATCGCTGTAGGATGGCAAGGCTCTGTGATCGGCTTGTCATTCTCGGCGGGCACGATCATACAAGCCCTGATCGAGTTGAATAACAGTAACTACGTTCCTCAGCAATGGCACGGCACATTGCTCGTCATAGCAGCAGTCTCGTTTGCCATCGTCTTCAATATCGCCACAGCAAAGCATCTACCCATCATACAAGTCGTACTGCTGATGCTGCATGTGGCTGGTGTGTTTGCTCTATGCATCCCATTGCTCGTTATGGCTCCATCTATGAACAACGGGAAGGAAGCGCTCGTTGACTTGTACAATGGTGGCGGCTGGAAAAGTGATGGATCAGCTGTGATGATAGGTCTACTAACACCTCTAGGCTCTATGCTTGGATTTGATTGCGCCGTACACATGTGTAAGGATTTGTTATGTCTGCAAAACTTGCTTCCCACTAACGACCACCGTAGCGGAAGAAATCAAAGATGCCTCGTCCAACCTCCCAAAAGCGATCCTCTGGTCCGTGATTCTCAACATCCTACTCGGCTACCTCACCGTCTTCACGCTCTGCTTCACCATTCGCGACCCCGCCGCTCTCCTCGAGAATGGTGGCACCTTCCCGTTCGTCTCCCACCTCTTTACCATCACCAAGAGCAAGACCGGCACGAACGTCATGGTTGCCATCATCATCATCACCCTTGTTTGTGCCGTCATCGCCGAGATAGCGACGGCATCTCGCCAGATCTGGGCATTCTCGCGCGATAATGGTTTCCCATTCTCGGCCTTCCTGTCCAAGGTAGGCTCTCACATTCCTAACACCTCAATCACCGCTCGTATCATTGATCATAGGCCTTCTTTGAGGAACGGCGGTTTCCTGTTGTTCGGCGGCAAAGCTGACCCCGTAACCAGGTCAACCCCTCCCACCCGATCCCCCTCAATGCCATCATCGTCTCCTTCATCTTCGGCATCGTAATCTCGCTCATAAACCTCGGTTCGTCCGTCGCGCTCAACGCTATCGTCTCCCTTACCATCTCCGCCCTGCTCGGCTCCTACATTCTCAGCATCGGGTGCATCTTCTGGAAACGACTACGCGGGGAACCATTGCCTCAGTCGCGCTGGTCGCTGGGGCGATATGGCACAGCAATCAACGGAATCGCGATGGTCTTCCTCGTGGTATTTTTCCTATTTTGCTTTTTCCCAACCGCGACGCCCGTGGCGCCGGAAACGATGAATTGGGATGCCTTGATGTTTGGGGCGATCATGATTTTTGCGACCGTGTGGTATTTTGTTAGGGGGAAGAATGTGTACAGAGCGCCTGTGAGGATTGTGAAGAGGGATTTGTAGATAGCGAGAAAGGAGAGCTGCTATCTGGCAATTAGGGTTCAGATTGGCATACATCAAATTCTATATTTGTTGACGAGACATGTTTATTATGCATCACTACTTGACTGCCTGCGGTCTTCTAATTCCTTGCTGATCTCTTCCATCATGAAGAAAACTCAAAGTCCGTAAGTTGGCTGCCGTTAAATCGTCTGCTCAGATTGCATCCATCTATCACCTTGTGCTATTCTCTCCCTTCTCTATTTCCCCTTCATCGTGATTAACGTCACCTATAGCGTCCACACCCCTTCTTCTCGTACCCTGTCCACTCTCACCCCACCCCTTCCTCTCAGGCCCCTATGCTCCCCCCACCTCACCCCCTAACCTCCAAGATAGGGCAATGTAACACTCTAGCGCCTTACGGTTTGGAAGGTTCAGCAGACAACGGCACTTCTGGATCTCGATCTGAGTCAACAGTAGAAAAAGGGCATGTCAATAAGGCGGGCACACAAAATTCGCGTCGTTCACAAAACAGATAGAGATTTCACGACTTGATAGACTTTGTGCCGCGTACAAAGTTTAATGCATTAAAGATCCCTCCACAATTTGGATCGGCTTAAGTTTGCGGAAGGTAGGAAGTGCGCTGAAGAGCACATGATGTAAGATATGTGAAGTCTCGTCTCAAGAAATGGGACGATGATGGGCTGGAATGCGGCCTGAGTTCTTAAGATTGTAGAGATTGGGGGCACCAGACAGGAAGAAAAAGGTGTGACGACTGCGCCTCCTCGGGCGTGAAGATGGTATTAATGCAGGTTTCACTTTGCATGAGGTCTGAAGGGGGAGATGTGGATTTTTGTCTGGTTATGTAGAGCTGGTAATATAGCCTAGATGCTCTTTGGATGTATGACATGATTTTCTTCAGTCTAAGTTACTTGAGGACTCGTTCAGGCCGAAAATTGTTGTTGTGACTTCCACAACAGTAATGGTATGAAAAACGTAATCTCGTCGAAGCTATCAAGAAACAGCATTTCGCTCATAATTCTAGGGAAGTAAAGAACACACTGGAGTCGCGATCACGCGACATTGAAAACTTACTCCAATGCACCTTTACTAGATTGAAATTCTTTCGAGACATATAGTCTAACGTGCCCATCAACTGTACCTATCTGCCATAAGTAAGAAATACCAATATTGAAACAACGATTGTAATCTCCCAACGTCCGCCCAGCTCATCCCCACCATTCCTTCTAGCCTGCAAACTCACGAAGCCTGACAACTCCCCACCATATCTATATCTACCCCCCCCCCCCCCCCCTCCCCTCCTCTCCTCCATCCTAAACTCAATAGGTAAACCCAATCACATGCCCCTTCTCATCATACAACGGCGGATCCTCAGGCTTAGGCTGCCCCCCGCCCTCCAACTCCTCCGGAATCGGACCAGTGGGATGATCGCCCGCCTCAGTCGGTGGAGGAGGAGCAGCGCGCTTGGCAGACAAAGCCCCCTCCGCCTCCGCCTCCCCCTCCTCCTCCCCCTCCGCCTTAGTACCAGGCACCGACCTCTTCTTATGCGGCGGTGGGCCAGTGGGATAGTCGCCCGCCAGCTCCACAGGCGGGGGCCCGGTGGGGTAGTCGCCTGGTAAGCCTGCGAGCGGGTTCTTTGGCGCAGGTGCGGGTGGAGGGGCAGGATTTGCGACGGGTGGAAGGGGGGAGGGCCGGTGGGATAGTCGCCTGGTAGAACGGGAGGCGGAGGTGGACCAGTGGGATAGTCGCCTGGTAGAACGGGAGGGGGGTTGGGTAGGGCGAGAGGGTGGCCGATGCGTGTTAGGAGGAGGAGGGTGGAAAGGATGAGGAGGGGGCGGTTGTGAGGCATGGCTCTCTTCACGAAGTGGCAGGTTTTGGTGGATCTTGGGGATTTTTTGAGACTTGCGGTGGGTTGGGTTGATAGAAAGCTGGGATTACTGGAGAAGAATGGGTTGTTAGAGGATAGGAGGACGAAGGGGAGTGCTTATATATGTAATTCCCGTGCGCTGAGTAGAAGTATCTTGACTCATGTATGCCTACTAAGCAGATAAAAGGCGTTGTGCCGACACGTAGTAAGGGTTCTGCTACCTTTCGGCACGAACTGTAAAGTGCGGAAGTTGATGCATCACCAGAAAGTGAGGCACATACAGTTTGAGCCTAGGCTGAATGAAATTAGAGATGCTGCAGTGCGGTTATGAGACTTCTACGATCGGACACACTGCATACGTCACCATCTGGAAGCATATAAGCTATCCCTTTGTCCTAGAACCAGATCCATGTATCGTCGTATGTCTCATGGCTGCAAAGACGGCCGGTTTCGAGTTCCACATTCTGATGGAGCTCCTTCTTTCCTTTTACCAATTCGCAAAGTGGAGCTGGCTGTCTCAATTAGTGAGAGGATGAAACGCACCGATGATTTGACGTTTGCCTAGAGTATAGGCGTGGTTCGCGAGAATAAAGCTATAAAATAGTAAGATACAAAGGTTGGCAGCTAAGTATTGGATAGGCTTCCTATGCCGACGGTGTGCTACCACGTACGATCAAATACTGAAAGAAATTTGAAGTAGCTCTTGAGGGCGAGACTAAGCCTTGCTTAGGAACCCTGAGGATGCTCAGCAGACAATGGATGTATCATCAAGATCACCGACGGCTGTGCTCACCCTTAGAATTAGGAGCGCGGGATAGTGATAATAGGGAATCTTTCTTGAGTGCCGCACCTATGCATCGAAACCTTGGATTTCGACAGCTAGTCGGAACTTATGAACGCACGAAAGAATGAAAGATTCAGCGGGACAAGTGGCGGTATAATACAGTTCAGATTGCTTGGTGGAGCTCTGAATAGTTGTGGAGCGAATTGCGCCAGAATCTTCAGAAACGGCTGGTTGTCAATACTGAGCTGCTTAACGAAATTGATAGGCGTGATACGTTATCGGAGACTGACATCTATGGATTACGCCATTGGCATACCATTGAATTTCATCATGTGATGTTCGAAACTGGAAGCTGGTTTGGTAAGCTGTGAGATAACGTCAAGATATGAGGTTATTTCCATAGGTTGAAAACATGCCTCTGAGCGATGGCGGGAACTGAAAACACACTTGGGCTGGCGTGATGGTCAAAGGTATTTTACGGGCTCGCTGTGTTCCCAAGATTGTAATCCATTGCGTTGCGTCTTCTGATTGGAAAATGAACTGAACTCTGGTAGTGCTGCGGACGTCTCAAATATGTATGAAATGAATCTGAGCCGCTACGACACGGGTCACACAGCCTCGAACGTTAATCGCTGCACGTACCATCTGCACGGAACACTAGGTGTCCTAAGAGCCGAGATTGTAAACTTACATGATCAATAGGGCAATATGCGAGAGTGTGGAAGCCGTCGGATCTTTCATCTGCTCAGATAGTTAATTCTTTCTGTGCATTTGATTAGGGATTAGGCCCACCATAGGGTTCGCTGATGGTTTCATCATTGCTGGCACAGCCCTAGAAGGTCCATCCATCAATTATGTGTATCTGTCTCAGGAGCTGAGGGTGCGGTTGATTGATTGTAAGCTATTTGAGACAAAGGATTATCATATTATCATCGGAGGGATTGAGCTCTATTCCGAAATCCATTTGATTTGAGTTCAGAGCGACTAAGAAGAACACAAGCCTTCCGGAATCAAAGTCCATTCTTTAGCAGCGCATATTCTCTGTGGCACATACGTCTCGCTTTACATTGAAAGTATGAAGAATGCGAAATGAATTATGTAAAAGTTAAGAAGTGGTAAACATATTACTACAACCATGGCTAGAAAGCAAAATAAATAATGTTTTAGAATAGAAAGTGACTCGCGATGCTTCACTTTGTTGGTCGCGACTTCGGGCTTTGTGCTTCCTTGAACGATCGCTCAGTCATAATCAAGGAAAAGGTCGTACGAGAAGGTTGAAGGCTAGATACGAAGTCGATCAGCTGGACAGACATAGAAGCAAGGAGCATCTTGCTGAGAACAAAGGGCACCGAAACAGGCGACATTCACCGAAGTGGCTATGACGCAGGGTGTAAGATGATGTGAAAGGAAAAAGCCGAAATCGGATCAGATTCTTGCCAAGCCTCGTGTTGGGGTGACATGTGCGGGGCAACGCCACACCCGTGATCCGTAAGATTAGGTGCGGGGGGATATCTCCGGGGTTTAAAGTCCGGGGCGGTTACGGCTATTCCTTGGCATTGAATTTCTTACTTCCTTGGCTACACCCTCAGCCTCAACATCGGGTCTGACACGAGAATGGAGACCATCGGTCTTGCGTAAGAGATGCCAGCTGAAAGCAGCTGATGGACCCCAATGAGAATGGTGGTGCTGGAACGGCCACATTCCTGGCATTTGATCTCGTGTCTCGGCCGTACGCAACGTCATGGGCTTTGTGCTGACGGGTTTGTGGCTCCTTGCTGCTGTACCTTGTTGGCCTTGAAGCAGATACTTAAAGGACCTAGTCCTCACCTAGCAATTTTCTCATAGCAACACCGCTTCCTACACATTCACGAACTTCCTTAAAGGCCTGCCTTTCTAAGCTAAATTGCCCTCGATCACAAGTATCTGGTCTCTAAATCGACCCACCACCATGCAGCTCAAGTCTCTGCTCGCTCTCTCCGCCCTCGCGGCACCCATCTTCGGCTCGCCTTTGTCCCTCACCAAAAGAGATAGCTGGACCATAGCCTCTTTCACGCGCACCTGTGACTCCGCAGACACCACATGCGCATTCTCATTCAGCATCAACAAGAACGACGGCTCCGCTCCCACTACCTGCCAGTACAGCGCCTCCGGCGCACCAGCCTCGCATGCTACCTACAGCAACGTAGCATGCGGCTCCTTCGTCATCGGATCGTCGTGGAGTAATCAGTTCGGATTTGGCTTCTCGACCTTGAGTGTGGTGGAAAATGGATTGATTGTATATCCGAGCTATTCAGACGCTCAGTTGATCAATGGAGTGGCGGTGCAACCTGATATGAATTATACGCCTGGGCCGGTGCCGTGAGCTGGTGAGTGGAGCTGGTCAAAACAGATGATGTTTAAGGCCGGACACAATTTGGTAACGTGATACGAGTAATGTAACCGCTCTCTAAAAAGTTTCATTGGCGGGAAGATTTTGTGGTGTGACATGTCGCTCTTTCGAGTACTGAGGTTTGAGATTTGTTTTAGCTGTGTATCGTTTCCTCTTCATGTATTGCTACCATTGGCACAATCTTTACACGCATACTTACCAAAACACCACAAAGATTAAAGCAAGTAGAATGACCAAGGAGTATCTTTGCCTCATGCACCTTTTGAAGGCGTCCTGTATGCTATGAGGGTTGTGATGATTTGAACCCAACCTTGAGGAGGATGGAAACAAGTTATTACAGTCAGTACAGGAGACTTCCAACTCAGTTTCGAGACCCAGACGAATCTATGAAGACTATCTATTCTTCTCAATTTGTATCTCAACTTCCATTCTCTGACGACCTATATCCAGAGGGTCGCATTAGTCGTGAGGTGCTTAGTCTAGCTCTTGCGCAAGGTTGGACGACTAGCGCCTATGCGCCATCTTCTGCTCGCGAGTCAAACGCGAATAAAGCCCGGGATTGGGCTATCCCTCCCTTTTGTGCTATGATTAGAGCTTCTTGCAAATATGTGGGATATTAATAACATCCCAGGACCATCAGGTTTCTAGATCAGTCGCGCTGCAGAGATTCCGTTGCTCGCAAAAAGTGACTTCAAGCGCTTCGCTCATTTGAGACACAGCTGCTACATCTCTATTTTGAAGCACTTTCCTACACGCGCGATGCAGTGTTGAGAGAACCAAGTACCTGGAAGAGTTCTAGACTTATAGCGAAGTGGTCGTCGATGTTTATGATCTGCTATATGAAAAGAAAGGTCCCGTAGTCAATCTACCACTCAAAGAAGCAAAATCCTATCCATCGAGTGTCGGGAAAAGGTTGACAGGATGTTCAAGCTCGTCCAAAGTCTACATTTCTTATTAATTACACCTCTCCTTTTTTTCGCGGTCTATGCAATCCCTCCTATCGAGACCGCGGGATCGGGCGTCTCCGATCCAAGACAGATCATCCCAAGAGCTTTCAAGATAGCCTTCGAGCCTCGCGAGGGCCAACGACTTGATGTTCTCAACACATACGTGAGTACCTTATACGGTATCACTGGGTATGCCGAGAAACCATATGATGCCCAACTATCAGATTGCTGGCTGGGATGTGGCACTTATATAGATGTCACGCCAATAGCAGGGAAAGAAGGCGCTTTGACGACGAAGGTTGCGCTTTGGGGTATTTATGCTTGTGCGAAAAGTATCCGCGATGCTGCTGGTCCGCAGGGAGAGACCATGCCACGTGGGTCGTGCCTCCTCCAGCTACCAGCTCGAAATGACATTGGGAACATTACCTACGCGGCAGATGAACATTTCACCACTGGGAGTGAAAACGTCGTTAGCACTGTCGCTCAAAGGTCCACCAAGGCGGATCTGCGTAGTGCCCCAGGGAACATCGCGCGCGATAGTGGTTCTGACGAGACCCACCTGACTCCTAATCCAATAGTCGGCTACGCATGTCATAGTGCGAACGAATGCCGTTTAGAGTTCCTCAACCGCAAATTGGTGAAGACTACACTCAACAACGTCGGCGACGACCTGGACAAGTTGAAGGTGATCTTCACGCTGTATGAAGCATCGCTCGTGCTGGCCGCGCAGAATCCTCGACCCGCGGACCCGCTTTCCCAATATTGGAGCTTTACATACACCAGCATCGACGAAGGGTTGACCGTAAAGTTCACTGCTCTCAGAGATGGCATCAAATGGAGCCGGGCGGTCCAAGGGTTCTATGAGATGGTGCAGTCGTATAAGGCGCAGTTCGGTGACCAAGGAAATTGGAAGGAAGCAGACTTTGTTATCAATGTCAGTGACTCACCGATGATTGGCGGCAAGTTGAGAAAGGCAAAGTGATGGAATGTCGTACAAGCATTCTGGCATGGTGCTGTGATTTGTAAGCACGCCGGCGAGGAGTGTTGGCGCTCTGATGAACAGGTCACGGCTGATCAGTACCCTGTGAATTTTATTCCCATAATACAAGGTCACAACTTCCATTGCAGCTCTGAGAACGCATTCAGAGAGCGTAAACCGGAGAGCTGTTGGATGTCAATTTTTACCGTGGGAATAGCCCACAAAAGTAACTACACTTAAAGTGCACCTGGGCAGTAACTGAGGAGCTAATTTTAGATTACTTAGTTGTCAGCGAGCGCAGCTCTCATGACGTTTGTTGTGAATTTCATTGTCTTCATGCAAGCCTTGTAGTTCTGGAAAATGAATCTTTGTCTGGCCATCTGAAGATGAATAGCTGTAAACCATCAATTGTTCACTCTAAAGCTAGTTTTGAGCTCTGAGATAGTAATAAGAAGACATGATGTCGTTCTCTCTTTTCCCTCGCAGCTGATTTTAGGAAGATCGAATTCGGAGGACGAGTTGAGCTGGACATTTCCATGCTGCTGACCATGAGCTCCCACATTCTCCTCCTCATCACAATCCATCTTTTGTGTGTGCTGGCCACACCCGTTCTTCACGAAAGCCCGAGTTTGCTGAGCGAGAGGGGCCAGCAGACTAGCAGCAGAATAGCCGTCACAAGAGGAAAAAGTGATTGGTTCGTGGAAGCACTGATTGGAGGACAAGGGTGCACGCTCCTCATGGATACGGGATCCTCAGACTTGTAGGTTTCACTCTTGTGGAAGAGGCAGCTGATACTAACGAATTTAAGGTGGATTGCAAGTACAGGTATGCCGCCTAAAGTACTTCACACTGTTCAGAACCAACGGCTTTACGACCCCAAGAAGAGCAAAACAGGAAAGAACAAAGATGGTTCAGCTTTCGATATTGGCTACGGAAGTGGTCTACACGCTAATGGCACTGTCACGATAGACGAAGTCACCATTGGAGGCGTCACTGTGCCCCAGATGCCGTTCGGCGTTGCTCACTTGATGGAATGGGGAAACCACAAATCAGAAAAACGATTTGATGGTATGCTTGGGCTTGCATTTCAGACATCGAATTCGATCAAACCCGATGCCCAATGCACTTTCTCGCAATGTTTGCCAGATGTGATCTTCACAACAAACTTGAAATATACAAGTGATAGCTCTAGCTGGATAACTCTCGGATCCATGGATGAAGCTGCTCATGGTCTGGATACAGCAACGACAATTCCGATTGTGCTGAACAAGGACACAGGCAAAGCGACTGCATGGTTTGCAGACCACGTACAATTCGGCTCCGGAGGCAAAGTGTTCAGCACCAAACCCTCACGGGTACTCTTCGATACAGGCGGGGCATCTATGATTGTTCCTCCAGGCGTCGGTAGTAAGTACTTTGAGCAAGTCACTGGATCATCAAAAGAAGATGGAAGTTGGAGGTTTCCATGCAACACGAAGCTTCCTGACTTTGAATTTACCTTCGGAGATGCTGTCAGAGGGTCGAAAGTCGTCAGTATCCCAGGCAGCAGTCTTTCTTCTTCGAATCCACCCGATACTATGTGCAAGTCGCGACTAGGTGAGGACCCTAAAGCCGAACAGTTTAATGTGGGAGTACCGCTCTTGGCTTCGAAGCATATTGTATGGAATCAGACTGCACCAAGTATAACAGTCACAGATCCGATATCGTAAGCCGGCGTTCTGAGCAGTCACAGCGCCTGTAATATAGCCTAAAGTTGACATCTCGAAAATATTCTGAGGCAGTGTTAGCTTTGAAAATTATGATGGCGAAAGACATGAAATCTTCTCAATCTGTGCACATTGTTGAATATCTGCCGTGCTTAACTGACATGTTCCACGACGGTGGCCACATGACGGCAATTTATATGCGCAGGAGTCACTCTATCTCAAAATCGGGCGGATTCAGCAAGAATTTGACCCATCATTCAGATTCGAATCCCTGTTGACCCAGAGCTGCACACGTCTCTTTTTCTTGCTTCTTGCGTCTCTGTGAGCCTTCACAGCTGATACAGGAGGCTTTCCATAGGTGCAGACGTTCGCAACGCTCTCTCTTCGCTGGTATGTCATATAGTTCGAATCCCCTTAGTAGAGAGCAGAGGCTTCGAAATAAAAAAAAAGGACGTTGTGATCAGCACCTATGACAACATCGCAGCTTACCAGAAGTCTTTAGCTATTGTTCATGGTTTGATCGATTTTCGATAAGTTGCGAAGCACATTAATACCACAGACAGAGAGTGCAAATTTGATTGATTTTTGGCAATGGTAGTTTTTGATCCTTTTCTGCTATTGTACTATCACACATGCCCCCGTAACTCAGATTGATTTTAAAGATTGATTCTTCAGTTGCTTGTTTACATTTTACGTCTTCGCTATTTCATGTTGAGTGCCCAGACATGATCTATGCTTTATCACGAACTTCAGCCTTGTGATGCGTTGTCGTAATCGACATCTTGGACCGTTGTATTGTCATCTGTGTCATCACACATGAAGATGTAGTCATTCTCTTGGTCTACACGGTATTGGGGCTCGTCTAGGGTTAGTTGAATCGTGGGGCGGTCGTCGGCGACTTGCGTGAATTTTCAAAGATTCGGTGTTTGATAGTCTCGTCAGTGATGTTCCTCACTTTGGTTGCAAGTGTAGGGAGTCTTCCACGTCCTGCTGCGATTTCTTTGACGTCGAGGTTGCTCAAGACATCACGTCGAGGTTTTTGTTGGAGATGTTCACGGAACGACATTTATTTTCGATGGGAAGATGTCACTCTTGAATCTATGTTCAGGGCTGTTGCTTATAGATCAGTCTTCGTGAAGAGATTCTTGATTTGTGTTGTTGAGTTGCTGGTAGAAAAAGAGAAACATGGTATAGTATTGAGGGTCAGCTTTATAGACTTTCGAGGACGACCTATGCACATGCTCGCATGAACATTAAGGTCCCGAAGACTTATTTACCAAGCAGAGACATCTATGATAACTCATTTGAAACAGGTCACACAATACAACGGGTTTGACCATTCGATCGAAAAAGGTAGTACAGGTCCAGTAACTCAATCAGCGAAGGTAGCACAGCACAACGAATCGAAGCGGTCTCATATCGCTGCAATGAATCCACGGGATCGATGTCTTACTATCGTAAGTGAGAGTGGGTAACCTACTCGAGCTTCAGCGCTCTTTTCTTCAGGACGAGTGACTAATAAGTCACCTGTGGAACTTGAAGCACAAGAGTGTGTGTGGACGTACGGCATGCTGTATCAGGCTTTGCATTTCCAACAGACCACATGACTTCTCTACGATCCTCCTAATCCTGCATTCATAAAACGCAGAGTGACTTTCAATGTACGAAAGAGCGGTCTTCTGTCATTGCTTCACTGACCAGGTGCTACAGATCTTGAAACGCACGAGTTTCGAAACCAACGCAGAACTTGCAATCCTCGAAACTCACGACCGTGGATGTCGTCGTGGCATTGAATAAGCTTGGAATTCGCCGCTCACAGCAATGCGACGTAGCTTTTGATTGACATTCTGCGATATACCATGCAATGTAGGACCTTGGCATGAGACGCTTCGCCAACAGCGTCTTAAGACTTAGTGATCCACTTACCGACTGATGCCAAAAATCCGAGGCTAGCAGATCTCCAGTACCATAGGTACGGAGGCTGTGCTATGAATTCAACTGTGCGGTGGCAGATCTCCGCAGATCTTTTTACTGCTTTAACATACATGGGGAACAAGGTCGTACAAACTATCCCAAAAGGTGAGTTTCACATGCAGCCTATAAACTCGTGCATATGCACTTGGATGCTCAAATCGCTTTAATAATTGATATAGCCAGCTTTCCACGGAGTGAATCATTCTTGTTGCATTACACCTAGGGCATGATATCCCATCTATTTCTCAATAATATAGGCATTGAAGCCACTACATAAATGTAAGTGAGAAAAGCAAGAAACGTAGGCATCTAGATGATTCTCAATCTTTACATAATATAAGCAAAGAACTCTCATATAGTTTCGTTTCGTCCCCTCAGCTGTCATAGCAAGATCCGAGCAGGCAAGTGCAATTGTTCCTCCTTTAAGGAACTCGCAGTTCGAGAAAAGTCTAACAGGAAGGAAGGGCCACTCACTCGCAGGGGCCGCGTTGTCAGCTTCGCGCACTCGAGGGAAGCCGGTCCAAAGACCATCCCACGAGTGACACAATCACTTAGCTTACTCGACCGGTAGAGTCTGGCCTCATGACGTCAACCAAACGAGCCATCTCCATCGCCATTCGAGGCGTTTAGTTTGAGGTATAACCCAGGAACTTCAAAGAGCAAATCAAATCGCTATCACCCGCAATCTCAATCAATCAATTGGGGTCTACGATCTAGGGCAAGGGGCGTAGAATACCCTCTAGCACAAGTTTGGTCAAACGCGCTGGGTAGCGGCCCCCATCTCTGCGCCACTTTTGTGACTGTGCCCTTCGTAGTGGCCCTAACGTCGTTTCACCTACAGACACGGCTGGCGGCTCAAGTCTTTTTCAAACTTTAACACACGGTACGGCTGGAGGTAAGCATCTATCAACATATTGATGATGCACAGTAGCGAGTTCTTGCAATCTCAACGACGATGTATCTTCACAATGAAGGAGGTCTCTTGGTTGCGCTGGCTATCACTTGGTTATCGTTTTGCCGTCGCCGAAACGGTTATATAGGATTTCTCTTTGCCGAAACATCACTATGGGACCAGAGCACGGCCTGATCCGGCCCCAAAGCATACACGTGCGCGAGAACCTGATCGACGGCCACCCGCCACCGGATCGTGCCTTGTGAAACATATGGCGCACAATAGCGTTCCCCCATCAAAGACCATGAGGTCAGTGGAGTCGAGCAGATGTCCAGTCAAGTATCAAGCTTTACCACGAGGCCTCTCGCAGAAAGCCTAGCATCACCTCCATATAACATTCTTAAAGAGTCGCGATTCCCCACGCCCAACTCTCACTATTCGATTGCAGATTTAGATCGTACAGGCCCAATTAAATCATCATGCTGCTCTCTCTTTCACTCATCTCACTGATAGTCGGCTGCGGCCTACCTAATCCTCTGCCAGCCCCAGACCACCCATACTCAGCGGGCTATTGCACAGCGCCGGATCTGGAGGTTGATAGCGTTACAAAATTCAGGAGTGGACCCAAGCTGGTCTCTGGGGCAAGGACGCGGGCGAACCCAAATGGTGGTGAGTATCCCTCCCAATATCTTCCATTATGGAGATAGTCACTAAAATACCTTTGACTGAATAGGCGGCGCGAGTTTCACGGATTCGTATTTCGTTTCACTCTCTAAGCAAATACAGGGCGGGCTTGACCTTGAAGCGTAAGTACCCGTTTCCCAACTTTCCCACATAAGGCAAGCACCTTTGCTTCATACGCTTACATCGACCAGCACCAACGACTTCACCGAAATCCTCACCGGCGGCCTCTCCCTCGACGCCTCCTTCAGCATAACCCAAACGACCGGCACCTCCGTCGGCGTCAACACAATCTGCCCCTCCAACACCGGCAGCTCTGAGAACATTACCTGGGGCCTAATGGACTACCAATACAGTTGGCGCGTTACAGGGCGCAAGAATTTCTACTACACCAAGCAAGACACTCTGGGAAAGCAGGGGTGCGTTGACGCGGTCGCGGACGATGGAGTCAAGGGATGGCATAGTTATACGAATGAGTACCCGGCGACCCAGCAGGGGAGTAGCTCGGGCGCTGATGCGGAAGTCGAGTTTCAGTGCTGTACGGATAGTTATGGACCCACTTATCCGGGGAGTCCGACGTGTCCGGATGCTTCGTGAGAGGTGATTTTGCTAGAGGAGAAGAGGGGAGGGAATGCTTAATGAGAAGCACGAAAGTCTGCGGTAGGGGAAGAAAGTAGAGATCGCACGTGATGGTCGATGTGTACAATACCCACGTTATGACTTGAGACTTGAATAATTCGATGAGCATCCGTCAGTGGCGGGAGAAATTAATTACCCCAACGGCCGTAATATGTAATGATCGTGCAGACTTATCCCCACAACCTCACGTCGCTAACCCACCCACCATCCCTTCCACAACCTTGTCGCGATATCATCGAATACGACAGGTCGTATGGAAGTATTTGTCATTTCCACTGTGGAAGACTCGACGTCGAAGGAAAGCGAAAACGACTCAGAACTAATTGACATGAGGGTCGGTTGTCCGACATTAGTCACCAAGCCGTGCACGAAAGGGTACGCAGTCTAGCTTGAAAGATGACTTCGAGGCTTCGAACTTTCATCGTAAGAGTGCTATTTGATAAGTTGAAGTCTTGCTTTGAAATGAGTGAGCCTTAACTTGATTCCTTCAATAAACGACTCTGATTATGTCGGCTCGAGATCCTCTTGCTCCGAGAAACCTCTTCAGTGATGGTGGAAACTCAGCATTACGCAACCTCACTACCGTCTAGCTGCCCTCAAATCGTTGTGTATATGCTACGCGAAAGGATTAGAATGAGGAGCATAAAGTCAACGCTTACTACGAAAGCAATGATGTTGACTATGGATGTTTTATTATTAATTTTACTTTTGAGACCTTCATTTTCTGGACTCATACTACAACAGTAGTCGAAGCAACGTGTGTCAATCTACTACAGAACGCACTGGGATCTATCTGCTGCCCTTTGGCGCGTGGCGGAATCCTTGGTGTCATGACCAACACACAATGTCTTGCACACCAACGAATAATTAAACCTAGCCCAACTACATATCAGAATTGTCATGAATTCGGCTCTTCAACTTTGCATACATTCATGTTCACTGTCGGTCTCGGATGATCTACTTACTCCCCCAGGAACATTCGATCATGCCACTCCACACTCCTTCCACCTTCCTACTCCTCTGCCTAGTATCTGCGGCGCTCACTACACCCATATCCCCCAACACGTCACTTCCTACAACCAGACCGCAGTCAAACCAAAATACCTATGTCTCACAGCGGCAGAAGGTGCCTTAAAATTCCACTTCGAGCCGTTCGGTTTCCTCAGCGTATGCACCCCCGCACCCCCTTTCCCATCTCCTCCACACAATTCTCATTCCCACATCCCACCCACCACAACGCCTAAACACAAAAACCGAACGACGACACAACACTGACATATCACCACAGATATTAGGCTGGTTCCTTTCCTCGCGCAGCCGCCCCACCATTCCTCCCATCCCTTCCATCCTCCCCATCCCCTTCACCCTCAACCAACCCAAAATCATCCATCTAGCCACCTGCGACCGATATCTCGCTCCCGAAGAAGGGCGTGCGTCAGAAAATCGACGTTTTCAACTCAGATATGGGTATTGAAGGGCTGATCACGTTTTACTTCCGGGATTTGACGAGGGATGGGATCGCGATGGTGGTGAAGCTTGTTTTGGACGGTGGGAGGGGGGGGAGAAGGGTGGGAAGGTTGAGGAGAGGTTGTGGGTTAGTTCGGTGAGAGGGTCTTGTTGGAAGGGACTTAGGGCGTTGTGGGAAATAATGGGGGCGGGGGGCAGGAACGGAAGGCTGGCTGTATTTGCTTTGCTGGGTCATTTGGCAGAAGAATGGTCTTCTCATTGAATATGGTTGCTGCACCACTTCTGTAAGCAATCGCTACAAGCCTTGAACATATCTCCAGGCTTTCCAACATGACGGGGCCTAAAACATTCACAGTACATATCCATCGTGCATACTCAGATGAGAAGGAACACGGGACCGTTTTGAGGCTAAAATACCACCATCGTTACTCATCCGTAGCAACTCACACTTTGATCTGCGACCGAATTCGATCTGTTACGCATACGCAGCGTCACCATCCTCAAGGTGATATCAACCACTCCAGCTATAGCAATCTAAAAGTGCACTACGCCCAAAATCCTTAACCAAACCACGGCGTGAAGAATCCACTCCTAAGAGAATCATGGCTTCCGCTGAAATGTAGTATAGAGATCTGAGATTCGCGTGAGACATCGCGCATAGGACCTTTCAGCCCCTGCGCGAAATGAGAGCTTTATGTCTTGCTTTGAAACAAACGTAGATGAGAGCTTTGTGTCTTGCGATTCTTGTCAACCGTAAAGCTAGTCGTGGCGCTGTGACACTGAAATACGTACTTGCGGCCGCTACGAAGCGCACTCCTCTTATCCATTGTAATCCATAATGAATCATCGACTTACCATCATTCCAGGCGAGATACTACAAAGTATTGCGTTCCCCAATCCTGTTCGCTTTCCCCCTCAGCAGGTTTGAATGACTTTCTAGCCTATCGTCTCCATTCCATCGGAATTCCACGGCTAGATCTACATTACTAATACTCCTCGCTGTCCTCGCGGCGGAATTATTCCTTCCTAAAATAGTCCTCAGTCAGCCTGCCGGGCGACGTCTCAGGCCTAGTGCCTATGACATGTAAGTACGCAAGAAAAGCTCAACGTTCGAGCCAAAATGAACTCCAAGCTCATGCGAGCGACCATCTCGTATGTCATTTCTACCTTTTAACGTATTGTATCGCACAAAGTACGGTTCAGAAGCCTTGCACAGGGCTTAAAGGGTAGTGTTGCGCAATTCAGTCTACTCAGATGGGAATATGCAGATAGAACGGATGAGAAAGTAAATTCTACTTGTCTCAAGGGGTTGAGCTTGCGGGTCACTGATATGACGCGATCGTGCTCTGAAAGGATCAAACTTTGGCTACCATCCTCAAAGAGATGGATAGCTGATGTGGCGGTATGGCTTAGTAGGGGACTAATGAAATCATGGAAAGCTCATAGCATGAGATGCGGTGTATACCTGCCGACCCCCAATGCTTATGGACATATGTCTCGTTGGGGGCTCTGACATACTTTGCTTGAGGTCACATCAGGGATGCCCTTCAAAATTCCACGGTCAGGACAGAAGTGGCTACGGTGTTGACCCTGAGCAGCATCCAAGGCGCAGGTCATGAGAGCTATGGAGTCGAGAACAGATCACCAATCAAAGTGACATTGTCGGCCCGGCATTTAGACTGCTACTTTGACAAAGACTGAAATTTGGTGATGCTCGGGTCGTACAATGACTAGAACTTGCAGAATGGGCTTGATTGGGTTAGGAAAATTGTCGATAATGTGATAAGCGTAGTCGAAGATGACCATCTTGAAGAATCGTGCAGAACACCCTGACTTGATATGGCGCTGTACGACTTCAAGGCTTTGTTCCGCAGCCTCCGATCACTCGACCAATCAAAGCGACAGAAGGGGGCCTGAATGATGAAGTTCAAACCACACCTCAGCGAGTGAATACCTTCTTAGTCCAATAAGGTCGAAGCCTGCGCGGCACTGGAACGCCTACCCGCAGCTGTCACAAGAACGCATGGCCTTTCGTTTTCTTTCGAGATGTGGAGATGAAGTCGTACAGAGCCCCCCCTTGTTTCATACCGACAATTAAAAAGCACCTGATATCCTCCCCTTAAGTTCGATTTCTCAAAACCTTCTCAATCGATTAGATTCTCACAACCTTCGAGTCATCGCCTCAATTCCCACTTTTTCAAAGCCAGCAATCAGAGACTCCTCATCGACATGCTTTTCTTCTTCCTCATTCTACCAGCAATCCTTGCTCTCACCTCCGCCTCCCACAATGGCAAAAGCCACCATCACCGCTCCACCAACACCCAACTAATCAACATCCACGTGGGCGAAAAGCCCCACACCTTCACCCCCGACACAAAGACAGGCGCTCATGCCGGCGACAAGCTCGTCTTCCACTTCCACCCTGAGATCCACAGTGTGGTGCGCAGTACGTTCGAGCAGCCTTGCGTTCCGCTAGAGGGCGGGGATGGAATATCGTCCGGACCAGTGGAATTCACGAGCGCAGCTGCGGTTGCGGTAAGCTTGTGCGAAGTTGTCGTTTGCAGGTCCCTTTTACTGACGATAAAATGATTTTGGTGGACAGAACAGGACATTCGTTATCGAATTGAAGGATGAGAAGCCGATGTGGCTTTACTGCTCGATGCGGGATCATTGTAATGAGGGGATGGCGATGGTGATCAACCCGCCGTAGGTCTCGTCCTGCTTCTCTTTGGGCAGATACTTTTGATCAAGATACAAGGCTGACGAGACGTTGCTAGTGAGAATCAGAGCCTCGAAGACTACAAAGCTGCTGCGAAGAAAGCGGTTGTGGAAAATCTGAGTGCCGTTATGGGTGGCAGCTTCTCAACTGCTGGTCTTACAGGGAGCGGTACGGTTGATGGCACCTCTTCGATTGCTGGAGTGACGGCAAGTGGGATTGCTGGCGACAAACCACCGAGTTCTGGAGCTGTACCGAATGGAGCGGTCGATAGCGAATCCTTAAATGCTGGAGTCGCACAGAATGTAATGGCTGACGGCGGCCCCTCTAGTGGTGGAGTCACGCCGTCAGCTGCGCCTGACTATAGAATTTGATACTTGGGTTCTCGCTGTAAAGGGTTGGGCAATTATGGTGACGCCGGGTAGGTTCTAGGTAATGCATAGGCGGACTATGAGGTAGATAAATGATTACTCATGGCGTTCATTCCTACCTAATGACGTAGCTTTCTCGCAACTGAAATCCATCTTTACTCCCTCAGACTCAACTAAAGTTAACTATCATCAAGAGTCCCATTACCGCCAGCCAAAAGCTCCCCCCCTCCTCCCCGAAAACGTCAACTTCATAAACGATCGATCTCTTTGAACCCCATCAACGACTTAAAATGCACTAACAATGAACCCCCTCTTCCCCGCCCCCATAGCAATCGGGAATATCGACTGCGACAGCGCCTGCTCTATCATAAACCACTGTATATATATATCGCTCGAAACCACACGGAAAGCAGCTAATAGCCCCTCTCCTGTAGGCGCAGCTACGGAAAATGAAGTCGGTGTGCCAGCGGGCGAGGGTCCGAAGGGAGGGGAGTCGGAAGTACGTGCGTAAGGGTTGTGCGCCCAGACTTGTGTGCGTAGCGCTTCGTTGATGAGCCAGAAGGTGGGGTTCATGCTTCAAGGCTGGAGGAGGGAATGGGCTGTGCAGACGACGCTGATGCGGGCGTTGGGATTCGTGTCGGTATCATTCGCGCCGCCGCTGGCTGTGGCCTGGAATTGGGGTAACGGCTGGCGTTTTGCTATAAGGCCTGGTCTTGCGGCAAGGGGGGGTCGGGGTCGTTTCCTCCCGCTGGGGTACTTGTTGCGGTTGGAGTGCTCGCTATAGACGTGGGGTCGTTAACGGCGGTTGTCGGGATACTATTCATTGATGCGTTGTTGTCGGCGCCTGTCCGGATCGTGGTTGCTCTCCCTAAACGACCTTGGAGGAGAAAGAAATCGTCTGCAGGCACGTGCCACCAAGGATTGCTATCGGATGTTCCTCCCTTGATTTGTAGACGAATCATCTCCTGGACTCCCCATCCCACATCTTCCGAATACGGGGACGGGTAGAAGATAGGGTCGGCGGTAAAATCAAGTTGGAGTGGGAATAGCGAATCTCTGAAATCAATATGCGAGGGAAGGGCTCTGAATGGGATAATCCATATTTGGCGCATGGCATCAACCCACAAATGTAGCACCTCAGCCGCGGAGTCGGTGTACATATGCGTTCGATCGCTTTGGACCACAAGGCCGGGGCGACGTGCAGGGTTGAATCTACTTTCCAAAGTTGCATTTTGCGTGATGTTGGGATCAAGATTATTATTATGAATTTGGGTTTCTAGAGATAATGCACTGACATACATGATGCCCAGAAGGCATGAAAGAATGGTCTTAGGCATGTTGGTCCCCATGGCAAGGGTTTGCTAAGAAAGCCGCAGCCGTTGTACTCAGGCTACCTAATGGGCAGAAAAGACCTTTTTGTCGCATAAAGAGCTAGGAACCCTAGCTGAAAGAGCTCTAAAGACTTGAAGATGGATTTTATGAGGTCGTAAAGTATGATACGCAGCATTTATACATGTTCGTGCCGTCGCTTAAATTTCCGACTCATCCACTAAAACACCGACAATGGGAACCACCAAACCAACTTTTCAATTGTTCCTTCTATTTTTATCAACCCTTTTTACCAATGCGAAGCATTACTTGTGTATTCCCTTTCGTCGAGTCCATTAGTTTCTCTTTTGGTCACTTGTTTAACAGGTTATGCTCGTCGCATAAATCAAGCCCCGGGTCAGATTCGAACATCAGACACGCTCCGATCAATAACGAGGATAGATGTCTCCTTATCTTCGCACGTAGTCGCCGTGCTCATCTAGACGCCATGAATATTTAGGACGTTAGGGCTGTTTGCTAATAGCTCAACCTTGATTAGCAACTAGGATCGCACCATAAGTCGCCCAACTGAGCAAGGCGAGTATACAAAGACTGAATGTAGACTAAGTTCTAACTTTTAGCCCTATTTTCTTTCTATAGTTCAATAAACTTGGGCTGTCGCATTTATCATTTCCTGCGGCAGACAGAATGAATGGGTTATATTCATGGATGTAGCGTGATCTTCTAAATGCCGATGGGGACTTAAATGTGATTATAAGGAACATGAGTTGATACTCTGGTGATTCTAGTAATTGACTACTAGAGGAATAATCTTTAGGCGGTTGAGAGTCGACATACGCAGTGGCAGTCTAGGTGCGACGAGCGATTTGACAGGCTTTATAGAAGAACCAGATAGTCAGTCATGACATTCTAGCGATCTATAGGTCTTAATTATTTCGTGAAGTTCTCTAAAAAGATAATTCTATCCCCTCATACCTCATCATACTAAGATTGCCACAAGGCTTGGATTGGGGGATCGACACATACCTATTTCTCGGCCAAATCACTAGGCCACACCCAAATCTATTGAAATGAACTTGAACCTACATAACAGGGTCGTCATTGATCAAGCTTAACCCGAGACCTCAACATTGCGCTTCTCTCGCCAAAATCATTAACGCCTTCAGCTGCTAGTGTAAACGACATTTCGGAAGCTTTCTCTATCCCAATCAGGCACTACATAGACTATTTCCAAACGAGGTCATGCTCCCCCATCCCTAGCCAAAGAGGTTACAAGCGTAGTATGTAAGCCATCTCGTCCTCAAGTTCTATTTTATCTGCTATCAGCGATTCAACAAAACGGTCCAACGTTTCATATAGTTATACGCGATGTTTAATCACCGTCTGCCGATTTCAGCCACCACACGGGCTATCAATATTACGCGACACATCGCGACGCACGGCAAAGCTTTGAGCCGCTTTGCAGCGGCTTAAATGTCCACGCTTTAACTCTATTGCTTTGTATTGATTTCACACTTGTCTATCGTCCCTACTCCTCTCCTTAAGGCACGTCTCTGCTGGCGAGCCTCTAGCACATGGCTGAAACGCCTTCTTACCATCGAAAGGTGCTTTCCGGCTCCCAAGCCGTCGATGAAGTTCAAATCCCTATGTATCCATGGTGACCTCACAATCTGATGACAACTAGATCATCGCTGGCCTGAAGTCTCTTAGAGTCATGGACGTGAAACTTGATGTGCCGCCTCTGTCTTTTGAGGATGTCCATATGTTGAGAATTGGCGAAATGACGAGAATTAATATATTGGGCAGAACGTGCATCAGTCTGCGCATACTCCCTTCATCATCTCAATATATCTTCATCGCATCAACCCCATCTGCTACTCTCAATTTCAAACTTGGCTCTCACTTCCCTCCAGCAAAGCCATGCATTTCGGTAAATATCCCGCTCCCGTTCCCTCTCACCACTCTTCTCACTCCTGAAACCACAACATTGACTCTCCCAGGTACTCTCACCACCCTCACATCTCTCCTTTCACTACGCATCTTAGCTCTCCCCCAACGACGCTTAGACGCCGTCCCATCCCTAAACTCCCCTCAACTCGTCGCCCATGGCAACGGTTTCTCCCGCCTAAGCGGATGCCTGTCCATCCCGCCAGACGAGCAACGTATCCAAGTCAGCCGCGGACTCACAGTGACCGTCGCCGAAATGCGAGAGAATTATGCGAATAGCAGTGAGTTCCACCCCCTAACCCCTTTCTTTCTTTCCCCGCTGCAATCTCTCGTTCCTTAGCAAATTCTTTCAACGCTGACCAATCCCTAGGAGCCCTCTACAGAGCCGAAAGAGACGCGGCTGCCATCGCCGCGCAAGCCGCTGCCGAATCCGCTGCCGACCCGGCCAAACCCGCCAGCGTGGTGCAAAACTCCGGTGGGGGGATAGTCATCGGGTATCAGCAGGATGCGGATGTGGGAAAGAGTGGTGGGAATGTGTTGGTTAGGGGGAGGCAGATGGCTGCGGAGGCGCAGATCGATGCGAATAATGCGGCGGCGAGGAGCGGGACTGCTGATGAGCATGGGAATAGGTTGAGGCCGGGGGTTACGCAGAGTGGACCTGTTGTTGGGGCGGGGAATCGGGGGGGAGGGAGTAGACGAGCGTTGTTGGTGGGGAGGTGTCGCGCTACATTTATAGTCTTTTAACATTTATGGATACTTCTACAAAACGTTGTTAACGTTCGCCTACCCACAAAGCAAGCCCACTTCTCACCACCGATCACTTGGAAATCCATCACATTTTGCATGATTTGGCCCATGTCGAAGACTGCCCCCCCCACATCAGTGTTGCCCCCTTGAAATCTCATCTTAGCTCCCAACGGCAGTTAGCGGCAAACCCAGCAAATTTGACTCCTGCGAAAATAGTATAGTGCCCAGATGGTTCTGCGTATTAGCCTCTAGCATAACACGAAAGTGATCAAAACTAGCGACAAAACATAGAAATCCCAAAATACCTAAGCGCAGACGAATCTAATAGTGACATCGAGCGCCTAGCTTAGAGTTAGAGTAGCCCCGACTTCGACGGGGACGCTGCTGCCTTCGAACGCTTAGGGTTAGGAGATTCTATTAGTATATTTATCGCTTATACCTAGCTTATATTATAAGTTTTAATTTAACTTTTATTAAAGTAGTTTATTATACTCTTTTATAATTTTCTATAGTTAATTCTATATAATTCTTATTTATAGTTATTATATTTTTTTTCCCTATAAATTCTAAACTATTAAAACTATACTTTTTTATATAATTTTAAGTAGTCCTTACTAAATATTTAGTTTTTTTAATTATACTATTTATAAATAGTTTCTAAAGCGCTTAACTAACTAATATATATATTTTTTTTTAATTTTTTATTTATTTTTTTTTTATTTTTTTTATTAGAGTTTTTAGTTTAATTTTAGTTATAAATATTCTTTTTTTTTATTTTAAAGATTTTTTATTTATTAAAGTTTTTTCTCTACTATTTTAAATAAATATTAAAAATTTTATTTTATTAGTATTTTTATAAAAGTTTATATAACTTATTTCTTAAATATAATTTTTTTTTTTTAGTATTTACTAGATTTTAAATTGAAAAGTTTTAATTTATATTCTATTATACTTAATTTCTAATATTAACCCTTTTTCTAATTAAATCTCTTAAAGCTATTTTAAGTTTTAATATTTACTTCTTAAAAGATAAAGCTTTATATTCCTTTAAAAATTTACTTTTTTTATAAAAG